CCTGGTTGCTGGGCGTCCTCTGGCAGCTGGCAGCTGGACACCACTGATGGTCGGGTCTGGTTGATTCGGTGGCACGTCGAGTTTAGGTAGCTGGTAACAGCACTACCTTAGCATCGTTACCAAGTGCAGCAAGGTACATGTACTGCCTCTAACTGGACCTCGATCTAGTGAGGTAGCCTGTAGGGGCGGGATTGCGGGTGCAGTTGCAAGGGCGGTACATGGCACATGTTAGTCCCGGCCACCACCGAAAGAGACAACCCAGGGCTCCACCGCCACACGCCCCGAAAAAAGGCGACTCGATCGAAACGGGGCCTGAAGACGGTCCAATCCAGCGCATCCACCCGCGCATCGGCCAGTAGGGGACCAAGCCAAGAGCCGTCACTGTAGTTGTAGTACTTCCACTTTCGTAGACTTTAGTACTACTTGCAACTGCAACTTCCATCTGCCCTGCTCTTCAAACCTTGGACCATCACCAGTTCCTCCTCCGCTCACCTCTGGCCGCGCAGCTGAGCGTCTCTCGCCGTCCCCCTCCTGCGGCCGCCTCCTGCAGCTTCTCGCGTTGGCCTCACTCTGCGCTCAACTGCCGGCTGCCCTGCGCGCTGCTCGCCCACGTCCGCCTCGGCGTCCAAGCTGCCAATTGCCCGCCAGCTGCCCGGCAATGCTTCATCTCAGGTGATCTGCCCCCAGCATTCATTGTCAGTAAGCCTGCTCCTCGTATCCTTCTTCTTCTACTTCTCTCGCCCCCCCGTGACGGCTGCAACGCTTGACCTCTTGCACCTTGCCACTGCAAACTTCGCAATTCCCACCCCAAACACCATCATCACCATCACAGCCATCGGCATCAAAGACTTCTGCACACCACGTACAACCTGCCCCGGCTCGCGGCGATTCACATTCGGCAGACAGGCAGCGCATCACGCACAAGAGCAAGATTGCCGTCCGCCTCGACTCGTGACGAGGGAGAGAGTCGCCAAAGTTGTTGCTCCCCCCCTTCTCTTTTTTACGCCCTTCTTCAGCCTCTTCCACCCCCCCATGGCTCCTTGTTTCCATCTGTCCTGTTCTTCTTTCTTGCTTCATCGGCGTCAAGCCACCGCGCAGCTCTGCTAACTCGACTCTCGTCTTCTCTAGCAGCCCGCCGCAATGTTGGCCGACGACGCGCCGCCCGACGACGCTCGCGGCTCCCCCGGTGCCAAGGGCCTCACCCTGGCCGAGGTCGTCCTCCGAGATACCCAATATATATACTCTCTGGTCCTGCTCGTCACCTTCATTGTGCTCGCGGCTTGGTACTCCGTCTTCAACTCCAAGAAAGAAGAGGATTCCGTCCAGCCTACCGTCAAGGGCCCCGGCGGCAAGCCCCTTCCCATCACGAAGCGCAAGCGGCGCAGCGACGGAGACCGTAAGATTGGTCCTCGTTTTGGCCGGATCGCCAAGTATGTCTTCCGCTACCTCGCTGCTGGCATCTTCCTGAGCTATGTGGCTACCGGTGTCTGCATGTTTGTCCACGCCTTCTACCACGAGAACCCTTACGAATGGGCAAAGGATGGACTTCCATGGGCCGGTGAATGGACTCTGGTATGCACCCTCTCCCTATCTCGCCCCCATCTGACCCCCCCTTGAGCAACCCTGGTGATTCCTGCATCTTTCGGTCCCGAGCAGTCGGGTCAAGAGGGGAAAAAAAAAGAAGGACAACAAAGAAACATCCGGTTAGCACGATCTGCCATATTGGAATTTGGTCCAATGGCCTCGCTGCCAAACCCTCCCATCCTCTCCTCAGGATTCCGCTAACTTTTGTCTTTTCTCTTTCAGTGCCATGTTGTCGGCTCTACCTTCTTCTACCTTTATATCCTGTTCTCGCTGTTTGACTGGCGCAAGGGACCCAACATTGTCCACCTGGCCATCTGGATCTTGGGCTTCACTGGTGAACTCGTCCTCTTCGTTTCCGAAGCGGTTGTTGCTGCTGATTGCCACTTTGTCCGCACCGTCCAGCAAGACGATCCCGACGGAGACGACACCTGCGTTGACTCGTGGACAAAGATTGACTTGACTCTCTACTTTGTCCGCCTGCTGCACCTTGTCGGCGCAATTACCCTCTTCTGCGTTGCCTGGATCCTCAAGTCTCGCCCCGCCGAACACCAGGCCGAGGAAGGACTTGTCATCTCTGAGACCACGCCTCTGCTATCTAATGGACAGCCTCGCTCTAATGACGCTAGGCAGGCCACAGGCACAGGCTCCGAGGCTAACGGCCGACGGTCTCGTGGTAGAACCATCTCCAACGCCGCCAAGTCTGCCGTGGCCCCCTACGCTCGCAAGGACGACCAAGCCGCCTTCTATCGACAGAAGAAGATCCCCCACAAGACCTGGCTGGAGTACGTCAAGGGCTACTCCCTGTTCTTTCCCTACCTTTGGCCGAAAGACTCTCCGAGGCTACAGCTTCAGGTACTGCTGTGCTTTGTGTTGGTCATTCTTCAACGGTTGGTCAACGTCTACGTTCCGTGGCAGATTGGTAAAGTCGTCAACAAGCTCACTGCTGCGCTCAAGAGCGGCGAGCCCATCACCAGTGGCAACTATCCGTTCATGGACTTTGGCATCCTGGGCGTCCTCTGGGTGCTTCAGGGACAGTCTGGCCTTCTCGGCTCGCTGAGATCCCTGCTTTGGATCCCCGTTTCGCAGTACTCGTATCGGGGGCTGACGGCCGCGGCCTTTAACCACGTCCACTCCCTCAGCCTCGATTTCCACTTGTCGAAGCGCACTGGCGAGGTCCTCTCTGCACTCAACAAGGGCTCTGCTATCAACGCCTTTCTCGAGCAGGTGACGTTTCAGGTCATTCCCATGCTGTTCGACCTCTTCCTCTCAATCTCCGTCTTTTACATCAGCTTCGGTGCCCTGTACGCTCAGCTCAACTTGGTGGACACCTGCTGGTACCTGTACATGACCATCAAGATGGCCGCCACGAGGGCGGATCAGCGACGAGAGATGACAAATGCCGATCGCGAAGAGGAGGCGGTGAAGAACGACTCTATTTCTAGTTACGAGACGGTCAAATACTTCAACGCGGAAGAGTACGAGTCCACCCGGTATCGGGCCAAGGTCGAGGCCTTCCAAAAGGCCGAGGCACAGGTCCAGCACGGCATGGTCATGATGAACATCTGCCAGACTTTCGTCTTCAACTTGGGCAGGATAGTGGCTGCTCTGGTCTGCGGTTACCAAGTTCTCATAGGAATGCGAACTACGGGCGACTGGTTCGTTGTCGTGTCTTACCTGACCCAGCTTCAGGGCCCCCTCAACTTCTTTGGCTCGTTTTACCGCACAGTCCAGCAGGCAATGATCTCCGGCGAGCGCCTTTTGGAGCTCTTCAAGATCCAGCCAACCGTCGTCGACTCGCCCAATGCCGTACCGTTGGAATACTTTAGTGGACACGTTCGATGGAAGAACGTGAGCTTTTCCTACGACTCTCGGCGGCCCGCTCTGCGCAACATCAGCTTCGAGTGCGCCCCGGGCACCACTACGGCCTTTGTCGGCGAGTCCGGCGGTGGCAAGTCCACCCTGTTCCGACACATGTTCCGTTACTATGACTGTGACGAGGGCAGCATCGAATTCGACGGCAAGAATGTCAAGGATCTCACGATCGACTCGGTCCGCCGCCACATAGGAGTGGTGCCCCAGGACACGACTCTCTTCAACGAGACCCTCATGTACAACCTCAAGTATGCCAACCCTCAGGCCACGGATAAGGAAGTGTATAATGCCTGCAAGGCGGCCAGCATCCATGACCGCATCATGTCGTTCCCCGATGGTTACAACACTCAGGTCGGAGAGCGAGGCCTCCGGCTCAGCGGCGGTGAAAAGCAGCGCGTGGCCATTGCTCGTACCATTCTCAAGGACCCTAGGGTCATCATGTTGGACGAAGCTACCTCGGCACTTGACTCGCACACGGAGCAGGCGATCCAGAGAAATGTCTGTAGTATCGGTAAGGGCCGGACGCTGCTCATCATTGCGTAAGTGAACCTGAAACTGGCTGCAACTGGCACTCTTTGGGAATTTTCGAGCTAACACGAGGTTTCTTGCTAGTCATCGCCTGTCCACCATTACGCATGCCGACCAGATCATCGTTCTCCACGCCGGTACCATTGTTGAAAGGGGCAATCACCAGGAGCTCCTCGCTGCCAGGGGCGTCTACTATTCCATGTGGCAGAAGCAGGTCACTGCGGAACGTGCCTTGGATGCTGCTAGGGAGGCCTCCTTGCAAGCCAAACGGGCCATGCGTGAAGCGCACATGGATGGTAAGAACAAGACCCAGCTTGACGGCTATGAGAGTCACGGATCTGCGACCGAACAGGACGGTGCTGCTTCTCAAGGACAAGACGATGGTGATGCTCACCCTTCCGCGTCGTCGTCGGACAATGAATCCGCCCACGGAGAGGAGCAGGAGCAGCAGGGACAGCAGGAACCGCAGGAACAGGGACAGGGACAGGAGCGCCAGCAGGAGCCGGAGCGGCCTCGCGACCCTCAGTAAATCTGACTCGGCCCTTTCGTGGAAACGGCCAGACCAGCGGCCGCATTCTATTCATGTCAATCGTCAAGAGACAGACACCTCTGTTCTCGCTGATTTTCCTTTTCTTTTTTGCATCTGATACCACTTTATTAGCCTGTCTCTAGGCTACGCGCACTTTGTTTCGTCGTTTTCTTATCACCTCTTCGATTTCCCTTCGGACTCAAAAATTGCAGGTCTTTTCAAGTCTACCGCTTGTCATCCGGCCATAGCACGACCGCATCAGGGCCTTAGCATGATGACTGCATCGCACCGGCGTTGGGGATAGGATTTCAGTTTCCGTTATTTCATCTATTCGACGTTCCTATGCACACTGCATAAGACACATTGCTACCTTTCTAGCCGGCCATATCTGATTTCTTCGATCCTTTCGAGCCCGGACCCCGGACTTTTGTTTCACGTCGACTTTATGCGCGCGAAGCATGATTGAGACTAGAGTTTTCAATATGACGACGGCGCCCCCTTTCCTTTTTATTTCTCGAATATCGCCGCCCATTTACGAACAGCTAGGCACGGAGACTCGGATCTACCTGTGGCCATTTCTCCCCTTTACTTATTCTCGTACTGGATCTATTGCGGACGTTCCGACTATTTAATAATACACCCCTGAATTTCACAAAGAGACAAGATATAGCCGCAACTACAGCAGAAGACATATATAATGTGTGTTGTTTTACCACTGTTTCTTGCACCGGCTCTGCGTCTCTTTGTGTCGTCATCTGCCACCGCTTGGCAATCGCCGGCCGTTGTTTGACTATGAAGCGTCAAACTTCACCTGTGAGAGACCCGAGACATCATTTGACTGGCCTCTCAATTCTCCTTGTTCTTTCCGAAAGAAGTTTCGAATTCTTCGCCGAGTGTCTCCAAGGTACTGCCGGGTCACACGACTCTTACTTGTATCGAGGGTGAATGACACGACTGACGTCGAAAACGGAGGACTCTGGAGGATGGACATTGTGGAGGTGCAGAGGACGACATTTTGACGACAAGACTTGCTTCTTTTTTAATTTTTTTTTTTGTATGTTTCTCTTGTTTCCCCTTTGGAAGGATTCCGGGTTTGGAACGCCCATTGACGAGGCCTCGTGGACCTTGACTTGATTTCGGGCAACGATTTACATGACCTGGCTTTATTTTCCCATTATTCATTGGTTCTTTCCTTTTCCACCTTGAAATACGCCCTCTGGACTGGATGGATATCCGGACTCGGTGATATATTCACCACTTGGGTTTGAGCTGTTTCCTTTTTTTCATCTGTTATCTGCGCGAAACATACATTTTTGGGACTTCTTCCTCAGGGAAGCCGAGATGGCCAACAGTCGGTCAGTCTCCGGACGGAAAATCAAAAACACGAACGAAAAAAGGGGAGACCCTGATAGGGAAGGGAATAACTGGACATTTGCTACAGACGGACAGGGCAAGCCTCGATAGCTTTTTGGTAGCTTTTTTGGTAGCACGGACAAAAAAAAATAAGAAAACAATTTTGGTAAAAACAGGTGTCCTGATGCCATGTGACTTGTAGTGTCTGATGATTGTGTTAAGCGTCACGTCGTAACGAAAGTGACAACTTGATCCCTGACTGTCAGACCTACGGGGAAAGAAGGTCTCTTTTCCAGCCTACATGAAGCCAGAAGATAACACGAAGTGTAATATAGTCTTTGCATCGATGTGAGTCCCAAGTCCTTCTTTGTCCGCCGACCAAGCCATAAACAAAAATAGAAGATACATATAGAAGAAAGTTCTCTCGTTGAATAAATTACAATTAGTATGAAGAAACCCCCAAACAAACCCAGTTGTTTCTTTTTTCTTTTCTTTTCTCGTCATTTCTGGCATCTTTCTCAACTCGATAGCAACGCCGATGATTTTCCCCCATTTGCTTCGCTTTCCCTTGCCTTTCCCTCCCTTTTACCCAGTCTCTCGCGGAACTAAAAAGGTCACGTCACCAGCATATGTTATTTCCAAGATATATAGAAGGGGAAAAACCTCCCCCCTTCGCCGCTATATCTTGATGACATTGCGCAATTCTGCATGTCCGCCCATTCTTTTTGGTTCTCTTTTTGCGGAAATTGTTACGTCTACTTGCCCCTTTTTTCCAACTTTGCCCGATGTTGTGTGCGTGCCATGTTCGTCATAATCATCATCCTCTGCTTCCCCCCTCTTTGCAATCAAGTTCATTGGGCCGCCTTAGTGCTTGGCGGAGCCGTTGTGCTTGTCCTCGTTGAGGTCCTCATAGTGGACTTGCAGCTGAGGGACGGCCTTTTTGCCATTGTGCTTGGGCTTCTCCGTCTCTTCGTCGTCCTCGTCCTCGGATCGGTCATCGGTGGCCTCCTTGTCGCGGATGAAGCGGTAGGCGATGCGCAGGATGTAAAAGAGCCAAAAGAGGTTCAGGGCTTGAAGCGAGGCGAGCAGGGCACTGGTAATGTACTGGCTGATCCAACACTTGTACTGCTGAGTCTCCCAGTTGAGCTCAAAGGGGCCGACGGTGCGGAACTCGGTGAAGAGGGACCAGATGATGCGGAGGTTGATGTAGTGGCGCATGTAGATCCAGACGGCGACAAACGTGGCAAAGTAGGGGGCGACGATGGGGTGGTCGATGTAGTTGAGGGCCTTGGACGAGGCGAGGAAGAAGTCGCTGATGTCGTGGGTGATGTAGACGGCGATGCCAATGTAGGTGAAGTGGAAGCGGTAGCTCAGGCCGATGAGCGCCAGGCTGACAATGTGGTGGCCGACGAGCTCCTTGAAGTCCTTGCGCGGCTTCTCCATGCCCAGGAGGAGGACGATGGCCTGCTGGGCCCAGTAGGCCGCCTGGAAGAGGTAGTAGAACTTGACGACGCCCTCGTGCGAGCGGTGCGGGAAGCCCTCGTACATGCCGCGGGTGTTGAAGTACCAGACGGGCGTGCGGCTCATGACGTACATGCCCGCAGGCCCGAGGATGCCAAAGTAGAGCGCCGTGTACATTTGTTCCATGAGGCGGGCCTGCTTCCCCTTGCTGAGGCCCGTCCTACGGGCCATTGGACGCAACACCTCCTGCATGATGAACTCGCGCGTAAAGGACAAGACGATGGTGTAGAAGGCGACAAAGGCAATGTCCCACTTGCCCTTGCCATACTGGACGGGCTGGAGGGGGTCGTCCTGGGGCAGCGGGTACGAGAGGAAGAGGAAGTGGTGGAATGGGTTCGCTTCCGACGGGTTGATGGCGTAGCCGGCCAGGAAGACGAGCAGCAGGACGGCGGGCAGGGCGAAGGTGTGCTTGACCATTGTCTGGCGAAGCTGGGAGAAGAAGCCGCGGGCGCGGCGGCGCTTGGAAGTCTTGGGGGCGCCCGAGGAGGGGTCCTCTGAGCCTTCGGACGAGTCGTGCGTGTGTCGCGTTAGAAACCAAACCAGATCAGACCGGATCAGCCCTGGAGGCAGAAGCGCCCAGAGCAGAAGGGGGAGGAGAGCCTGCGAGATCAAGCCGGAGGACAGGCCGCTAGCCCATCAGCAGGGCATCAGCATCAGCAAAGGGAAAGCAAGCGCAATCTCACCTCGGAGTCGTGGGCATTGAGGCTGACTCTGCTAGAGGCCAGCGCTGGCGCGCCCGTGTCGCCAGCGCGAATCTCGCCCCCAAGGCCGCTGCTCTTACGCCTGCGCCTCGCAACGTTGACGTCAGCACTGTGCAGCTGGTCGGCCGACGTGTTGAGCAGCGGGAACGGCTCGACGCCCGTCATTGTGTGCGGGAGGGAGCGTAGCAAAGGCCGGGTTGTCTTGTAATTGTGTCTCGGGCGGCGATCGGGGGGGTTTTGGTCGCTCGGGGGGTTGCAGCCCCTTGTGGTCTCTGGTGTGTGTTTTCAGCCGCCCCTTTCGGTCGACTTGCGCTGAGGCCCTTGGGAATTGGGTATTGTCTGTCGCTTCGTAGAGACGGCTGTCGAGGTCTCTCTGTCACAAGGAAAAGAATGAAGAAATAAAACCAATTGGTCGAGGAATTGGTCAAAGTCGAAGTCGCTGGCAGGACGCAGGAGAAAGGGAAAAAAGGGGGGACAACGCAAAAAGGTCGAGCGAAGCACGATCAGCAAAAATGCAAAGTCGAATCGCTGGCCAGTTTTGCCTGGTTTGGCTTGCCTTTGTCTCTTCCCCCCTGCTTCTTTCGCGGGGCGCCGGCGCAAGTGATTGGCGGCCGTGGGGGGGTGACAAGACTTTGAGCGTGGGCTTATTATCCGCTTTTTGGCTGCTTGCTTGGTGTCTCACTAGAGGTGAGCCTCGGTCGAGTCAGGAGGGACAAGGCTGAAGAGTGGCGGTCTGTGAGGAGACGGCTGAAGAAGAGATAGCAGATGTATCGAAGACACGGAGAAAAGGAAGAGAGGGGACAAGAGCGTCAAGAGGCGGCCAAAGGATGGGCTACCAAGGTGCCGGATTCCAGGCGGGATCTCGTTCGAGGTTCGGCGCGACAAGTGCCGAGCAGGGACGGGACAGAAAAGGGATTCGGAACCCCGTGCCGATGGGCGAGTGAGTGAGCTGAGCTGACAGCCGTCGTTGTCGTAGATTGTTGAGGTGGATGAATGGGGCTGGAGATGGCAGATGCAAAGGAGGGGGAAAAAGACGAGACCTTATCTGGGAAGAGGTAGAGGTTCAACTACAGTGGGCGATGGCGAGGCTTCCAGCAGTTTGACGCCAATCGGTACCAAGATACCTTCGAGTGCCGCTATGGCCCTTGCCAGCTTCAGGTATCTCCCTACCTTAGTACCTTTACAGCATCATCGAGATTCGTTACTGAGCAGCCTCCATCTGGCTGCAGCATTTACTCGTCTCAATGGTATCCAACGCCCATCGCCATCTCAAACAAGCCGCCAATACCTATACTAACACAAAGAGCAGACATGTATAGTTCCAAGCCCTCAGTTTTCAACATCATCAATCTTCTATTCAAGCTCATCAATGCCCCCCAACCTTTCATCACAGCCTCCTATGTAACTGTCCCACTATTTACTAGTATCCTCATTGGCCCTCCTTTTACACGTAAGTTTTCCAAGACCCCTGCAAAAGAGACCCCTAGTGGCGGCTTGGGTCAACGACGGGATGCAGGGGTATCCCTGTCCATCTGTCATTCAATCAATCATTCGTTCATTCATTCATTCTTTTCGCTCTTTTCTGTTCTCCTCATACATAGACTGCTTACGTGACAAGTACTAGACTACAAAGCAAGAACATGTCCAGCCAATGACCCCCGACGGTCCGCTTACATGATGCCCATCTCCTCATGAATCTGAGTTGTCGTTGCTTTTCAACACGGAATACGAAGCTCACTTTTGGGCGTCGAATTCCTGCCTTCGGAACAAGTGACGTAATTTGTCCAATTCATATCATACATATTCGCATAAACACATTTTATATAGCCAAGTGATAGCAAAGCAACCGCCCTTCTCATCAAGCACTCACGGTAAAGACCTCTCGTAGAGGGAAACCTCCATCTTCACCATAACAACCCCGGGTATCGCCAGGCCACAATGCCCAATATATCATACACCGATATACGTTGCCCCCCCAGAAATGACCTTAGATGGAAAGAAACAGCCCGTAAAATCCAAAGACTCTAAAACGCCTCGCTCAAAGGACAACCCACCACGAAGCACCGCGCTTCATAACCGCCGGCCGCACAAACACAGGAAAAGATAAAACCAGGGACCCAGCCAAGGACGCTATGAAGAGGAAGCGCCAGGGTCTCCAGGCGGCATCGTGCGCCTGTCTTCTCGGCCGGTGTAGATCTCCGGCTCAGGCTCCGGATCTGGTTCATGTTCGTTGCCGTGCTCCTGCTCATGCTCGTGCTCGTGCTCGTGCTCCCTTGATAATACAGACGAAGTCTCCGTCACCGAGTCGTCGTACGAGTAATCGTCGTCGTCGTAAAGGTGCCGATTCCGAACCCCGGGCCACAGAGGCGGATTGGTGGGCGGTATAGGCCTCTCGCGTGCGCCCGTCGTCCCCCTCGAGTACACGGCGGGCGCCATGGTGTTCCGCCCCCTTACTTCGTATACCTCTTCAGAAGAGCTGCTGCTGCTGGACCCCCGCGCACGTCGCAAGGCCGATGCCGCCGCGCTGCCCAGTTCTTCCCCCTCCTCCTCCAGAACCTGCTGCAGCGCGGCCCCTCGTCGTGCCGGCGCCGGGATGACCATGACGGGCAGGTTTTCCGTATCCGTCGTCGGCCGCAGCCTTTCCCGAATCCTCTCGGCCTGGCTCATGGCAAACTCTTCCAGCCTGCCGCGGATGTCCCACCGATTTGTATCGATCCGGGCTCTCGTGGTAATGGTCGACCGAGTATCCGACAAGGGCCTGGGCGACGACTGCACCGGTGATGTCGTTCCACCGCTTCCACGGCGCAGCAGCGCTTGCCAACGCCCGCCGCCGCCGGAGCTAGAATTCGCCTCCAAGTCTGCCGACCTCGGCGGCTCCCGTATCGCGATATGGCCAGTTGGGGAATCCCCTGGAGAGACGGACGAAGGCGGCTGGTTTGTCGATGCGGCGTCTTCTGCAACAGGGCGGTGGCCTTGGTTACTTTCGGGTCTCGGGCCATCCGCAGCGGTCCGCATCGGAGCGGACGCTACCGAATCGGCTGCCCTTGGCATGCCGTCAGAGCCGCCTCCTTGGTGCCTCACGGCGTATACCGTACTGCTGGCAGCACTCGTAGTGTCCGTTCTACTGACCGGCGTCGCGACCGGAGGAGGTCGTGTGATCCACGGCGCCACTCTCATGATAGGTCCTGATGTCCTTTCTGCCGCTGTCCCACCACTTAATCCGTTGTCACGTCCGTATCCAGAGCTGCCATCCCGCTCACGGTGCCGGCCGCCAATACCCGAAACAGCAGGCCAACCGCCCTCCCCTGGCATCCGCTCCCTCTCCGTCACCATGACTCCCCTGCCATCGCCATCTCCGCCCGGTTTGGGTTTGTAGCCCTTTCGCTTCCGCGACCAGGGGAGCTCCGCTGCGTTCACCTCGAGCGTGTCATCTCCATCAAACACCTCCCTTCCCAGGATCCCATCCTTCTTCTCCTCACGCTCCAGCGCCTCGATTCGTTCCACCCACTCCCACACCACCACGCTGGCAGCCGCCGCACCAACCCAGCGCACGTAGTCTCCCCAGCCAGTAAACTCTGGCTTCGAGATGTCGAGTATGAAGAATACGACCGGTATCAGGATGGCGCCCAGGGAGATGCCGGCCACTAAGCACATGTTCTTCATCAGGGGGTGATAGAATGAGTACCTCTTCTTCATGATTGCATAGTACACGACCCACGCCGCGTACAGCACCCCGAGCGCCAGTTGGAACAGGTAGCTCAGCGCGGGGATGGGATGCGCAAAGCTCTTGGGCATGGAGTTGCCGGTGCTGTCCGGGTCCGAGTACAGGAAGCTGTTGAGGGCGCTGAAGATGACGTCGAGGCTGATGAGGAAGAAGGCGGCCCACATGATGATGATTTTCTCGCGGTGGCGCGGGAACAGCCGGATGAGCGTCTGCGCCTGCGCAAGCCACAGGAACGTGTCGGACACGATGCGGATGGCCTTGAGCTCGGTGCTCCCCATGACCTCGTTCTGCAGCACCTTTGCGTTCTGCACGCCCCAGATGTACTGTATCTTTGCGATCCGAAACGTGTCCGCCGTGGCAATCGTCAGGGATATCGCTACAGTCAGGGCGGCCAGCTTCTGCAGCCACGGGCGGCCGCCAATGTTGACGCCGCCCGAGGAGCTGTTGGTGAAGCCGCCGGGGCGCCCGAGGTAGACGACGCCGCTGTCGAAGAAGGACCTGGGCGTGATGAAGAGCATGATGACGAGCATGTACGCGGTGACGGTGGTGGCCGCGAGGGCGTAGCATATCGGGAAGCTCGAGGCGTAAAAGGGGTCTCGGAAGTCGGAAAAGTGCGGGCTGTCGTCGGGATCGCCGTCATCGCCCAGGTCCTGCAGGTTCAGGCTCGAGCCTCCTCCCGTGTCGGTGGTCGCGGGGTCGCTGACGGCGACGGAGACGGTCGGGATCGTGGCCGTCGGGCAGGGCGCCTGGAAGAGGGCGTCGCTGTCGAGCGTCAGAATGGCATCGTCCGACTGGCCGTCGAGCGAAAGGATGCCGTTGGCGGGCAGCCACGTGCTGGTGCACAGCGCCATGGACGCCTCCAGGGACGACGTGGCGGCCAGAGCCAGATTGGGCATGACCGTAATCGACATGGCCGGAACGGGGGGGGCCCTCTTTTGAGGTTTGTAGAAGGTTAGAAGAAAGCCGGTGGAAAACAAAGTCAGCCGGTGATACGGCGACGACAAGGAGAGGGTGCCAGTCGGTCCCTATCGCGGGTGCGCCATGGAAGAAGACGACTTCCTGTGCATGCAATGAATTGGTGCAGCCGAGCCGGAACGCCGCCCCCTTTTCAACAACTTTTTCGCCGGCTCGAACGAGATCAAGGCGGAGGAGCGACTGCAGGCAGCCCTCAACTGGAAGACTCCTAGGCCAACGCTGACGACGATATTTCAAGGGAACCCGCGATGGCGCCAAAAGGGTTCAACGGACGACTGCGATTGTTCGGGTCTACGAAGGCGCTCCTCGGTTGTAGAATCGAGCCGATGGGGGCTGGTTTCGTTTCAATCGAGGCCGGATATCAGGCGCAAATCGCTTCTCATGACACTCGGTGGCTGTCGAAAGGAGAGAATCGGGTCGACGTCGAAACAAACCGTGATCGCGTAAAAACCGGCTTTGTTCCTCCCGGAGTTCCGCGTGCGCTCAAAACCCAGTACCACTTCTCGCAAAAGGATAGGCAGAAGGAGAACGGCGATTGTTTCTCGTAACTCGTTCCAAGGCCGCAAGTCGTGAGAATAGACGCTCGATTGGCGAGGAATGCAAGTTCGAAAGCGGAGGCGATAGCGAGGTGCTGGATTGGGGAGGAGAATGGAAGGTCGTTGGTGTTGCTCCAGGCCGTCCTACAGTACATGTGCTCCATACCTGGAATACCTTATCCATCAATGGACTGCACCCTTTCGAGGAGCCCTGTGTTTTCTTCGTCTGCTTCCGTCCGCACTGTGCTGGTGGCGGCACGGCGTGGTTTCCGCAGCGGGGACAGGGTGTCTGAACCAATGAACGTCCGGGGCGCAGCGTTAGATGCGGCACACAGTGAGAGTGCACCGTGCCAGTATTTGTCGTATGCGAAAGGCTGGCCATCCATGAGTTGAAAGAACCTGTGCCATCTCTGTGTTTCCATGCTTCTGCGCAGTATTACTATATGCCAGGAGTGAATGAAGAATAATACTCTTTGCTCCATAGGTACCTAGTCTGGTTCATGTATGTGCTTCGTATACAAGTTATCTGCATACCCTTTGTATAGAGCCGACACTGATATCAATGTGTGCCGCGACATGCTTAGGTACCCAACTTACCGAGTGAATCGTTCCATGATACCTTACAACACACCGTAAAGCCATATTACGATGTAGGTATTTTGTACGATGACTCTCCATCGCACCATCAAAGCCTCAAGAAGAATTACAATGCATCTAGAACATCTCTATCCTCCCCAATTCTGCTCCGCTCCCTCCCCCTCCCCCTACAAGAGGCACACGCCCACCCACGTGTCTTCGCAGCCGCAGCAGAAGCCGGAATCCAAAAAGACAAGTCGAAATGACAAGGCCAAAGAAAAGCGAACTTTTGTCTATCGCGCCTCTTGCTTTTTTCTGATTCATGTGGAGCAGTGTTGAGATGGAAGAAGTCTCGCCCTCAATATCACATCGCCATTTCTCGTGTGGTTTTATGTGAAAGTACACCTTGCTGTTGCATTCCTGATTAATGCCACTTTAGGCCCCTAATTAACCTACTCATATAAAGAAACAAGGTTAAAAACAAAAGTAACCCACGTTCTTCGGAATCAGTCAAGCAATTGACATGCGCAGGAACACCACAGGAAAAGCAAGCCCGATTGGACACACCTCGCCCGCATAACCGTCTACATATAGGTACCTTACCTTACCAAGGAATATTCACCCTTTAAACCCCCCCCCTAAAGAACAATCGAAGAGTGAAAGGAAGGCAGAGCGAAAGAGGGCCAACATGCACCGCCCGCCGCCGTCCCTCTTGGCAAAATAAAAGGGCTTCTTTTCTCCGCTCTCCCGCAGTCTCTTGGCAGAAACCAACGCTGCGGCTGCGTCTCATCGTGGTGCCTTAGTCTGCAACAAGAAAATGTCCAATTGGATACATGTCGCTACAAGGTCACCTCAAGCGGAACGCACTTATAGACGCCGAGCCTCAGCGGCATAAAAACACTTCGATAATGCATCGTACTGCCTTGGTATCATACTGGTATCGTGTCGTATTGCCATGGTATCACCTCCTCAATGCTAAGATACAGTCTGTCGAAAACTCGAAATCGACGCCTCATGATGCTGTGTAATAGTTACAGTCCGCCATCTTCCTCCCTTTGGAAAAACATCCACGAGCCCTTCCGCTCTCTCTCACGGAAGCATCATGATAACCTCGTGATACTGCGCTCTTTTGAACCTCATGCCCTCTGACCTTTCTTTTTCCTTTTCGCATATATGGGCTATTGTTTTTGTTCCCCTCCTTTCAATAAGTCGTAACGCCATTAAGCCATATGTCTGGAATTCCGCGCCGTTTGATTTTCTCCTAGTCTTCCTCTTCGCTCTCCTCGAGGCCGCGGTACTTCATCTCCAGCACCCACTTGCCGTCGAAATCGATGCCTCGTCGGATCTTGGTGCCAGACTTTCTCCAGATGGAGCTGCCGAGGCCCAAGTCGGCGATAAACAGGCGCCACTCGTCCTCGTGGCCGATATCTGATGAGAGGCCCGAATCATCGTGGGGGGGCGGTGTGACGGCTTCCAGAAGCCCCTTCTTGGGTGCTCCAATGGCAACGACGTAGCGTGGCTTGACGAACAAGTGGCCCCCATCGATGATGGCAACCTTGCCGCTTGTCGGATCAATGCCAGAGGGCACGTCTACCGCCAACACAAACGCCTCGTTCCGGTTCGCCCACTCCATCAGCTCGTACACCGACGCCTGGTCGCCCACCCGCAGCTCCTCAAACGACATGGTGAGCCCCAGCAGCGCGTCGATGATGAGGGAGATGGGCAGGCCGCTAGCCGATCCGGATCCCTTTCGGAGGTACTCGAAGAAGTCGTTCTTGCTCAGTACTTTGCCTCCAAAGTTCCGGTAGAGCTGTATCTGACGCCTCAAATCCTCCAGCAAGTCGCGCTCGCGCTCGATGCCCACCAAGCACACAACCACGTCAAAGTTCTTGTTCCGCAGATGACGACCAGCGGCCAGCGCGCGGGTGCCCGACTTGTTGTTACCGGCAAGAATCACAATCGTAGACGTGCGCAGCGAGGCATTGCTGGACGCTGCGGCCACGACCATCTCGAATCGGACCTTCATGGCCGGGTCGGACAGCGCGGTCACGGCCACCTCGGCGATGCCCCTGCCGGCATTTTCCGCCATGAGCGCCTCGCTGAAGCCAATCTCGTTGGCGGCAATGTTCTCGATGTTGAGCATCTGGAGCGTAGATATCGTCTCCACGCGGCGGTTGGAAGGCACCAGGTAGAGGCCGGGCTGTTGTTGCTGCTGCTCGTAGTCGGTGCTGCGGTGCCCCGTCGTGGGGCTTGACCGGCGAGATGCCTGATACCGTAGGCTGGAGTTGACCCTGCTAAGTGGCTGGCTCCCCACGGCAGCGGTGCTCGCCTTGCGCGACTGCGAGCGTTTGCCAGCCCCCGTCTTGCTGTCGGGCCGCCGACTACCCTGGGCCCCGTTCTTGGGCTCTCGGCCGCTCAGCCTCTCCGACCCGTTGGCGCCCACGTCTGCCTCGCTGTTCCAGTAGTCGGCACTGGGCGTCGCCGTGCCCGAAGGTATATCCAGCACGTTTTCCGTGTAGTGCAGGTTCTTGCCCCCCGCCGTTCCAGGCTTGGGCCGGCGGTTGTGTGCCACGAGGCGGCTCGCATCGTCGACCTGGTCGTCTTTCCTCATCTGGTCAAAGAGCTTGTGCTTATCGAACTTGGCCAGGTTGTTCTCGAAGTCGAAGTCGCCCATCTCTTCCGTGACATCCTCGGAGGCGAATCCATTGTCCATGAGATTCTTGACGCCCTTCGTGTTTCGCTTGAGGGAGGTAAACGGCTGGAAAGAAGCGTTGCTCTGCAGAATGGGAGTTTGCCGCCAGCCCTTTCCGTGCCCCTGTGTCTGCATGGCTACTTGCGGCTCACCGAGATGCTCCTTGTGAGCCTTGGGATGCCGACGTGCCTTCTTCTTTTGCTGCTGCTGCTGCTGTGTTGTCTGCGTGGAACCGGGCACCTCCTTGGCGGGACGAAGCTTATTACTTGGCACGTCCTTGGGAATGACTACAGGATCTATCTTCAAATCCTTCACCGACGCCACAATGGTGTCCTCGTCGCCCGAGTCAACCGAGGACTGCCGTCCCACATGTATCCCGTACAAGACTCCCGGCTGCGCTGCTGGGTCGGTCTCGTCCACTTCCTGGCCAGGAGGGTTCTTGGGCTTTCCCGATGCCGCCGACTTGGGCCGTCTTCCCAGACTCAGAATGGCTGGATCGACAAAGGCAGGCTGGATCGGCTTCGTGGGCAGTTGCTGCACGGGGGGTTGCCTGGGTGACTGTTGGCTGGCGTACGTAGTCTTCGGGGCGGGTGGTGCCTTCGTATCCGGTCCATCGCAGTGCACTTCGGACAGGTCTGCGATGTTGGAGGCGTCGATTCGAATGTGAGGAATCCACTCCCGCGTCGCAGTGAGGAATACTGTGGTTCAATGGCTTAGTCTCGTGCTCACTCGAGTTCCCGACTTGTTGCAGCCGTAGGGTATTAAATGCAAGGAATAGACAAGAAAAGAGACGCGCTTACCGTTTGTCAGAGTGAGGCTGATGCCCGCCTGAACATCACTCACCGTGCCCGTGAGCAGGTGTCCGGCAGGATCCCTCAGCACCACCCGCATGTGCAGGCCAATGAACTGGCTCATGTCGACGATGCGCAGGGCAACTTCGGGGCTGTTTGATCCTACTATGTTGTCGGCCCCGTTGTCTCCCGAATGAGATGAAAAGGTTCGAGGGGAGTGCGAGTCTCCAGCTTTCGTGCACTTTATGCCGTCATCTAGACACGGGGCAGGACCCTCGCAAGCCTTCACGACGAAGGACTCCCTCGGGGGGAGAAGTCGTGGTGATCGTGCGGTCAGCGGTCCAGTGGGTATCGATTCGAGCCTTTCGAAACTCGCACAGGAGGGGATTCGGGTAATGGAGAGACGGTATGTGCCCGTTCGTCAGTTGTCTTGTCGCGGAAGCCCAGACGTGGGCGGAGGGGAGAGCCTCCGATCAGGACCCCCCAACGACGTCAGGAGGAAGCTTTGCGGACACGCGCGCAAGTCGGACGGTGAATCGGAGAAGGCGGGCTCGAAGCGCAGTTCGCCGTGATCGTCGAGGAGAAAGACGGGAAACGCGACAACGGGAGCTGAAAGATTCCTGATGCCGTCCGCGTCGAGTCGAGCTTATTCCAACTCCGATTGTGGCGCAAAGACAAGTCGGGGGAGGGAAGAGGGCGGTTCTTAAGAGGCCGGGAGAAAGGATGGAAGAATGAATAAATTTCGGTGCATGATATGGATGGCTGGCATCTTTGGCTCTACTAGTCCGGAAAGTCCAGCGGGTTTGGGGGGTGTGGCTGCGCTAGGCCCGATCGGGTCGCCGAGCATCGAACAGAGCCCTGGCGCGTTTCTTTGACGATGGACTTGTAGTGGACTGCCAGAGAGCCCGGGCCGCTGAAAGACAGCCCCCGGAGCGCTGTAGCACGTCCTCCCCTGCAGGGCACCTACAGGCGATGTGCTCATCGTACCCGACTGCTTGGGGGCTGGGGGGAACGGGCCGGGAGCTTGGAGACCAATTGGGGGAGAGTCAGCGCCTGAGCTGCATCTCGCCAGCCAGCCACTGAATCGGCTCGCTGGTCGCACCCTGCAGGCACAGGCCGCGCTGTCACACTTGACATGTTCCCGATGCCATCATCGTCGTCAAGGCTCACGGCTGAGGTACTTGTACAGTGTTTGTCCGTCCAAATCTTACATGTAATACCGACAACATGAAGTAAGCTGGACCACCCAGATCCTCTTACTCAGTCTCTCAGCCCCCAACAAGCACTGATAACATCTCTGGATATGTCTTGAGCTTGAATTCTGATATAATCCAAGACAATCCTCCCTGCTTGGGATGGCATGACGAACGCCTCCTCCTCATCCTCCTCCTCCTTCTACAATACCTGTACGCCCTATCCGATGCGAACCGTTCATCACACGACTTCTTCATCTCCCTACCTCGATGCACGTCTTGGAATCGGACTTTTTTCCGATGACGAAATCGTCGCACCTATCATGTTTCTAACCTCTCTGTCCACTGCTTTTCCCCTGCTGATGACCATTAGGTCTCTTCTTACAGGTGCTCTTACTACTTGGGGTCATCTTGGTACATGTACAGATAGACCAAGGTGCACAAAGGACGGCTGAGTGATTCATAATCCCCTGTCTCTCAACAATTTCATGGGCGCTCCGCGTCTCGCATAAAGTTCTTCGACGAATTACTAGTACGTCCACATCCACATCGAAATGATCCCATCAGGCAGGTCTCAGACTGTCTCGCACATGACAACCACGGCCCGGACGCCGCCATTTCACACGAGAGGCACCAAGCTAGCATCTTGTCTTGATCCGGTCATGAATCTGCATTGCAGTAGCCTCTCACATCCCGTCCCTATCTAGATATTCATGAGGGGAATCATATAACGGTGATGAATTCGTAGTAATACATTTACTCTCATAGATGACGCAGCCCACAGGCAACCCAACACGTAAAGGGAAAGAAGGAGAGCTCTAATATGCCGCGGCCCTCTCTTCGTCCGAGTCCAGGTCAATAACCTCTCGAACCGCCGTAGATACAGCGCCCTTCCGGTTCGCTACAAAGTCGGTGATGGACTTTGGCCTCTTCGCCGCCGCTTCCTCGGCGCTGTAGAGTTGGCTGTAGAAGTTTATGACACGGGGATGAGCCATGACCTTGGACTTGTCGAAGCCCAAGACGCGAAGTCCCTCCTGGCTTGTCGCACGGCTGAGTGCGACATAGGCTTGCCCCTTTTCAAAAACCCGTCCCAGGTTGACCGTCACTCGCTCCAGCGTCTGTCCCTGGGCCTTGTGGATGGACAGGGCCCACGCAAGGATCAACGGGAGCTGGACTCTCTTGGCTTGAACCTCTCCGTTGGGCAGCTCCACCTTCCACTCCTCTGGCTGGCAGAGGATGACTCGGGCCACTCCGTCAGTCGAGATGAACCGTACAACGGGGTACTTCATGCCCGTCCCGCCCTCTTCTGGTTCGCGGCTAAAAGCCTTGAGCTTCCTCCGGGCCTTTGCCATGGCATCATCCTCGAATGAATCGTATTCATCCGTGTTGGTCATGTCAAACGTCCTTTCGTCAGAAAAGGCAATGACTCGGCCAAGGGATCCGTTGACTAGAGATGCGTCCAAGTTCTTGATGAGCATGACCTGGGAATCAATCTTGAGCTCAATAGTCTTGGGCGCCATCATATTCGCTAGTAGCTTGTCTCGAATGTTTGGGTCTCCCGAGTCTATCGCATCGTATCGATTTGACTTCCCGGGCAGCTCTCTCAGCCGTCTCTCGTTGGATCCGTCAACCTGCGCTCGCGTAGGAAACAGCTCGGCCGACTCCACACCGTCCTTGAACTCAAGGGGCCTTGATAGCCTTTTGAAGGCGTCCACCGTCTCTTGGCTAATCTTCCCCAGCCGCATCTCGTTCAGCATGTTGGCGAATTTGGGGTCTCGCTGACGGAAGACCTGCGTAAGACCGATTGTGTGATCTATCGACGTGCTCCAAGTGGCGGCATCAAAGGCGAATTTGGCTTCCCGCTTCTTGTCGGCATCGGGGACAGGCGGCAGCTGGAAGAAATCGCCAGTGATGATCAGCTGAATGCCGCCCCAGGGCCGGCCGTTGTTGCGAATGGTCCTTCCAATCTGCGACAGCTTGTCAAACAAGTCTCCGTCCACCATGGAGACCTCATCGATGATCAGGCATTTTGTGCGAAGCCATCGGTTCTTGGCTTTAGGGTTCCTCCTGATTTTGCGGACAAGAGTAGGCGCGTCTTCCTTTCCAAGGCCAATACCTATTCCCCGGGGAAGAAAGAAATGGTCAGTCAGCTGCGTCTCCCAACAAGTCTGGCTCAACAGGCAGTAAGCCTGCGGAGATGTCAATGTCTGGCCTACCCGAAAAGCTGTGAAGCGTGATTCCTCCAATGTTACACGCAGCAAGGCCCGTTGATGCTGTCACGGCGACCCGGTCACTGTCTCGAGCATACTTGATCCTCAGCTGGTTGATGATGGCCCTCATCAGGACGGACTTGCCCGTGCCTGCGGGGCCAGTGAAGAAGACGCTCTTGCCCTCGTTCACTACGAGGTCGAGCACACGCTCCTGTTCCTTACTCAGGTGGATGGCATCGCCTTTGGCGGCATCGTGAGACTTTGCAACCGCGGGCGCCGAATGATAGTCGGACTCGGGCTGTGCGTCCGGTACTTGAGACTCTGATCGGGCTGCCTGCTGGGATTTGAATTGCTTCTTCCGTTCCTGAATGTCGGAGGCTTCCCACATGCGTGTCGACTTTGAAGACGAGACACGTGCCGCTGCGGCGGCCGCCTGATGCTCGACGTAGTCTGAATGGAAACTCGATGGCAACACTCGCTTCTTCTTTTGCGCGGGAGCTCCCATCGACTGGCTCTCGCCAGATGAGTCGCGCTTTAAGGAAGCTGTTGTCGTTTTGGGTTGTTGAGGGGGGAAGAAGTGTGATGTGGGAGATGATGACCAGTCAATCTCTTGGGTCGCTGGAGGGGTTTCGTCTGTGAGAGAAGGGAGAGTGTTCATGTCAGCCTGGGGCTTTGGCTTTGGATTTGCAGCGGCTTGAGGAGCCTTGAAGTCGAGCATGATGTTCTCATCGTCGCTGAAGTCGTCCGCAGTGAAGTGCACTGCTTCCGACTGCTTGTAGAGCGACACCAGCTGTCCCGTGGTGGGCTGCTGGGGCTGGTGCTGCCGTTGTTGCTGCTGCATGAGGCTCGATGTCCGGTCCTGCAAAGGCCGACTTGTTGTCGAAAACGAAGTCTTTGTCGAAGCCGAGGTCGACGTAGAGACGGAGGTGGTAGAGGCCGAGCCAGTGGTAGCTGAAGCCGAAGACGTCGTCGAGCCCGCCTTGGTCATGAGGTCGCGGATGTCGGTCGCAGGCGCCGCAGGGCTGCTGGACGGGAACAGCGTCTTGGCCAGGGCATTGCTGCCGGGGGGCTCCTTGGGCGCCTTGTACGCCTTGGAGGCCTTGGCGAACATCGGGGCGGCGGTGCGAGGCGACGAGGGGAGATGGGCGAGCGTCTGGGCTGCTCTCTGGAGGCTCCGCGGGCGAACGGCGACAGCGGATTTCATATACGGGACGTTGAGGCCTGGAGGTTCCAGCTGGAGCAGGGCCGAGTTAGTGCTACCACCATGGATCAGGTGCGACGGGCGGCATCGAGTGCATGTGTGAGGGTTCAACGATGCTGCTGCTGCTGCTGATTGGAAGCCAATTGCAGAGGTCGGGTGCTAATGCCGTGCTGCAGCTGCTAGTCGTGTGAATTGGAGGCGCGTCTTCCAGGGCTCGTACAAGTACGTGCATCAATCAACGCGTGAGCTTTATCGCGTATCAGCGAAAGTGCCTGGAAGATAAACAGGGTCTCGCTTAGTCATCCGCTTGCATCTCTGCTGAACAGGACATAACCATCACTCCTGTCTTCAATGATTTACATGACATTAATGACAAGTTATGGAGCAGTACCTGGAGATCCAAGTATAATAATTAGATCTGACTGAGGCGTACTGAAGCTCCTACTATCAGATTGTCTGGTTGCACAAGAATGGGAAGACAAGGGTTTGCCATCAGCTAGCCAGAGAAGGCTCAGGGCTCATGCAAGCAGACCACCCTCCAACTAACATGATGCACACCTAACCTGCACTTTGAATGAGTTGCTGGTAGCAAGGCCCTCTGTCACGATGACTCAAGCTGATAAATAGATAATGTGACTGTACAGCACTCTGTCGAAGTGGCAGACCCTATGAGATATCAGGAATAAAGTCAACATAAAACATATAGCTGCAGAAACCCCTGTTTCCAACTCGCCAAATCATCAAAATACAGGTTGGTATACGGACCATTTGTCCAACATGACGACTTTGGCAGCCTCAAAAGAGCGAAGACATACATCACATACAGCAGAAGAACAGCTCATCGCCTATAGCTTGAATACCTCGACACTCTTCGCTGACCCTCTCCATATTGCAAGGGACTGGTCCTGCCCAGATCCCACGCATCTTGATCCGTACGCCGCCTCTCGGCCATGTACCGCTGCGCATCTCGCCTCCTCCATGTCCCCCGAACCGGTTCAGCCGTCACCAACCCGTCGTCATCAAAACCATCACGACGTCTTCTTGGTGCTTCCATGTAGCCATGATGGGTAATCGGGTCGCGGGCCTGCCCTGGGCGGTTGCGAGGGCCGTCAGCCAACGATGTGCGGCTGACTCTATTCCCTAGCTGATCCATGTCATGATTGCCTCCTGCAGGGGATCGCGCCGTGCGATACACGGGAGCTTTCTGACCCTCTGAGGGATCTCGAATGCTTCGAGACGGACGGGGTGCGCTCCCCCCAGCGATAGATCTGGCCGTGTGCTGTGCGTCCATGACCCCGTCTTGGTACGTCCTCTGTTCTCTGCGCCTTACCGTATCTGCCTCCGATACGGCCTCGATTGGATCAGGAGCAGCAGGGGGAATGCTGATGAAGCTTTCTGCTGGATTGTGCCGCCTTGGTGGGCGGGCAACCTCTAGCACAACGGAGTCGTCTCCAATGCGATGCTGGCGGTCCCTGCTTCGCCCCCTTAACCCATCATGATGATGATGAGATTGGTGAAGGCGAGGACGAGGAAGACTGTGACTCTGCCCAAGAGAAGAGCTCGGGGTAATGATGCGCTCGGAGTCCTCGGTCGACAATGAGCTGAAGGAGGTGACGGAGCTTCTGGAATTATATGACCTTGCTGTGGGCTGGCGCTCCATTCCAGGTGCGTGTGACTGGATCCTACGATTCTGGGCTTCGATGGCTTGCGATATGTTGCCTCGCGAGGGAATCGGGATTGGTGCCGCTGATGAGTTATGTGAATGAGAAGGACGAGAATTGTGGACTGGCAGTGATAGTGGCAATGGATGCGATCCAGGCGGGGGAAAAGGGGCAGGAGGAGGATGAGCCGATCTGGCAGGGTGATGAGCTGTGGTGCTGAAAGGCTGGCTCAATATGAGTCGACGCTGCAGCTGAGGCTCAAACGCAGACTGGCGAGACGGATTCGTTGGGGCACCAGCTTGGATGGGGCGTGGTGGAGGAGATTGATCCCGAGCCATCGTGGGAAGGTGATCATCGTGAGCCTCTCCTCCATCCTGTCGTCTCTCTGCCAGCTGCATCTTCAACATCCTCACGCAATCCCCATTGCGTCCCGGCTCCCTCCTGAAGTATGCAGTCACAGACATCGGCTCTCTCTTCGTCTCACCGCGTGACGACCCCTTGGACCGATGACGATCTTTGCTCCTCTTCTTATGCTTCTTCTCACGCCCGTCAGTCTCGACACCTTTAGACTTCAAATCCACCTGAGCAAGCGTATAGACGAAACGAGCATCATCCTCCGCCCTCTCGAGGTTCCTCCACGCATGCTCCAACTGCCTCCGTATCGCAGACGGAAGGCACCTCTTCTTGTCCGCCACAGAGCCAGTCTCCGTGTCCAGCTTGCGGACTTGCCGTCTTGCGTCTCGCTGAGACACATCTTTCCGCATCAAATGCGAAGCCTTCTCCCAGGTCGGAGAAAGGGCGCTTCCTTGGCTGTCTACGGCGGACGGGTCTGTTGCCCTTTCTAGGCGGATGACGATGTAGGAGGTGAGCCGCTTGTGGGCTCCTGCCTCGGTGATGAGGTCCTCGTCGCGGATGTCGAAGACGTCGACGTTCCGCCGTGAGTGAGGACGCTCAGGGGTTGATTGATGTAGGGTGCGAGGACTGTGTGGTGGCATCATGGACGGCGAGGATGTTTGTGCGTGGGGGATATGGCCTTGTTGGGAGGGTATGAAAGAGGAGAAATGAGGCGGCATCATGGCAGGGCCTGGATGATGCACTCGGGAAGACACTCTTTCCCCTATTTGTTGAGATGAAGATTGACGAGTGGGGGATTGATGAGGCTCAAGACGGCGAGGCTGGGAGGCTGGGCGATTGCTGCCGAGCTGGATATCCGCTGGGTAAGAATGTAAAGTCATCTCCAAGGGGGTGCGTTTGATGTGATTGAACTTGATGATGTGCTGATGGGATGGAGATGAAGGGGGACACTGAAGACAAAACTCGGATATTTATACCTCGAGCCATCTCCATGTCCACGTGTAGATGCTACCCGAATGGACCATCAACCCGAGGCAAATGCTAACGGAACGCGAAATCTACGAATTGGCGGACCGAGTCTATCGAGGAGGGTTGGCCGTGGTGTGTAGCATTCAACTCTACAGCCCATCGAGGCGAGATATATTGATGCCCGTACATACCTGCCACCTGATCAAACCCTCGTGTACTGGTCCCTCATTTCAAGGTGAGCCGGATAGAATTGGTTTGGGATCCTTCATGCGGGGAACGTTCCTTCATCTCTACCTTCAGGGGAAAGTATTCTCAGCCGATTTGTACATTCTCACACCTACGCAATAACCATCAGAATATTGAGATGAGCATATTCTCGATACACAATCTCAAATGCACACCCGTGCTTCTCAGCCCCAGCTTCAAGACCATCTGAATTTGCCCGTAGGCTCTCAAAGCGCATCTCCACGTTGCACAAAACACATCACGCCTCACATCTCTCCTCCGCACCATGTCATCATCCAACAAGCAATAAACAAGAACCATATGCAGCGGAAATCCCCCGCATCAACAGCCTTGCGCGGACAATTTTCCCCTTTCCCCCGATCAGCCTATCAATAACGGCCACATACGACAGCCCTGAGCCCACGATCGTCCAGCCCCCCTGAGAGGCAACCGGTTGCCTTGCCGTTTCAGCTCCCAGAACCCGCGATGACACAATTGCCTTTTCCCCTTATGAGATGCTCTCATGTCGTGCCATCGCGAGGGTGCTGCTTTGCCTTGTTGGGGGCCAAGTTGTAAGCCTCACTTTTCCCAGACGCAGTGTACTACTAGGTAGTAGCTCCTGACTGCCCCCTTGTACCACTACCATCCAAATCGCATTTCCCCTATCTGCGTGATACTCTCCGGCGAGATAAGAACGGTCACCTCATCTCGAGAGATAGCCTAATCCATCACTGGGTTACATTACGGACGTGCTCCGAAGAAGTCAATATGCAAGTGAGCTTCGTCGATCAACAATGTCTCGTGTCACGGGTCCCTTAAGGAACAACCAACAGGGCACCAATAGGAACATTCCCTTCCCAAGCCACGACGTCACATTACGCCTCATTCTGCATGAGAAGAAACGCGGAGCTGTAGCTCAAACCCGAGATTCCTGCCTCTCTTGACGTGGCCATCTGTGGATGGTGGACCAGAAACGAGGCAACCACGGGGAAAAAGCACAAGAAGGCGTCTTCTCCGTTTGGCCGCACACCCTTCTAGGCAACTCTGTCCCTGCAATATAGGGAGTACGTGTATCCCATTGGCCGAGGTCAGCTCAATAGGGGGGGCCCTGCCAGATCGCCTGTCACACGCCGAACACTGTAAGAGTATCTCGCCTTGTTCTGCGCCTCACCTTTGGAACGCCATCGTGCAAATGTCGGGTGACGCGCTGTGAGCCTCACTGGAACGTAAGCTGTGAGCGTGTTTCCCGCTTCTTTTGATGTCTCCAACAGAAGATCGTGCACACCTGGCTTCCTGACCGCCTCACGTTGGACCCCCGCGACTCCCCGACTTGTTCCCAGCACCAATCGGACAAAGGGAGCGTGTGCAATAAGGAGTAACAAGGTAGCATGAAAGCCACATCGCGCGGTTACGCGGGATTCTGTACCTACACAAACTGAGTTCTGCCTGCTAGATCCAGGTTATTCAAACGGACTCTATCGGGGCCCCAGCACTCTCCGATCCGCTGCCCTTTCTAGGAATGTTAAACGCAATGTAACGCAAGGAAGTCATGTGTAAAAGACGTCCGAGACCCCCTTATGCCAAGTAGGTGTATGAGTTCTCTTCTCTCTCCAGGTAATCTTTCTCAATCAGGCTGTGATGGCGGTTAGCTCTCAGTTTGTGATTTCAGACCGACTCTGCAGACTCACCTCTCAATCTCCTTCTTGATGGCGGCCGGCTCGACACTGCCTCTCTTCTTGGTCAAGTTGATAACTTCCGCCACAAGCTCTGCGTGGCCCATTGTCTTACGGCTCTTCATGATTCGCACAATGGCTGCCTGTGTCTCAAACCGCCTGTCCTGGGCAATCTTTTCGTGCGTGGCCTTGTTCTCTTCCTTGGTCTCCTTCAACTGGATCTGGTTGATCTTGACACGGTATTTGGGATCGGTAAAGGCCTTGTTGAAGGTGAATGTGTCCTTGGGGTCGACGTCACGCCCCTTGGGATGCTTCGTCAGCACCCGCGCCTTTCCACAAGCCAATGACTGGAGTGTTCGATCCAAGTCACCGCCCTGGAGGCCCGTGGCCGCCGAGATTTGCTCATATGATAGGAATCCATCCGCAGGGACATCGTTGAAGAGCAAGAGCACTGCCGCCTGGAACGCCGACACAAGGAGCTCCTTTGCTCCCTTGGGAAAGGTTGCCTTGATGGAACAGTGCGCCAGCGAGTGCTTCCATGTCAAGACTCGACCCGTGTGCTTGCTCTTGTAGTGCCGATCAAACTGCTCGATGCGGGTGGCCACTTCATCGGGCAGATTAAGCCTCACGTCTGGGTACGTAGGCCAGGCGGCAGCGGACAGGATCATGACCTGCAAATCCACCTTTCCGGTGCGGTCGGGGCTGCCCTGGCACCACTCCTTGTAGGCCTCCATCTCGTCCTTGGCGAGTTCCTGATCTTTAAACATTTGCTCCAGATTGTGTGTAAAGTTTGAGCCGCACTCGCCCCTCAGTTTGGTCAGCATGTTGCGTTCAGCATCTTGGCTGGCACTCCGGCCCATGAGGAGGCGGCGAGCCAAGTCTTTCTTGTAGAAGGCCTCAAAGGCGTCTTTGCCCTCAATGAACCGGAACAGTTCGAGGGCCTGGTCCAGTTGCCTGTCTAGCTCGGCGTCTTCGTCTGCGGTGCTGGCATGACCGGCCTTCTCTGCCGCAGCCCGGTCCTTGACATCGGAGAGCAGCTCTTTGGGAAGGGCCCTGATGCCACCACGGAGTAGCATGTCAATGTGCTTCGCCGTCATTTCGCCGATCTTGGATGTGCCTGATGGCCAGCACTCGGCTATCTTCCGGTCGTTCATAAATTTGCCAAACGCCTCTCGCATTCCCCAGAGGAAATCCTCATCCTTGTTGAACGCGTCACGCACCGTCAAATCCAGCGCTCGGCGCAGATCCAAGAGGCGAATAACCATCTCGTCTCCCCGCTCCTTGTCGGACACTATCGCGGCACCTGTTTCTCGGATGTAGTCGGTCCACGGGGTCTTCAACTTCTTCTGTATGCCCGACAGCCTAAGGAGGTCATACAATCCCTTGAGGGATTTGATATCCCGATCAGACAACAGCTTGGACAGGCTGCCCCCATGAAGCAGCTTGTCAGCATACTGGTCGATCAGGATGTTGTGCGCCAACGTCATCGATTGCCTCTCTGTTGTGCTGTCCAAGTTGTACGCTATGCAGCGGTAGTCCTCGCGTTCTAGCAGACGCTCGCATGCTTCAATGTACTCTTTCAATCCCATAGGGCTGCAAGTCTCTCCGAACTCCTTGAAGTAAGCCTCGGAATGCTGCAGATAGACTGGTTCAAACTGCTTCGTGTACACTCCTAGCACGTATAGCATCATGATAGAATCCTTGAGCAGTTCGGCGTCCATTCGTTGGTCCCCTCGGCGATCCATGTCGATCAGCTCGCAAATGGCCGAGATGGAGGCAGCTCCAATAGCCGGGCCTGACTCTGTAGCTTGCGCCGGGAACGCCATCCTGCTGAGGCGGGTGATGGCCAGGTCATTTATTGATGGCAACGATTTGAGAAGCAAGTATGTGCGGTCAAGGTAGCTGAAGGTTGACCTGATGAGGATCTGACGACGAGTAAGCTTCCTATGACGTGACATGGGAACATGTACGGGCTGGAACATACCGTCTGGGAATTCCACGTCTTCCACTCAGCCAGCGTCCTCCTCAAAACCTCAAGATTGGACACCTTGGCCGCGTTCTGGATCCTGGGCAGGACGACGCCTCTGAGGTGCCTGTCGACCTTGTCCTTGAGCATCCGATAGACCTTGTCGGCGCTGCCGTTGCGGCACATGTCCTCGACGCCGCGATACAGGCGCTCCAGCGGGATGGCCGGGCTCTGGCCGGCAAAGATTGCGTCCAGGGCCGCATCGAGCTCCCTCTCGGTGCGTGCATAGTACTCCTGAATCCGCGCCTCGTGGCTGACGGGGCTGCGCAGGTTCTTGATGACCAGCTTCCGCGCTCCACTATGAGGCTGGAAGGCCGACTGGCGCTTCGTCAGGTCGATGACCTCGGGCATCTTGCCCCTCGCTTTGGCGCTGGCCATGGTCGAGCTGTCGGAGAACCGGGGCCGCTTGGCTGCGGACGGCGAGGACGGCGAGGACGACGACGAAAGGCGTGGGCGGCGGCGTGAGGGGGAGGTCGGATCGGCCGTCGCTGGTTGCATGAACGTGGATTGGCAGAGGCAACTCGGCGCGCGAGGGTCTGAGGCGTGAGGCGTGAGCCGCGAGAGACGGAGGGAGACGAGACGAGACGGGCCGCGGTCGGGGGCTCGTGAGACTCGACGATGGCGGCGGGAGGGTCGGCGGGATGGGAGAGGGGAGACGGAAGACCGGACAGTCGGAGATTTTGCTTGCCCTTGCTGGCAGCCGGGGAGGATCGAGTAATCGGGTGGGACTCTTGGGTTGACTTGGTCGAGGTTTGGGAGCCGGAGGTTTATTATGTCATGATGGATGGACGGACGAGTTTGGGCGGGACCCCGCGATAAGGACCCGACTGGAAGCCGAGAGTTGCAGGGGCTTTAGCGGGCGCTGATGCCTGTAGCGCGCTGGAATGACAGCCGGAGCACCTGGAGCACCTGGAGCACCGACCTGGGCACCTCAACCTTGCATCCTAAGAGTCGATATGACCTGGACGTCAACTTGTCATCGCCACCATTCAGGTCCTCTGCCTAGCTTCCATCAAGGCACGACAAGACCATACTCGCATCCATGCTCTGCTTCTCAAACTGATGCTGATGGTCGAAGCTGTCATATGCACTCGCCCTGTCACCCGACATTGGTTTGCTGAAGTCGCCAGCGATCATGTCGACGTTGAATCTTGTCGACCCAGCAATGGAGAGGCCATACCGTTGGAAGGGATTCAGAAGCCTTTCCAATGCCTGATTGTGCGGAACAGCTCGCACAAGGCAGCGAGCCCTTGATACAATCACCATGACAACGCCTTTCAAGAGGGTGCCTTCCGTTGAAGCCCTCAGGGTCTCGTCATCATGCGCAAATAACCCGGAAAGCTTCCTACTCTCAAGGAGCTGACGAGTTAGAGTCGCCAAATTCATGCCTCCAAACGATCTCCCTCCTTCTCGCATCGCCGCTCACCTCATATTGCTGCGGCTCTTCGCGCTGGTTTCCCTTGGAGTAGAAGCGCAATCTAACTTCTAGTACCAAAACCTCCTACTCCCCAACCCGATACTTGGAAACCATGCCATTGCCTTCCCTGCCTGCAGAGGTCAGAGGCATGATCCTCGAAGCTCTGGTCAGAGATGGCCGCGAGCTGGCGCCCCTTGCTACCGTGTCGCGGGAGTGGCAGGCAGTGATCGAGCCACAGACATTCAAACGGATAAGAGTCACGCCGTCACGCATCGCCGAGCTTGATGACATGACTCGTCGCAATCGATCTCATGTACGGTACTTGTGGCTTTGCTTGGAGTTGGAACGCTACGGTTGCGACACCTGCTCACCTTGTCTTGACCATGGTGAAGATCCACTGTTCAACAGCGCCGCAGACGACCTTCTCATCAAGACGGCCATTCAATCTCTTCTCTTCGTCCTGAGCACCTGGGATCGAAGCAGCTCTTTGGCACTCGATATCAGTGTCTACTCAGTCAGTGATCAAGAGCACTGGTTCAAGTATCTCACCTTTGAACCAGATGATGATGAAAACGATGCTCCCGGGGATCAAGGCTATTCTTGTATTACACGGGTCAATCAGGCAGCTCCTGGCGTGGTTGACGATCCGCGGCATCGGTGGAATACTACTGATACTGAGAGCTACCTCGCGGCTCGGGCTGCTGTTCAAAATGTCTTCACCCACATTTTGGACAATATGTCAGACGAATCCGACGATGAGCAGAGGGATGATCCTGAATGGTGGAGAGAAATACCAGTGGTGCCGGCCATCACGCGTCTGCTCCTGCGTCAACAAACCCGCCGGCGCTGGCAGCCTGAAGCTCTGGCTGGATTGCTCGCCCGATTTCCAAGATTGTGTGAGCTGCACTTTGAACCATGGAGGGAGTGGGATGACTTACTCCAGAGTTACGCAGATGAAAGTGAGACGGCATACTCCTCTAATCGTACTGCTCCAACAGTATACATTCTCTCTGTGGTACAGATTCACTAACGCCTTGACGTTCCTCCCCCAAGGTTACCTTACTCTCTTTCGGTCGCCTAGCATTCAAAGGCTGAGTAGATTCACCATTTTCGAGAATTTCAACGAGCGCTACGTGGAAGCTTACTGGGAGGGGGATTGCTCCCGTATTCGTCCACCAAATTCTGAGCTTAGTCGAGTCCTCTACGCGGTCAGTGGCAATCATGAATCTCTTTCAGCATCCTTCGTGGTGGACGCAGATGCTTTCTTTGCCTGGGACGAAGGTCAACCTCCAAATAGGTGGCCCAATCTGAGGCATCTGTTCCTCACTTCACAGTTGTTGGCACCTGATCAAGATGAGGCACGCATTACAAGTATGCTACGAGCAGCAGCAAGAGCCGCTGTTTATATGCCGAAGCTCGAAACATTGCAGATATGGAATGGGCGAAGGCATCTTGCCGCGCTCTTCAAGTATGAGGCCGCCACAGAACAAGGTCAAGCTTCTACCATCACTTGGAGGGGTACCTGGGAGTTTCTTTTGCCGGCTCCCGTCATTCAAGCCTGGCAATCTCTGGCCTCTGAGCCCTCGCCACTTGGACTGAGAGTCATTTACGAAAGTATTGGCGGTGACGAGGTACGATGTCACGGCGATGCGATGCTCCTCCTAGAGCTTCCAGAGCTAGTCATCCGACGTGTTTCGCTGCGACAGATACTGAATGAACAACTATACATACCACTGGAGGTGCGTTCATCCCTTACGCGGAAGCCGATGTTGTTTTTTGCATACTGAATGTCGATAGCCAGCAACACAGAGTCAACGTTTCACGGACTTCTCCATAATCCCATTTCCTATAACTTGATTCATCCCCTATTGTAGTCGGGTCTTCGGTTTCAGCAAGGTCCAGCGAGCAAGCTTCTCATGTAACACTAGGATTAGAGTCATAGAATGCAATATACAAAAGGGGTGGCTATTAAGCACCCAAGGTAGCTATCCGGTATCTCTAGCAAATAATCATCTGCTACTGTTATATGTAGGTAGGAAAACGACTCAACTCTCTGCTACTATCGCTACAATCTTCTAACGTTGGTATCAACTTCTAATGATATCCAGTAAACAGAGTATATAAGATCATATTCAGTAGCTTCATGACAATGTATGTATAAACCGGGGACGTTGGATAGCCACTCCCTAGATCAAGGGCGTCACCCCCAAGCGAAATGCCTGACGGAATTCCGTATATTCTGATAGACGTAGTCGTATGTGACAGGCGCAGTCTCGCCTATAGGTTTTCATTACAGCAGCAACAGGAGAATACATCATGTTCTTCATGCATATGCCGCCCACCCTAAGAGATAACGAGTCAGTATTTCCAGCACCAGAACAAGTACAGCGTGAAGCAAAATTCTCTCTGAAAACTTGGAGAAACTCACCAGAATACAACACTGCAAGATTCCGCTCGTCCGTAGCCTGGTTGATCAAATCATTCACCGTCGCCGTCACGCTCAACGTCTTGGACAGCTTCTTCCGCACCACCTCGAGCGCGCGGTCTCCCTCCGACGGCTCGTTCAGGTGACCACCACCGCCGGCCTTCTTGCCCTTCTTGGTGTCCACGTCGGCCTGGTCCGCCGCGTCGTCCATGGCTGCGTCGTCGTCCTGGCGCGCCTTTTGGAGCTTGGCCAGGCGCACGGGGGAGACGGACCAGCTGTAGAGGGGATCGTACCGCAGGACGTCGAGGATGGTCATGATGGAGTACTGTTCCTCGCGGAGGGCGTCGAGCGTCATCTCGCAGCAGCGGCGGAACACGCCCTCCGTCTTGGTGATGCCCATGCCGTCGACGATGTCTCTGGTCAGGCGGAACGGCACGAGTTCCGGCACGGGCAGGATCCTGCCCGTCTCAAAGGCGATTCCGAGATCAATGTGGACGACCTCGCCCGTCTTGGTGTCCAGGAGGATGTTGTGTCCGTGGCGGTCGCCCAGGCCGAGGACGTGGCCGAGCATCGATATGGCCGCGGTGCTTCGCGTGTATGCGAGCCGCTTCACGAACCACTCGTCGGGGTCGACGAAGTACTCCATGAAAAAGTACCGCATGACGGGCTGGAACCGCTCCGTGACCTTTCGGTATGTGCTGATGCGCTGATCCACCGGCCTGTTTTGGACGCTGAATATCTCCTTCCGGCACTGCGTTCCCTTGAGATCGCGAGGGTGGTACCGTTCATGTGCTGGCATGAGAAATTCATGCAGAGGGATTGTGTCGCGGACGAACTCAATCAGTCCAGACGAAGCTGTCAGGGGAAGCACCTTGTATGTTCGAATGCCCAGGTTCCTCTGCCGAGTAGCCCTGTGAAGCTTCAGGAGAGAGGAAACCGCTGCAAAGACTTGCTCCATGATGGCGTCTTGACGGAGGTCGTCTTGGCCACCCTTGACCAGCTGCTTGTACTTTGCGCCGTCTGTCCCAATCGCCGTGATGATTTTGGGCGCGCTGACGCCCGAGGCAATGCTCATGGTCGGTTCGAGCCTCGAGATCAACGGAACTCCCGAGTAGTCCTTGTTGGCGCTGACTTCGATATGCATCGTCGGGGGCGGTATGCGGAACTTGGCCAGTTGGTGCATCAGGTTCCTGGCCGCCGGGGAGTCTTTCAGGGCAACCTTTGCGCCCGACTTGTACTTTGCCTGGTCCCTCTCCGAAGCGAGGAGATGATAGTGTTTGCTCGTTTTCTCAATGGCGACCCATATGTCGGCAACGGCGTCGGTGCTCGCAAGCTTCTGCGCGATCTTGTCGTTGGCCCTGACTCGAAGGACGGCAACCTCGTCCTTTTGCTGCACTCTCGCCTTGGTGCCAGACCAGATGTGATACATGCCGTGGTAAGGATGATCCACGCAGATGTTGTACACAAGATTCGAGAGCAGCTCCTGGAACGGCGTATCTTGGTTCTGCAGTCGCGAGGTCAGCTGGCTCATGAGGCCTGCAAACTTGGCCGTGGGCACTTTCGAGAGATGCCGCGTCACTGCATTGTTCGTCGCGTCGTCGTCCGACCTCTCGAGCCACAGCGCTGTGAATCGCAAGGCGTCGTTGTTATGCTCGTCTGAAGACGCCAGGGACAGCAGATAGTTTTCGAGACTCAGACGAACAAACTCGCTGCGAGTCATTTCGACACGCCGTAGCTCTTGCTCGTCGAGATCGAGCCACTGCTTTTCTTTCGCGAGAACATGCGAGTATTTGGCCTTGAGCTGCGAGTCTCTGGTTGACGAGATGAGCGACTTGAGCTCCTCGACTTCGTCATTCTTGCCCTTTTTCAAGTTCTGCAAACGCTTGAGATCCTCCAAGCTGTCTGGATCCTGGAGCTGCTCGTCGCAGAAGACGGCAAATTGGTGGAACACCAAGCCTGCCTCCTTTGCTTCGACGCCGCCCCTGAGCTCTTTGAGTGCCGGCTCCAGATACTTCTTCTGTATGTCTCGGGGCTTCTCCAGACGCGCGACAGACATCCTGTGGCCAATCTTGGACAGAAGATCGGACCGGCTCACCGGTATTGTCTGTCTCTTGAGAGCCGTGCCATTGTCAATGCCCTGAAGCATCTTAATCGACGAGCTCATCTCTCCGTGATCCCATAAGGAATTTGCGACCTCGATCTTGATGGCGGCATCGACGTGAACACCCAAGTCTTCGCATGGCTTGATGAGGTCACTCAGAGCCGTCGAAATGTTTAGCGATTCTTGCGTAGCCTGGTGGTAACGATATATGCCGGATGCCAAGAGCATTGATTTGATCTCCGTCTGCCGTATCCCCGCCACAGATAGGGAGGCACTTCCGAGAAGCGATGCACGTTGAGTGAACATGCTCATTGCCGTCCCCCGGCACGACAAAATCTGGCTGACGTCGTCATATCTATGTATAAGTTTCAGCAACGGTATTCTCAAGCGCCTCGTGGCAGGGTTACACTTACAGTCCACTCTTCATCCATTGACTGCGTTCCTGGAACCGACTCATCAAGCCTTCCAGCTCTGTCGCGTCCACAATGCTCAAAATCTCGTCCAGCTCAGAGAGCGCCGCCAAAGCTCCCAGTCGACTTCTGAGCGCCATTGCGTTGCGGTTGTTGCCGACCAGGTTCTTCATCGTGCGAGCAAAGCCATCGTATATAGCTGTCCTGATGGCCGAGAGATTCGTAGCCTGATGCATGGTCTGGTACGCTTTATATGCCACAACAGCGAAATGATCGCTTGTGGCTGGCACGGGAAGGTTCCAGATCTCGAGTCTCCTGGCGGTATGATACGTGCTTTCAATGGAAGACGGAGTCGAGCCAAGATTCTGCTGGGTCTGCATCAGAGAATGTGACAGCCCGGCAAACCCAAGGGCGCCCAGGGCCTTGACCAAAGCATGGGCGTCCGAGTCTGATGTATTCTGCCGTAGACGGATGTGGCTGTCGTACTGAGCGCCTCGGAATGCGAGATTCTTTGTCCCTTCCTGTTCGTATTCCAAGCGAGACAGGATATTTGATAGGTTTGCCTCCTCGGGTAAGCCATAGTATGCGTCTGGATCGTCAATGTTCTCAAAGATTGCCAAGAGGGTCTCGTTCAGGTCCGCTTCTTTTATCGCGGACGATCTACGAGATGCACGGGTTGCCTCAGAAGCGGCAATTTCAGCAAAGAGCAGAGCCGTCTTGTGCATGCCGCAATGAGTTGCGGACGACGCCGCCATGGTGTAGTCGATATCCAGCCAATGCAGCCGATCTACGATTGACGTCTCTTTGGGGTACTCTTGGGTTCTAAGGTAAAGGACCGAATTGATCAGGAGTTTGATGTTCTCCTTGGCCGTTTGGTCGGTTGAAGCGAGCCACTCCTTCATAGCTCCGGACAAGGACTTCTTGATAACCTGCTGCTGCTCCAGCTGAAAGTAGAGCACCAGGTGGACGACAAAAGGAAAGGCCCTTTCAGCGAAGCCCTTGACTTGAAGAAGCACGGGCGAAAGAACAGAGAGGAGGATCGAGTGCGGCACCGACTGAGCAAGGAATGCGCTCAGCCGAGGCAGCCAGCTCTGTGAGGTGACATCTTCAGCCCACGAGAATTGTTCATCCTCTGGCAGCCCAGTAGGCGCAGTTTCCGAAGGCGGAGTGCGATAGGAGCCCCATTGAGATGCATCGAAGAGCGACTCGGACAGGCTTTGCTGGCCGGCCGTGACGAGTGGTGCGTCGTCTTCTACAACAGCTCGCGATATTGCAGTTCGCAACGCCGCTTCAGCTAATCCAGCTGTGACGGAATCGGGATTCATCGTAAGGCCCTGGAGGAGATTGAGGAGTCCCATTTCAGACCCATGCGGCCCTGGAGCAATCTTTTCATACTGCTCGAGACGCGATTCCCGCATGATATCTTCGGGGATGGTACCAGAGGCCAGAAACGAACGGCCGACGACTCGTCCTGCCCAAGACAGATAATTGTCGCTGAGATTCTGAGCTCCACAGCTCTTCCATACCGCTGAGACATGCGCGACGGCATGCTCGTCGCTTTCCACAACATCGTTTCTGCTGTGTGACGGGATCGTGAAATCGCCGCAGAGAAGGCCGAGGGCCAGCTGGCGTGAAGACTCGTTGAGAAGCTGCCTTACTGCTATCTCGTCGTTCAGGATATCGAGCAGCAGCTTACTTTCCGAGGTATTCTTCTCCGCATTGCCGGAAGACCTTATATGAGCTGCCGACGTAGTGATGGATTTGAACAAGTCATTCTGCTCCTGGCTTTCAAACCTGGGGGAAGTGTATTCTGACAGATACCGGCTGAACCATTCGTGGAACTTTTGCGCCTTGCTCATGGTAGCCTTGAACTGGCTCTCTTGAGTGGTACTCGACTGACTGGACTCGAGGAAAACCCTCAATGACGCCAATGCCGAAAGAGAGTAGCCGGCGAGGAACGATGGGACCTGGGCCAAGTATGCTTTCCCTCGCGATAGCAGGTATTGGCTTAGCCCGAGCGCATCGTCAGCGCATTCGGAGTCCACAAGGAAGCTCCGAACAGAGCTCAATAGCATTTCCAAGCAGTATGATTCCAAGGCAACCTGTCCGGCCAAGCAGATCAATATCCTTACCTTGCGAAGGACGGAACAGGCGTGAAGAGAGCCGAGGGCCGGATGTACTGTGTTGAACAGCTTCCGAGCGATGGAAACGACTACCGCTGGTGTCCAAAGTTCGTGAAACTGGAACTCGGTGCCCTGGCAAAGGCGCACAAGTTCTTTGAAGACATGCTTTGCTTTGAACTCGGGCTGCTGATTCGGCGGAAGAGTAACTGGTGAGTGGGCAATAGCCTTGATAGCTTGTAGGTTTTCGCCTGCGTATTGGAAGTGCGGATTTTTCATAAAGAGCATGTCAATAGAGTCTTCTTGATCGATAAGATCGAAGAAGAGGGCAACGATGTCGACGAAATGAATATATACCGACTCGATATATGGCTTGGGGCCCAGCTTGCTTCTGATGCGCTCTTCCCCTCTTGCCTTTGCTTGACCTCCTAATGCGGCTGCGTATAGGAGACTATATGATAGCGCGGTTGAAAAGTTTTGCTGGATAAGCTGCGACTCCGAGATGCCAATCAGGCGAGCAATGTCTGCACTCGCAGAGTCCTGCCCTCGCATTGTTGCAAGGCCGATGGCCTCGGCCTGTGCAGACTTCAGCAGATCCCCGAGGCGGGCGTATCCGAAGATGGCATACGGAATGCTTTCCACTGTGTTGCTTTCGAGCCAGGTATATAGAAGCTGGCGAGAGAATAACTGAAAGATCTCTGCTGGACTCTTGAGATCGAGAACAACAGCAATGTCCGCTAAACATCTCTTTGCGTAGTCGGATGTTTCAGGAATCGTGCCTGGTATCTCAAAAATGTGATAGGTGCACCTCCTGAGGAGAGTAGGCCAGCTGCAAGCAATCTTGGCCAACACCAGCAGGCGAAAGGCAATGCCTGCTTGGTTGTCCCGATCAGTCGGGAGGCTATCCAGAACATCCAGGAAAACCTCATCGTGCAGCATCAGGATGAAGAGCTCGAAGATATCAGCCACTCTCTCCGCGATGAAGCATTTGACCTTCATTGGCGCGTTCTTGAGGATTAAGAGCAGCGAGGTTCGGCATGAATCAAGCCCGAGCTCACTTCCGTATCTGGGACTGACCCTCAACAAAGTGAATAGCAAGCGGGCGAGTGACATCTGAGTCTTTGCAGACAGGACATTGGAAGGGAAGCAGACCTTTACGAAATGATCATACAAGTCGCCCACCATATCCGCCAGGCTTCGTTCATCTTGAAGCCAGATGTTGCTCAAGCCGTCAACCACCTCGATGCAAGTGGTTTGGGCAATTTCACAGTACTGATATTCCGGGGTGCCGACTATCTTTCCGAGTCTCTCGACGATAGCCAAAGCTGCTTCTCCGTCCACAAGAAGATCTGATCGGACAATCTCCATTAGGAGACTTTGGCATGCGAGCAGCTCGTCATCGGGCAGTGCTAAGAGATGATGGACATAGGAAGTTGGCAATAGACCAAGCTGGCTTTTGTCGTGATGAATGAGTGTCAGAAGCACCAACCGTAACCTCGTATCGATGTGGAATACTTGAGGATTTGAGCAGAGTTGCACATTTTGTCTCGGGAGAAGGAAGTTGACGCTGGAAGTAAACATAGCTTGGCTGCTGTAGGAGTCGAAGTCGTCGTCGATATCCATAGTGTCTGCTTGGCCACCTGAGCGCTGACTTGACTGCCGCTGCTCTATGCGTTCGGAGAGCTTGGAGAGAAGACTGAGAATAGCAGAATTCTCTGCATACATTCGGCTCAGAGTCGTCGTGCTGATGTCAGGTATGCAAGTCCGCAGCTCTTTCAATGTCAAGTCGACGAACGCTGCAGGCTCGACGGAATCCAAGGCGGCTGAGAAGCCATCCTCAGCCAGTTCCAACAGAAGCGCTTCTAGGGAAGCAGATTGAGACGAGTTCAGATCGCCCAGATAAGGTACCAGCAATGCTCCCGCAATGCATGCAGACATGAGGCTTTGAAAGCGATCAAACGTGATCTGGGTCCCCCCATTGTTGGCTTTCTTGGTCCACGACATACACACTTCTTTCAGCTCTTCGAGTCTGGGATAGAGCAGCTCTAAAACGAGCTTCTTCAGAGTGTGAAAGCTTGCCGCATCTGCCGCGAGAGGAGGGGCTTCTTTAGCTGACGAAAAGCAGCACTCGTTGGGTATGATAGCACTGGTCTCACGTCCTAGCAGAAGAAGATACTCGTTGAAATCTCCAATTTCTCTCTGCGATATCCACGACTCGCTCAAGGAACCGCCAAATGCAGTGTCATGACGGGTCGAAGGAAGTGGGCGGGCTCCGAAGCATAGTCGCAAAATGTTGACGAGGTCAATGGGACTCACATGAGCGGAGTGGAACGACGCATATGACAGCTCGCCTGGAGTTAAGGACCAGAATTAGCAGAAATCACCATGCTCTTCAGCTTTGAGACCTACTCGGATTCCACCGCGAGAAGACCCATCTTATGATGTGGCTTGATGTGCTCTGACTGGTGCTGGGCAGCCTAGAGTTGCGAACGTGGAATAAGTGTGACATGAACGCGAGGGACGTATCGCACAAGGTGCCAGGCCCATTTATATCTGCAGTCGTGATCATGTTGTTGATGTCGTCTGATATATCATGATACGGCAGAATGTCAGTTTCGATGATGATGTGAAGAGCAAGACAAGCGGCGCGGCTTGTCGCCGGAGGGCTGACTGCTCGGGCAGCCAAATGCCATATTTGCCTCCATACGTCGAGCTGCAGTCGACACTCTTTCGACCACAACGCACAACTGCGTATGGGAGTCAGTAATGGCTAGACACAGCCAGGGTCTGGCAACTCACCTAGAGCAGGCAATCAGGGCCCAAGACGCTGTGATTGCGTCGTTGTCTCCAGCAAAGCTGACAAGGTCCGCTAGAAGTTCACCGACCTCACCATGGCTCAGTGTACTGGTTGCGAGCATGAACGGCACCAGTTGCAATGCAGTCCGGACAGTTCCCTCGTGTTTCGATTTGAGCTTGACCCTGATGGGGTTCGGATCTTGGTGAATCCGGCGCCTTTTCCTTGGTTGCTCACCATTCTCAGCATCCGTATCCGCGGTCTCGTTTCTAGGACGCAACAGCACGGCCTCCAAAAAAGCAAGGTTTTGAAGGACGGCCCAGTGGCCCTCCCCTTCGGCATTGTGAGGGCGGAGTCCAAACAAGCCAAGCTGCATGACGTGCCCATGCGAAGCTGACGAGGTCAAGGTCAGGTCAGTGAGTTGCAGGCGGAATGCCTCGCTTCTCTTAGAGTACTCGTGCCATAGAGGCTCAACGAGATTTCCCAAGTCTTCGCGTACGTTGACGTCCCAAAGATTGATTGCGAGATGCTCCAGATGCAGATGCATGAGAAATATGCTCCTTGAAATCTCGTTCCTCAGAGCCTTGATGAGTTCATCCTGAGAGACCTTTTCAGCGCGCCACCAGTATCCCATATGTGGTAGTGTAGCTTTGGCCAAGGCGACTGCATCGCCCAAGCTGTCTGCTTCGGTAGCTCGAAAGACGACATTAATAATGGAAAAGCACAGCGTCTGCGTGGACCCCAGGTTGAGATGCCTCGTACCAAGGATCCTGAGAGCGAGATCGGTAATGTCCTTTGTTCCCCGGAGGAGAGGGGCATTTGCTGCTGATACCAAGTGATATAGTCCTTCAAGCGCATCCTTCAGAGGCCCACCATCACTCCGTCCGTTATGGAGCTGTGCTTGCAGAGACGAGTTTGACCTGGGCAGGGATCGGGAAGAAGAGGCAGTCGGCGCAGGAGACGCTCTCGTGAGGTGAGGCAACGTAGCTGTATCTTCTTCGCTGGGGAGAACATGGTAAGCAACATCGAGAAAGAAGTTGACGCAAACCTGCCACGGTTCGGCATTCTTCCTGGCCAAGACCTCAGCATGAGCCTGGCGGGACACAATCTCCGTCAAGGTTTTGACATAATCCCGCAATAACGGCTCTATGAAGTTGTCATCAGGGCCACGCAAGACTTGGGTGATGTGGTCCACAATGGCAAGCACCGTCTTCCGTCCTATCTTGGAGGCTCCCCGAATGGCCGCCAGCCTGACTGCGGCTGCGCATTTCGACCACCGCACCAAAACAGCAGGATCTTTTTGCTTTGCCTTGGATTGTGGCTGTTGTTTCGCCTTGGTCTTGGAGGTTGATTTCGCGGTTGGCTTCTTGGCCCCATAGAAGGATGCTTTGTCGTCAATGACAAACCTGAATATGGCTTCGAAGATTTCGTGCCAGCTTTTGTCTCCTAGATCAGAGCTGGACAGTGTTAGAGCCATAAGGCGGCCACGACGCAGAGGAATGGAATGTGTCATACAGATCCGCGATGGAGCTGCCGGTAGGTTTCAACAGCTGTGACAAATCTTATCAAAACGACGTTAATTACTGCATTGCAATGAAGTAAGTGTGTTTTCCTTGTTCGTTTACCTCTGAGAGCTGGTACGCGGTCCTTGATGTTGCCTGACCTCACCCGGCCTGGAGTCGTGGTTGGTTAGTAGCAGAACCGCTATAAGAGAACATGAGGCGACAGACGCACTCGCTAAGAGCATGACGCTTGAGCCGTCAGAAGCCATTCTTCTGTTGCTTCTGAAGAAACATGTGACTTTGCCGTCTATGTGATGCTCATTGGGGTGAATAACAGGCGTCTTTTGGTCATGAAGCAGGCGCGTCGTCGCGATGGTGCTTCATGTGTCAATCCCGTACGCTGCTAAGTAGGTAGGTATATGTATAGTACCTAAGGCAAGGAAGGTATTTGGTCAGACGAGTCAGGGCGTCTAAGACGGATAAGCCAGTACAACAGACCAAAGGGCAAGAAGAAACAAAAGAATGGCGCCCCAAACGGGATCAAACACGCAAACCTGCGGTGCTCAAACGACGATGACGATGACAGGCATTCACTGTTTTCTGCTCCAGGCTCCCAGTTCAAAGGTTGTTTTCCCCAGGGCCGTTGCCTAGAAACTGCGTTTCAAGCTGAGCTGAGCTGCGCCGCGAACTGCCAGTGGTGGACGGCACCGGCAATATCACTCACCGCCTTCCCGAAGCACATCCCGGACGAGGCTGGCAGAATCGCCAAAATATCGAGAAGCTCCAGTCCGTCCACCAACACGTCGCTTTCTTACGGCTGGCACCGATTTGCGCGTCTGGCGATCCGTGGGCGGGTGTATTATCGCGACAGCCTTCAATTCCAACATGCAATAGCTGCCAACCGCCAAGATGGCCGAGATCACAACACTAGACGCCCTCCAGGCCCTTCACCGCGAGCTGTTGACGCTGAGCAGCGGTGCGGGAAGCAGCTCCGACAACCTGAGCAACGACCTGCTATTCGAAATCTTTGAGAAGGAGTTGGCGGCGCTATGGGAGCGCCCCAAGAAGAGCGACAAGAGCCGCGCCACGGTCAAGACCGGTATGAAGCACCGACTATGCACTGGGAACCTGGTGGACCGCGAAGGGAACGACAACAGCTCACAGCTTCTTAGGCAAGGTCTCCGTTGACGGCAGCCAGTATTCGCTCAACGACAAGTTCCAGCAGGATGTGTTCGCGCTATCCGACGAGATCGACCTCGACGAGCTGGAGGCCGTCCGATATCTCCTCGACTCCCAAGACGACGTCTCCGTCATGGGCCGATCGCTTCTCGAGTGCGCCGTCATCCGCTTCCACCAGCAGCGGAAATACGTTCTCGACTCGTTTAGGCTCTTTCTGGAGCTGAACAACATGGACTACGACGGAGAGGAACCGAGCGCGTTGGAGACGATCAAATCCTACGTTGACACCCGCCTGCTTCGAAAGACTCCCGGCGATTCGAAGCGACTTGCGCCCCGATGTCTACACGCGATGGCGGAAATCAAGACATGGCTACAGAGGCTGGGAGAGAAACTGACGGCGGCTCAGACTCTGGGGACTGTGCCCACAGATGAGCTTCCAGAGGAGCTGGAAACCGTCGAGTTCTCGCGCGTGAGCCTGATTCAGCAGCACGAAGCTCTGGGTGTCATCCTGTGCGAGTGTGTGGACAAGGGGCAAGTCGAAACGGAAGACTTTCTAGAATTCATCTCCGTCCTGAAGAAATGGGATAAATACGATACACTACTAGGTCAGTGCAAGCTGCTGCTGCTTCGCCGATGAGCCATAGATTGGTTGAGCTAACATGGCCCTACCCCCAATAACAGTCCACCTCGTTCCAGCCATCGGCGCCTACATGTCGGTCTTTGCGTCGTCTGAAGGCGGCTACGATTTGAGGCAGGGCAGAGAGCTTAACAGCAAGATCTTCCCTCCCGCGGACGATTCGACCTGGCCGCTACCATTCTTACACGCGACCGTTCGGGCGTGGTGGCTTGCAGAGCACAGTGGATGGTATCTGGATGATCCTCCCGAGTCTGCGATCCCACCAGGCACCGACCTTGACCGAGGTATGGGCTTTGATTGCTGGCTTTGCGTTTGGACTGAGCTAACAGGTCCCCAGAGGATCGCCAGAGGTCGAAGCAATTTATAGACTCCCTGAAAGATGGCGCATTCGACTTCATGCTCTCGGTGGCTGGTGATGTCCGCTCTCCAGACTGGCATGACTCCGTTCGCGCCGGCATGCGCAAGTGGCTACAACGAAAATCATCACCCCTGGTCTCCGAGCGAACCCAGTTTTCCAGCTTCTTCCAGCTGTGCTTGATGTCGCAGTTGGAAGTCTTCGTTGACGCCTTCATTACCAATCTGCCTGATGTGCTGCGAAAGCTTCGAGTGGAAGAAGACGAGCAGCGCCAACTGAGCCAGACGCACGAACAAGACCTGGATCTGGAGAGATTTCTGTTAATCATCGCTTATGCCTATGAGGGCCGACCAGATGCCGCTGCAAACTTCTGGCAAGACCCGGACAGCAACCTTGCTGGATTCATGCACTGGGCCTCTCGGAGAGCTTCGACACCCTTGGTTGCGGCTTTCTGCGAGATGCTCCAAGCTATTTCAGTAAACGACGAATGCGCCACGGCCGCGCACGAGTTCCTCCTGGACGAAGGCCATCACTCATCCGGCAAGATGAGAAGGACTCAATCTCTGACGTGGAATCAGATATTCAAGGAGCTTGACTTTTTCTCGGACAAGATCAGGCAGAAGCCCATTCAAACCCAGTCACTCAGATTCCGCGGCGGCAAGCTCTCCGCCGATGTCATAGAAACGGAACCCGAGTCGTCCATGATGCTGGAGTGCTACTTGCGCCTCATCACCAAATTAGCGAGCGAGAGCGAGACTACCAGACATTTCCTGCTGCTAAACTCTGGTTACAATCTGGTCGATATGCTGTACGAGTTGGCGAGCAGCCCCATTCCTTCTCAGCTGCGCGGTTGCGTCTTTCTGGCATTGAGAGCCCTCATAAGCCGCAAGAGCCTCCAGGAGAACCACGCAATGTGGAGGTGTTTGGAGAACTGGATTTCCGGCGGTTACGTTGGTACCGCCACGGGCACGATACGACCGCCACAGCCGGCACCTCTAGTATCAATGGATCGCATCTTCGACGAGATGAGCAACGGCTTCGAAGACCCCGAGTCCTTCATCAAGCTCTTGCTTGAGCTGGTCACCCCAGCAAGCGATTCTAGTCCTCTGAACGACGGTCTGCCGTTCCCGGAGAATCTCGGTGCCAGCTCTCGAGCGCCTGGCATCGAAGTTTACGTCGACTTTGTCATTGGCCTTGTCTTCTCATCAAAGATTCAGGAGTTGCAAGACGTCCATCAAATAAGAGTCCTCAGACTTAGTTGCTTGGAGTTTATCCTTGCTTGCCTCACCACGTTTAACGAAGATCTACTAGTTTTGGCGAACGAGACGAACATTGCCATTGATTCCTTAGTCTCAACGACCGACTTGGCGACATATGTTCGGATGCATCCTTTTGCGCGCGTGATGGAGTGGATGTTCAACGACAGAGTGATGTCGGCCCTCTTCAACACCATTCACCAGAAGTCTGTCGACATTGGCAACGCGACTCCCGACTCACCACTCATCTTGGGCGTGCTGCGGGCGGTAGAGGTCATATCAAAAGTCCTTGATCTGGAAACGACCTATCTCGATCTCGTGCGTCCGCTCATCAAGAGCCAGTCTGGCCCGCGTAGACACCCGGTCGCCAATGCTGCCTATGCCTCGTTTCAGGATGGGCTGGTGACGAGACTGAACCTGGTGGTGGACCTGGGAAAATACTGCGGCATAGGTCACCCTGACTTGACTTTGGCCTGCCTCAAATTGCTGGAGAAGATGGCGTCGTCATCCAAGATCACGGCTGCCTGGTCTGGCACAAATCGTCATGCCCATCGAAACAAGGCAATCGTTGCTATGGAAGCGAATGGAGAGCACGAAGGCATATCAAGAGCATTCATCGCTGAGGTAATGACGCCTCTTGAAGCTGCAAATGGAGCAGACTCCCCCCTCTACACTACGAAGATTTACATCTTGGACTTCTTATATCAATGTCTCCGGACGACGCCAAAGGAGCCTACCATTGCGCACCTGCTGCTGGGATTCAAGTGCGGGCTGGATTCGCTTTCAGTCGAAGTCAACGGCGCGTTTGCCTCCCGCACGTCATTATTCCACACCATCTTGGGTCTCCTGCTAGAGTCTCCCTCCAACGATGCTGTTGGCATGAGACAGTGGCTGATTGGCATCAAGTCCCGCGTGATGCGCATATTAAATATCCTTTGGAGCTCGCCGCTGTCGTCAGCAATCGTCGTTCGAGAGCTTCGCGAGAACGAGCTTCTTTTCCACCTTCTCACCCGCGAGACAATTATCCATCCCGACCTCTCTTGGGAAGGCCAAAACGTCGGAAACGCACAGTTCCCAATGACCGATGGAGCCGTAACGCTGATTGAATTCCTGACGCTTCGGAGTATGACCTTGGAGTACATCGCCATGGAGCTCTGCAAGATCGCTCAGGGGCGTATGCCTGGCGTGAAGCGACGCATTTTCGATGCTCTGAACGGCCAAATTGTCATAGAGGGCAATGAGACGATTCAAACGCCGACCGTCTTTGACCTGTTCGACTTCCTTCTGCCGGACGGGTTTTGGCAGATTCCGCCGCCATCGATTCAGTTCTACAAGGACCTGGATCTCTCTGCCTGCCTAGAGAAGGACGATGATGCCAACCAAGTGTACAATCTGGAGCGCGTGAGGGAGATTCTCCTGTTGAAGAGAGGGGAAGCGCAGCAAAACGCAGTCATCCCGGTGAATGACTTGGCACTTATCGAAAGGGAAGAGGCGATGATCCTGGAGTATCTCGTTTCCTGTGACAGACAAAGACAGATCTCTTCACAGTGTCTCCGAGTTCTGCGCTCATGGATCAAGGTGTTGCTCGTCATGGTTGAATCTTGCGACTATAAAGGCGCGGCGCAAACGTCTTTCTTCCTTCAAGCGCTGCAAGCCATCTTGCCAAGTCTAGAAATGTTCGCCTCAGATCGTCCAGATGAGGCTTTAGAGATGGCCAAGCTGGCTAGGGTCTTGCTCTTCAAGCTTGACTTATCGCCCCTTTCCACCGAAGACAAGAGCAGCAGCGCCATCGGCAACCTGGTGAGCGACAAGCTGTACCAGCTCTTCCAAATATGTCTCCAGGCCATTGGCAAGTGGGCAGGCTCTCCCGCGCTGAGATCTGTCTATTACGAAATCTGCTACCGGTATCTGACAGGCATGTCCGAAGATCAAGGACCACTGACGGCTAGCCGCCCGAAGACGTTCAAGACGGTTCAGGTATACGGAGAGCGACTGCTCAACGTTGTTTGCGATGATGCCTACTGCGGAGAGCCGGCGTGTCAGACAGCAGCCCTCATCTTCCTGGGCGCGCTCGTCCACATGGACAGCCAAGAGCGAGAAAACTACATCGTCGAGACGCTTAACAAGCTGAACTTTATCGGTATTCTCATTGACTCTTTACGAAACATCATGAAGGAATGGCACGATGTCTTTGCATCCAGTGCGTGATCCCCCTTTGCCCTCTTATATACCTTCTCTATACTCTGGTGCTAACAGCAATGTTTTAGACAACACTGACCAGCAAAACTTCCAAAACGCCCGCCTCGCCATCATCCTCCAGCTGGCCCAGTCCCGCATCGGAGCCAAGTACATCCTCCACGCCAACCTGTTCCGCACCCTGGAACACTCTGGCCTCTTCGCCGCCGACCCCGAGCTGCAAACCAACCCGGCAAACCCTCGGGCCCTGGAGCAGCATTACGACCTGCTTGCCCGCGTCGTGCGCATCATCGGCGCGGCCATCCTGAGCCGCGGCAACAACAACGTGGCCCAGGGGCGCAAGTTCCTGACGGACCACCGCATGCTCGTGAGCCACGCCCTGAAGCGCAGCGCCGGCATTGGCGCAGGGAACGAGGACCGGCGCCTGGAGGAGCGCATCGAAGAACTTGCCGATGCGCTGGTGGTTGTCATTGCTGCCACGAGCTTCCTGGATGTAAGTTCTCATTGAACCCCACTCCCTCCTTCTTCGTGACTCCCTATTTCACACTTTCTCACTACGCCTCATCACATGAAACATTTCTAACCTTTTTGTCTTTCTTCCTCGCAGTTTGAAAATGACATTTTGCCTGAGCCTAGACAGCATGACCAGCCGCTTTTTCATTGAAGCGTAAGAGAGAGGGGGGGATAGGGCACAAAGAGAGGGTTGTTCTTGTTTGATTTCTTCTTTTTTCCTTCCCAGGTTAATGCTTCGTTTTTGACACTTTAGAATACCTTATGTAAAGGCATAGTAATGGTAAAAGGTGCTTTTGATCTGCGGTTTAAAGTCAACTTGCTCTTTTAGATGAACGAATGAAAGAGAGTAAACAAAGACGGAAAGAATGAATCAACAAGGAATGAAGGCACTGAATGTGAATCTACGATGTATCAGTTTCATGGAGTTTCACATCTAAAAAAGTAAACAATCACCAGATCGAGCAGAACCTATGTTAAATTGAAATTTCCACTTTTTTTGGGCTTCCTTTCTTCTTTTCTATTCGTATGTGGTTATGGTAACGCTATATACGTCGAAGGCAATATGCAAGCCTGAGCGCGTCATGTCCATGCCATTGTGGATGGCGAAATGAAGTCTAATAGTGGCTCCTCCGTCAAGCCCGGGGAACAAAAATGGTATGAAGAAACAGCCCCCCAAACTCCAAGGTATACTCCGCTGACGTCTGTGGTCGTAATTGCCGTCCTAGCGATAATGCCAACAACAAAAGAGAATCACGATGTGTGTGTGGATAGATAAAAGTCTCATTCCCTTTGCTGATGGATGTAGGGAAGAGGAGGAAAAAGAAAAAGTCGTAATGGCGCCGCCATAAGAGGTGAAGACGAGGCCAAGGTTCAGTCGATATCTTGGGCTTTCCGCTTGCCTTGCCGCGTTCTCGTCATCAGCTTGAGCTCCAGCGGCCAATAGCCCTTCGTCTTTGTGGTGTATGTCGCGCGCGGCTTCATGTCAATCTTGGTTCTGCACATGGGGCATTTGCCTCTGGTGGTTTCCATGCTCAGCGAGGAGTGGAGGCATTGGGCACAAAAGAGATGACCTGGGCGTGATGTGAGCAATCTTGTCGTCGTTTGAAGGAAAAGGGCACGAGGAAGAGGGAGGACTTACCACAATGTGTGAGAGTCAGTCCCGTCACGTCGTCCATACATATAACGCATTGGAACGCAGACAGCTTGACTCTCTTGTCCACCTCGGGCTTCTTGAGCTCCTCGGGGACGTCGGTGGCTTCCGTCAAATCTATCGTAGTGTACTCTTCGACTTTGGAATTGGCCGAGGCAGGCCTCGAAGGGCTGGAGCCGAACAAGCTGTCGACATCGTCGTCGTCTTCTATCAGAGTGCTCTGTGGTTGCGCGGACGTGGGTGGTGCTGCGGAAGGCGAGATCCTCCGCCGTTTGCGTGAGGGTTGTGCAGCAGCCGACGAGCCATGAGTTTCCGGAGGAACTCGGCCGCGCAGCCGTCCAGACGTCGCTGGCATGGTGTCAAACGTGGATGGAACAGAAACGCCGGGAGTGTTGGAAAAGGGCAGTTGGAAGCCTGCGAAGCCGTCGAGGTCGTAGAAGATTTGGTCAAGATCACTGTTGTCGCTGTGAAAAGGGAAGTCGCCAAAATTGTTGAGCGGAGAGAAATCTTGTTCCGAGATTGGCGGCACGGTTGGGGACAAGGCTGTATTAGCAGCAGAGCTAATCCGACTGGGTCTCGTGGCGTTGTTTTGAGGCTGCAGGTGTGCTGAAGGCGCCGCAGTCGCGGGTGTAGCAGCGGCAGTCAAGGGCGAGAGCGCTGTGAGAAACGCGCTTGTCGAGCTCGAGGCTGAGGCTAAGGCTGGAGACGATGCAAGGAAGCGACTGAACGGGGACTGTGGCAGCTGCGACGGTGACTGGAGCGGCGGCTGCTGTGAAGTGACTGGCGCATACGAGGTCTCGCTCAGGAGACGGTCCAGGGCGTTGAGAGCACGGGATCGGGCAGAGAAAAGGGTGTTGCTGGCGGCAGCGTCATCCTGCGGCCATCCGTCGGACTGGCTGAGCTGGCTGGCGTAGGTGGACCACGAGTTGGTCGTCTGCGGCCCGAAGACGGTCTGAGGGCGGTCGAAGGGCGAGTTGAGCGGCAAGAAGGGATCGGGCTGCAGCGTGGAGAGGCCGAATTGACTGGCGCCGGTGATGCTGTCGGAGCCGGGATGCGAGGGAGAGGCTGAGGCTGAGGCTGGAGCCGAGGCTGCAGCCGGTGTTGAAGGAGGGAAAACTGAGTGGCGCTGCTGTCGCGGAGTGGGATACTGGCTAAGTGGCGAAATCTGGAGCAGCGGCGGCAGAATCGGGCGGGCGGTGGCGGGAGATGGGATTAATAAGGGCGATGAGGCAGCGACAGCCGCAGAAGAGGCGGACGCGGCAGAACTGGCGGAGGGAGGAGCAGATGCGGACGGTCGAGGAGAAGATTGGAATGTCGAAGAGTGAGGAGCGTATTGCTGGTGCTGGTGCTGGTGCTGGTGCTGCTGTTGTTGCGGCGTGGTGAGGCCGGGCGCTGGGTTCTGAGCAGACGCCGCCGACACGGACGCTGCGAACAACGACGAAGCAGACAGCGCAGGCGGCGGTGTTGAGCGGCGGAAGGACGGCGGCGGCGGCAACGACAGCAGCAACGGAAGTGGTGACGAGGACGAAGGCGCCGATGGTCGAGATGCCTCTTGTCGTGATGCCGCCGAGGTCGGCGACGGAAGATTCCAAGCAGCGTACTGCTGCGTCCTTTCGAGGCCGACAGCAAAGCCAGAGCCGGATCCAGACCGCGAAGCCATTGAACGAGATCGCCAGACGAGAGACACGGATGAAGAAGGAATGGAAAAAGGGAGAAGACAGGAGAGGAGAAAGAAAACCCCCAGAAACGCTCAGGCCCAGCGGCGAAACGGGCCTGACAGACAGCTGGTGGGATCCGGATGCTGATTATAAGCGAGTCTCCAGACGTTCATAGGGCCTCATCGTCGCTGCATCGTGACATGTCATGATCTGCTATGTGAACGGATGGCCGGCTGCGAGAGAATGGGAAACACGAGGCCAGCACGGTCTACAATCATGGACCGCCGGGCTCATCAGAGACAGGAGTTGAATCAAGAAAAATGAAGGAGACGGCGCAGAAGAACAGGGCAAAAAGGCGGAAACAGAGGGCAAATCCCAGGCTCAAGGTGTGGTAATACAGTCGTAATATCGACCGCGGGTTCGCCGACCATGGCGGTTGCAGCCGCCGCACCGAGTCAGAGCGCGGACCGCCGAGCTAGTGGAAATGAACATGAAATCAGGGAACGGGAGAATATATTACTACTACCTAGGCGTGTATGTATGTATGTATGTATGTGCTGTGGCGGGCAGCAAGCAAGCAAGCAAGCTGCATGTCTCAGCGCGCGTCTGGTTTTGCTGCTCGTATTGCTGCCCTCGATTGGCGTCTTTTTCTGCCGGAGACATGGAAACGAGGTACAATGACTGCAGTCGATGGACTGATATGATGGTAAGACCGATGAGGGGGAGTCAGATGGAAATGCGATGCAGACACGACGGTCCTATAAGGGAGATTATATGTGAGCAGAGGCGTTGGTCACCGTAAGGTAGGTAGGTATTAGGTATTATTCTGAAGCAGAAGCAATTCTTTTTTGGTAACAGAGATCCAGCCATTTCTGGCACGGGCAGGTGCCATGTCCAGCGTCGTTCAGTTCCACCGCCTGCCAAGCTGGGCCATCAGCATCAACTCCGTATACTTCGACTTCACGTCTTTTGCACCTCCAAACCCACACTCTTGACCCTCCAACTCTCAAATGCTCTTCCTTGCCTCGCCACCGCTCTTTAGCCCGTCTTCACCTTCACCTTCACCTTGACGCCGTTTGCACCGATTCACCGCCCGTCGTATATCATCAAAGGGCATTGGACATCTGCCCACCGGCGCCACCACCTCGGCGACTGGTATTGTGACATGTTAGTCCCATTACTTCGCACAAGCGCGCCCGAAGGCAGCCTCCGTGAGACTGGCCATACACAACCGCTGCCTCTCTGATTCGCCTGCTTGCCGTCCTACTGCGGCTGCTTTGTCACAGCATGCAGCCACGGCCCCGTGGCTGTTCTCAGTGGCTACTGTGCTGTGGGTGTCTCCAAGAGCCTCAAGTCTCAGAACTGACGGTCCTGCCACTCCATCCCTTCCAAGTCCGCCTTTTTCGCCCTCCACAGAGAGTGATGGGCCACGTTCTTCCTGCGTTGATCAGTGGTGATGGCCTGTCAACGACAAAGACGCCCTGATATAAATGGTCTCGATGGGGGTATCAAAGACGCCCTTTGTACACATGCCCGGCTCTGCTTACCGGCCAACAGCCAACAACGCCATCGACCCCTTTTTGTTGCTTTTCTGGTGAGTACGGAATGTCAGCCACTCTCTGCCTAACTACGTTGCAGGCCCTGCAGCATATAGAGAAGCTGCGCGGCTATGTCAACTATGACTCCTGGCGGCTCCTCATCATGGCCAATGCCCGCGCTCTGGGACTCGCCTCCCACCTCGACGGGTCTGCGCGGAAGAGCTCGTTGATACCTCGAGCGAAAGAGGCTCATGCAACTGCCGAGTCATGTGCCCGCGTCCTCATCTTGGGCTCGATTGCACCAAACCTCTTGCCGGTGCTGCTGGAGCGCGGGCTGCAGGACAACACCTCTGCCGCCGATCTGATGATGTGGCTGCATTCCACGGTCAGCCCACGAGAGGCCACCGAAGCGGCCCACAATGACCTGGCAAAGCTCATGCGCATCAAGCGCAAGGATTTTCCGTCCATGGAAGCCTATAGCAAGGAGGCCCTGAATCTGTGGGCTCGCATCAGTGACTGCTGGCCGAGCAGCGCCATGGTCATCGCCGCAATGTCCATCCTTGAGGGCATGAGGTCGTATAACGAGAACGCGTATTTAGGCTGGAAGCACTTTGTCATTGACAAGAAGGGCATGCTTTCTCAGCAGAATCTGCTTGATCTTGCGATGGCGTTGAGGGACCACCAGGAAGACCGACATACCTCGTCTTCTATCCGTGTGATGGATATGATTGTCGAAGAAGAGGAGAAATCAGACCATTCAGGTACTGAAAGATAAGCGTGCCACATGTATCTGGCGGTTGGTGCCAGCTCAGCAGATTAGCGACACTAGAAAGCGAGGCAGCCAGTAAGTGTGTCTTTGATCTCTGATCAACATCCTCAAGGAGAAGATGCATCATGACAGCACGATGGTGACTTGGATCAACAGGAAAGTTAGTGAATTGATCTTGCGAATATACAGAAAAGCATCTCAGTCAGGCACAATATCACGCCTCATCCTCCGTCCACCTCATCCCCCCTTCGTTATCACTCTGCCCAGAGCAGCCTCAAAATCGTGCTCGTGCTCCAGAACAGTGAGGCCGAAGCCGTTGCTCAATGTCCAGCAAGCTCTCCATCATCTTCTCCTTGACCGCCCTGATCCGGCTCGCCACGTCCTCCGCAGTGACCTGTCGCTGGCAGACGCGTGGCTCCAAGTCGACTTCGGTGGTGTCGAGGCACCAATTCACCAGCGAGTCATACTTTGTTCTGAAAGTCAACTCGGAGATGGATTCTACTGGTGGCGAAGCTGGTCCCGTCTGTGCTGACCAAGGCTCCCGTTCTTGCTCCAATACTGGCTCTGATGATGGTTCCGATTCTGGTGCTCTTCCGCCTTCTGATCCGTCTACGACTTGCGATTCTTCCGGTGTCGTCTGGCCTAGTTGTATCGCCGTCGCTTCAGCTCCTTGCCATGTCGTGACCTGGAGAAGAGCTTCGGCAGCAGCCGCCACTGCTGCTGCAACGTTGATCTCTTCCAGTGTTGCTTCCACCTCTGCATCTTCCATTTCTATTCCCACTTGTGTTTCCTCTTTTTCTTCGTCTTCTCCCACCACATGTACACCCACGTCCTCCTCTCTTCCCAGCTTCCCATGACCCCCGGCCTCCGATTCCGCAAACAAGACCAGTTCCAGCGCCGATTCATCAAGCATCCCATCCAGCGTCCCATCCTCCGAGAGAGCGGAAACACTGCCGAGAGAAGCCCGGCGATCCAAGTCACTCCGCAGACCCCACGCCGTATCCAGGTTTGGAGGCGCAGACCTGCGGCCGCTACCATCGGGCAGTTCGCCCGTCACGGCGTTGGCGTAAGAGAGGATCCTAGTGGAGGACTCGGAGTGGCATCTCCGAGCGCGGTATCTGTTTTCCCAGTCGTGGACGCCTTCGAGCCAGGCCCAGTCGAGAACGGCAGTGCGAGGCTCGGGAGATGTTTGATGGGTGCTGGTTATGCTGGTCGGGAACGAGTCGTCCGTGTCAGTGATGGCGAGATTCTCGAGATTGCTGTGGACTTTTTCCAGGAGCTCTTCGTAGTCATCCGGCAGCTCGCCAAGCTCTACATCTGAAGCCTCGCTGTGAAAAGGCAGCGGATGAGGCATGCCATCGCATGGAACTTGTTCTCGCTCGATGCCCTCTTTCGCAAAAACCCGCGCAACACTTTTTACAACGAGCCTCTTCTTGCACTGAACAAATTCCCAATCATCATCATCATCATCATCGCGATCCTCCCGCTTCCTCTTCATCTTCTTCTTCTCCATCTCCCCCCTACAGATCAGCATATCCATAGTTCTTCTCCGCGCCGCCACGGACGGCGAAGACGACGATGAGGAGGAGGTCCTGCGCTTGAATTTCCTCCTCCTGCTGCTGCGCGACGACGAGAGAGGAGTCTTTGATGAGCGGGATTTCTTGGGTGCTGTGCGGTCGGACGAGTCTGGGCGGGCGTGGAAGATGCCGGAGAGCATGCGGCGGGACTTTTTGATGAGCTGCATGTTTCGGGGGAAGAGAGTGGACATTTTCTGATGCCTCGCCTTGGATTCTTGAGCAGTGATGGGGGTGAGAGGAGGAGGTTGAGGAGGAGGAATTGGGATACGGTTCGCCTTCCTGCACGGATGCCTATGGGATGTACCTTGTATATAGTGATAGCATCGGTAGGAGCTGAAGAGCACTTTTTCATGTTATCGTTTCTCATCCGTCGTTGTGACATTTGCATACGAAGCCCCATCCAACTTATGTTGGCCTGAGCGAATCTCTATCTCATCGCCCTGAATGAATCGAGCAAACAGACCGCGGTGCATTGACCCGATGAAACGACTTGAAATAAGCCCTTCCTCATAAAGGACAATTTAATCAAGGCAAACAAAGAAACTTCGCTCATCGTTTTCAAAAAAACGAGTTTCATGTCCTTACTGCAATTGATTGAGTTACATATGGGATGATGCTATAAGTAACTTGCATCTCTTCCGTCTCTTTACAATCCATCTAGCTACATATGTCTCCTTGATCCCATCTGCCGGGGATTTGCTACGCACCCGCTCTTCTTTCTTTGTTGGTTTTGCTTCTATGTAGCTTCTTCATCTTCCTTGCATGAAGGAAGTCTTCCTTTGTTCCATATTACAAGCACTATAGAAAACATCCTCTTGAAGCTCTCATCTTATATTCCCCGTATGTGAAACAAAGAAAGTTCGCTCGCATCCGTCCATTTCAACTCCCATATACCCAATGAGTACCATTCCTGCGCTCCTTTCTCAAAACCACTGTAGCTTTTCAAGGGGGAGGAAATCAAGACCATCTCGCAAAGGGCTTCGAGAAACGTTTCGCTTTTCTTCCAACTTTCCAACAACGGACTTCATCCAAGAGTAGAATCTCAACAGTAGTCACCAGCCTGAATCTACGTTAGATACTATCTAGTACATACCTTGGGGATCACTAACACCCGTACTCATCTCACAACGGTTCCCATCGTTAGATCTACCTCTGTATCCTCCCCTAATTGTTACACCCGTTCCTGAGGGGTAAAGAGACACATCAACCAGCGCCCTCGGCACAAGTAAAACCTCGCCAGACGATTTCATCACCGCCTACCAGGTATGATAGTAAAGTTCCCAAGCTTACCGAACTCGAGTCACACCGCGCAATCCAAAACAATCACAGCATCAAAGCACGCATATTCAATGAGTCTCAAATCGTCCTTTTATTCATTTCATGCCACAAGCACCGATCACGTCGTACGTATCTGTGTGTCTGACCCCCTTGGTCTCGGTCATTCATTCTCATGCGCTCTTCCACCGTAACACTGCGTGACTCCTCAAGAAAAAGAAAAAGAAATAAACAAGAAAAAAATGCCTCTAATGTTCCAAACGACAAGAGTGACGTGAAGGAGAAGAGATGTGGCCAAGCGGACCAACGAGATTAGATACAACTTTTATAGAAACAAAGACATTATGGACCCGTCCTCTCCCTGGGTGAGAGGCATGCATTTCTAAGCACATCGCTCTCCTTTCTGTTCTATGATATCGCCGAAACAACGCCAATAGATGGATAGGGCAGCTCATCGCTGTCTGGATATCTCATGCATAAACCAAAAATTGCAAAGATGAAAAGAGTTGCGAAAGGGTGAAGTCAGGAGGGGCCCTAGTTGTGCTTGGCCAGACTCTGGAGGTTGACCAGCTCCGCATAGCGACCGTTCTTCTTCATCAGCTCGGGGTGGGTACCAGCTTCGACGATGCGGCCCTGGTTGAAGACGTAGATGACGTCGGCCTTCTGAATGGTGCTGAGACGGTGGGCCACGGCGATGGTGGTGCGACCCTTGGCGGCCTTGTCCAGGGCAGCTTGCACAACGTGCTCTGACTCGGAATCCAAAGCAGATGTGGCCTCATCAAGAAGGAGAATCTTGGGGTTGCGGATCAGGGCTCGGGCAATGGCAATGCGCTGCTTCTGACCACCAGACAACAGAGCACCCTTGCTACCGACGATGGTGTTGAAGCCCTCGGGCAAAGACATGATGAAGTCGTAAATGTTTGCCTCGCGACAAGCAAATTCAACAGCCTCATCGGAGACGTTTGTCTGAGATCCAAGCAGAATGTTGTCCTTGATGGTTCCCTGATAGAGTGTAGGCTCCTGGCTGACAAGAGCGATAAAGGACCGATAGTCGTTCAGGTTGAGCGAGCTGATTTCCTTGCCGTCAATGTAGACACCACCGCTGAGAGGATCGTAGAATCGTTCCAAGAGAGCAATCGTAGTACTCTTTCCGCAGCCTGATGCACCGACAAGGGCAACATACTGGCCAGGCTGGATGGTCAAGTTCAGGCCTCGCAGAACTGGCTGCTCCGGGCGGGTCGGGTAGCGGAAGTGAACGTCGCGGAATTCGATGCTTCCCTCGACTTCAGTCACCGGCATGCCCTCCTCTGACCAGGTGTCAATGGCGGGTTTGCGGTCGAACAGGACCTTCAACTCCTTGGCAGCGTGGTGGGCCTTGCCCATGTCAGGGGCAAAGGAGAAGATGGAACCAGCAGACTGGGCGCCGAAAACGACAGCCATGAAGCAGAGGAAGAACTGGAACAGGTTGTATTCGCCCTTTCCGATCAGGGTACCACCGTACCAGAAGCCCAGCGCAAAGACCAAGAAGCTGAACGACTGAGAAGCAGCGTACAGCAGACTGGACTTGAGCACCGACCTCAGACTGCGTCTCTGCTGCTCAGCAAGCGACTCGTGGTACTGCCTCAGGACATCTTGTTCGCGGGTAAGGGCGGCGACGGTCCTGATGGCAGAAATGGCCTCGGAAGCAAATGTGGCGGACGCGGCGTATGCGGCCTTGGAGCGACGCTGGAAGTGAGCAAGCAGCCAGAAGCGGAAAAAGCCGCATCCCAGCAACACGGGAATGGTGGCGACACAGACGAGCGAGAGCTTCCATCCGATGGAGATTGACAGGACAATGGCCGTGATCAAAGTGGTGCTCATCATCAGCAAGGTGCCTAGCGTGGCGCCACTAAGACCAGCAACGTGAGTCGTCTCAGTCGAGAGGAATGAGGTCAGAGCACCAGCCGTGTTCTCGTCCTTGTCGAAGAAAGCAACATCCTGACGCAGCATGGCGCGGAAAGCACGGTCTCGAACACGGTGGACGAGGCGCTCGGAGCAGATAGCAAACAGGATACCTTGAGAGGCGAAGGCGAGGAACTGGACGATACCAAGCATCAGGTACATGGAGCTCCAAAAGTCGGAAGTCGACTTGACATGGTGCCTGTTCTCGGGAGTGATGGGTTGCGAGAGAGTGACGATCTGCTTGGCGAAGAAGACTGCAGAAGTCGGGTTACCGCCACCGCAAATGGTAGAGAAGACGAGACCGATAAGCATCAACTTCCACTCGGGGGCGTTGAAAGAGGCAATGACCTTGATAAGAGTCCACAGGCTGTATTCTTGTTCCTCCTCTTGCTTTCGCTTCTGGAGGGCAATACTCGAGGCCGACTTTTGGGTAGCTGTACGGTCAAGCTTGGCGGCGATGTCATCGTCGGGGTCGGCTTCATACTCTTCCTTGTTGGTGGTCTGCTTGCGAATGAGCATCTCCTCCTTCTCGGCGATTTCATCATCCTCTTCGGTGTTTTCCGCGCTGACAGCAATGTTCTGGGCCGAGACGAGGTTGTAGTAGGCACCCTTCTTCTCGAGCAGCTCATCGTGGGTACCCTGCTCAACAATGCTTCCCTTGGACATGACGACGATGTTGTGGGCATCCTTGATGGTGGACAATCGGTGGGCAATGGTAATGGTGGTTCGACCCTGAGAGGCAGCTTCCAAGGCAGCTTGAACAACGCCCTCAGACTTGGTGTCGAGAGCCGACGTGGCTTCGTCCAGCAGCAGGATCTTGGGGTTTGACACGACAGCGCGAGCAATTGCGATACGTTGCTTCTGACCACCAGACAAGAGGAAACCGCGTTCACCAACGTTTGTCTCGTATCCTTCGGGCAGGGCAGTGATGAAGTCGTGAGCGTTGGCCTTGACGGCGGCGGCGATGACAAGCTCGCGCTGCTTCTCCTCGCTAGCGTTTTCGTCCTCAGTGCCGATCAAACCGTAGCGGATGTTGTGATAGATGGTCGTTCCGAAAAGCGTAGGTTCCTGGCTGACGAGGGCCATCTGCTGACGCAGCCATCTCAGGTTGAGCTTGCTAATGTCATGGCCATCCAAGTAGACGGTGCCTCCAACAGGGTCATAGAATCTCTCGACCAGGCCCACAATGGTACTCTTTCCAGATCCAGAAGCACCGACTAAAGCAGTGGTTTTGCCGGCAGGAATATCCAGGGTCACGCCGTCCATGACCTTGACCTCGGGTCGGGAGGGGTAAATGTGCTCGACGTTTTCCAAGCGAATGTTGCCCTGCAGGTCACTAAGCTTTTCACCCTTATCCTCGGTGGGGTCCAACGGGGAGACTCGATCGATGGTGTTGAAGATTTTGGCAGCAGCGGCGAGCGCAGTGGTAAAGGCCTGAATGTGAGGGGTGACGTTTCCAAGCTGGAAGGCACCAATCATGATGGACATCATGATGGTCAGAACCTTGGACAAGGGGATGATGCCCTCAACAAGGAACTTGCTGCCCTGCCAGAAAGCCAAGCCGTAGTTGAGGTACAAGATTCCCATCATACCGGCAATCATGACGCCCATAGCGCCCTTGACCCGGGAGCCATACTTCTCAGCCTTTTGAAGATGCTGGTCATACTGCTTGGCAAGGCGATCCTGAGTGCCAAAAGCAATGGCGTTTCGGACGGAGCTGAGGACTTCATCAGCCATGCTGCCGCCCATAGCAAACGCCTCAAGAGAAGCCTTGTTGTTCTTAATCATGATACGACCAAGGAGACTGGCATTGAGAACCAAGGCGAAGACGGTGCAGGACAGGATAAGGGTCAGTTTCCAGTAGTTGATGAAGCCGATGATGAAGGCCGTGAAGAAAGTAGCCAGAGCGGCGAGGGTAAGAGAGACCTTTTCTGAAATACCATCCTGGATGAGGTTGGTATCGGCAGTGATGCGGGTGGTGACCTCACCAGCGCCGATCTTGTCAAAGAAGCCAATGTTTTGGCGCATGCAGCTCTCCAGGTAGTGCTCACGAATCTTGGCAGCGATATGCTCACCAGTGTAGATGAAGCCAACAGTGGTGATGTAGGTGACGACGAAGTCTCCGATGGCCAGATAGACAAAGTAGAGGACAAACTTGCTCATTTCGTTGACGAACTGGTGGTAGGACATCTCACCACCGCTGTAGAAGTATGTCTGGAAAACGCCCTGGAGCCGACCGAAGATGATGGTCATCATGGGAATGGCGGCACCAGAAGCAATGGCACAAATGGCAGACACGAAGATGATGGCCAGATCGGTTCGGGAAGCATATCGATAGACGGCCTTGATTCCGGCCTTGATGTCGGGGGTGTAGACCTGGCGCTTCAGGATCTCGGCCTGGTGAGCGGGCAGATGAGCGTACAGCTCGTCGAGGTCGTCAGCCTTGGGAGCAGGCGCAGCCGGCAGCTTGGAGTCGACCTTTTTCAGATCCACCTGCGTCTCCGGCTTCTGGCCGTCTCTCGACGAGAGCGTCACATCGACGTCTGAGGAGGCACCGTGGCTCGAGGTCGGTGCCGATTGCGCCTCTATGGGCGACTTTTCCGGGTCGGCGGCCATGATCTCTCAATTGCCGCGCCGGCCACGGGCGGGGAACCGAAGACTAGGAGTGGCTTTCCGAAGCGAGGCCAGTTATGCCGGGGGGGAGATGTGCAGATGTCGGATGCGAAGATGATCGGAGTCGGTTGCCGGGGTGGCTCAACGAGATGAGACCAGCGCGTCACTCCGAAAAACGAGAGTGAGTTGATGTCGAACTGCGGAATGAGACTGAGCAGCGCAGAGAATCAATCAAGATCCCTGTGAATGCAGCAAGAGGCGATGGAGGGGACTATGGCGGTATATATAGACCCTTCTGGAAGGAAAAGAAGGACAGGCCAGAAGTGACGTGGCGCCTGAAGATTGTCGAGTGAAGCTTCGGATTCAGAAAAGCACGAGAGGCAGCAACTATAAGAACTTGGAAGGCCTTCGAGCCTTCGATGCGACGGGCTCCACAGGGCAGGAGAGAGCCTGTACTCGTAGCGGTACCTTGTAATGAAGCAGAACCGGGAAGAGTGAAAGCCGGTGCCTGCTGCCTTTTCCACTGGACGGTATATTACCCAAAGAGGCTTAGCCTTTGTCGCACGCTTGAACGAGGGTGTCGTTGCGCAGGCGTCCAGGTGCAAAGGTACAGTTACGGAGTACAGAGTGCAAAGAGATGCCTGAGGAGAGGTATCATTTCCAGATACGAAATACACGTACCGCCCCGTGTTTACAGACCGGACACAAACAACAAGACGCGCGATATGATTGATGCCACGCATTCCAGCTGCATACTCGTACATACATGAGGCCAACGCCCTGGAGAAATGCGAAAAATAATGAAATGATAAAATAAGATAAAAAAGGCCCCCTGGTGGCGGCTCCATCGCGCTGGGGCTACGGGATTCAAGCTGGGCCCGACAAGCCTAGCGCGGGTGGTTTCTCTGGGGCCCGGCGAGATTGAAACGGCTGCGCGCTAGAAGCTGGAAAATAGGAGGAGCAAACCAATATTGGAGTTGAGGCGGTTCGTGGTGGGGCTTCTCGCACGATAACAGCCTCTTGTAGTTGTACGGGCGACTTTTCGCTTAGGATCAAAGGGGGAAGAGGTACAGATACATACCCAGCTACTTAGGAGGATTGACTGTAGGTGCTCGCAGCGTCGGCATCGCTTGGCTGCTCTGGTAAGAAGAAAAGCGAGGGAGGCTCTCGTTGTTGAAACCTGTTCCTCCTTTGTGCAATGGTCTCTAGAGCTTGCGCTCTCAGCTGGGTGAGGGGTCTGGCCTCGATCTCCTGGTCCTGGGACAGCGAGCCCCTGCATGTTCGGCAGGACACGATACGAGTATTTGCCCGGGTGCGACATGCGATATCGACTGCAGCTCTCACGGCGATATCCTTTGCATGTACGAAGTACTACAAGCATATAGCTGATGCCTGTTTGAGCATGTACTCGTAATTTGACCTGCGGGAGTCAACAGCTAATCCCAGCACCATCCGAACGGTTCGGCCGTGCCCAGCATGGATCGCAACGGGCTATAATTGGCTGTGAGGCTCTGCAAACGTACGTACCAACGCCTTACCGTGCAATTACAGCATGAGGCTGCAAGTATTAAGACCTCTCACAGCTCCAGACGAGATGAGACTTGGCGATTCAGATTGCCACTGGGGTAGCACATGTGCAAAAGTACCCTGTGCGTGCAGGCATATCGAAGAGCAGTAACTGTATAGTAGTAGATCTCAGGTAGCAGCATCTCATCCGTGTCTCTCTTTCACGCCTCCAGGTCTCTCTCCAAGGCTTACGGCATCAGTCACCCTCACCCGCAGTCAGACACCGTCAAACAGCGCTGCAGTGGCCCGTCCCAGTGCTCAGCGTACTCGTACGGGTGCGAGTACGCGTATCTCGAGATTTGCGAGATTCGTGCAAGTACCCTCAAGTATCAATCGACAGTGACACCCGTGCAACCAGCCCTTTTGCGATGAATGTCTCTCGTTCTGGCTTGCTACGACGATTTGTTTTGATAACCAACGGACTGCTGACTTTGTTGGTCTCTGACGTATCAGCATCTACAACGTACAACTACATTGGCTCCTGCTGGCACATCGAGCCTCGGCCCAGCGCGCATCCGGGTCCAAGTGCCCAGATCGCAGCAATCAAATGTCTGCCTATTCAAGCACAGTTACATACACGCATCTACGGGTTGCGCACCACGGGCCTCTCGTGGGCATCGGCTGCTCCCTGTCGGCGATCTGAACAGCCTCCGAGTCACAGGGTGAATCATGGAAGTTCTGCGAAGAAACTGCATCACCAACGCACGCATTGTCCCGTTACTTTTCCTTCAACCCCCTTGGTTAGTTGACTCATTAATTTGTCGCAACAACAGCCATCTATTTTCATGCCAGATTCTAGTGCTATCAGGCAGTACATTGTGGTACCTTGCCGTTTGCGGCTATCGGCACTGACTCCTCGTTTGCGCATCATCCATCCTCGCCGGGCCACTATCCGAACCCGAATCCCGGAGGCTGCCACGATTTCAGCACCCACCCGGGGGCGCTTCTGGAAATGGGCTTGTTCCCAGTCTGGTCTCCGATTCGAGAGCTGACACAGGGGTCCCAGATCGAACAACAGGCGATAGGTAGTTGTACTATCATCAAAAGATGCTGTTAGCACAGCTGATTTCGAGTTATATGACCAGAGGGACTTTTGTACGAAACAATGAGCTACATCTCATCTTCCTTCTAACTTCGAAATTGTCAATACCTACTGACGTACGCAGCAGAAACCGCTGATTCTGGATGGTCGTCATCTGGCTCAGTCGTCGAGATGGCTCACAACCCCTCGCACTCAACAAGAGAGCCGAAATCCAGACCGCCAGTACCAATAGGAGGGGCGCCATCCCTTACTTCTGACTGCCATCCACTGACCAGACGAGGATAGGGGAACGATCACGAATCGACCAGAAAGCTTGTTTATGTGCCGAAAGATAAGTGAATGGTCACATTTGCCATCCATTCTATGTCATCAGGCAGACGAGCAACGCACCCGACCAAGTACGTACGGATCTGATACGACGTCCGGCTCAATGTTAGTCAGGCCGGCTCCGATATGCACAATTACAGTTGCACTCCGTACGGAGGAGGAGGAGGCATGAATGGAGGGATTCCGCTCCGTTTTGCTTCGCTTTCCTCTCGTTTGCAGTATTCTGGTTACTAGTGGCAAGGTCAAATCATTCCCGCCTCGCAATTCCGAACCCCGCCGCCTTTGCTGAATCCCGATATTACATGGAAATAGTCTGGCAAAGGCGACCCAAACAAACTTAAACCAGACGATACATGGCCATGCGCAGCAAAGGATGGAGTCCTGGATGGTAACAGATTAAATTAGAAACTTCCCCGCGCATCATCTTACCATCTTGCGGGCGGACTACTCGTACAGTCCGCCCTACCAGAGCAGATTACTACTGCATGCACGTAACAAGACAACTCTGCGGCGTGCTTCATGTGTGTATGTGAGTGGCGGTTCGCATGCAAGTCGTCATCCTTTTCGACCACAATGACTCAACCCCGACGAACATGGAATCCTGGAGAAGGGATCCAAGCACGGGGAGCCAGCTGGACAGTTCGCTCGCCGTTGCGTATTTTCCCTGCTGCGAGCGTATCGGGTGGGAACCCATCAAACAACCTTGGTTGTACGAGCATGTACTCGTAAACAATGGAACATGTCAGGCATCAAAGCACGGGACATCGGCCATTGGAGAGGGATCGGCTTCATAGAGATGATGGCTCATCTGCTTCCGACGAACTTATCAAAGCCGAGTCCGCGAACTGAAGGTGCACACAAATACATCAATATGAGCACAATAAGGCAACATCGTTGAGGAGAGTGCAATGAGACCAGTAAGTGTGCGTAAAAGGCGCTCTGTGTGCTGATCGGCTCTCCAGCCTCGGTTTTTTTGATAGCCGCTCGCTTGTATATCCGATGCTTCAGCCTCGCAGGCTTTAGCGTAATTACACGTACGGAGTACGTTGAAGATTTTTACGCGATGGTTTGCATCCTTCACGGCCCCATCCGGGCTTTTGGCTTTCCCGCTACCTCCGGGGTGTCTTCAATAACTCCGTGTTTGACTGCGATGATGCTTTCCGACTTGGTGTTGCGATGAATGCCAGCTCACTCGGCCTAACGTTCAAGAATGCTGACAACACCGAAACTCGGCATCACATCTGGGATATCCAGAACACATGGTTTCGTGGTCTAGTTGGTCATGACATTTCGTTAACAACATCTGTTGACACCACCGAAAAGGTCCCCGGTTCGAGCCCGGGCGAGATCATCTTTTTGCCTCTCTTCGTTAGTGATTGATTGTATGACAGAAAAGCACTATATTCTCGTCTATTCTCATTCTCCTTGTTTTGATTTTCCTCAGTTATACCACATAACGTGCATGTTTCCAGCCATCTTTTTTCGATCCTACTAGGGAACTTCATCCAGTCCGTAACCCGAAAGTTGGATGCCTAATGCCACTCTCCCCTCTCCATCATCTCTCACAATGTGAGGACAGCTGAAACTGGGACACGGCACGGGAAAGGGGGCCAGTGGAAGCCAGCCTTGTCAGGCAGAGCGTCTGAATGAGGGTGCCTGGAGAATCTGTCAATCCTGACGGATGGGTAAAGTTGCCCCTGAAAGGGGCGGGATTCAAGCTCCCACCGATCTTCACGATTCGCTAAGTGATCAGAAGGAACACGGGATTCGGCTGGCTGCCCTTAAAAAGAAGCTTGACTACCTAGTTGCGGTGACGGGGCAGGGAAATCGGCAATTGACAGAGTTGCGTAAGGAAAATTTCTCGATTATATTGTTGCCTGCGGGAAGTGAGCCGCTCAACGCGTGAAAAGGGGCTCGTCCCACTTGCTCGCTACATAGGAAGGTACAAAAACCTCGTTTCATAGTCGTCTCGTCAATATAGGTAGTATAGACATGAAATCTCGAATGCCTGAACCAGGTCCTTCGTCAATAGACACAACGAAAACCAAAGCGTAGCCCCGTGGCACTCAGAATAACCGAACCGGCCATGCTCTCATCCTTGGGTCACACTCAATGGAAGTGGATGACAATCGTCGCAACCCCTTCACGACTGCGTTGGGCGGCATCTATGATATCCCGAACAGTCTCATTCAAGATGTTCTGCTCAGTCGGAGGCTCCGCTGCAGGTGGCGCAGGGGGTGCACACCTTTCCTCCTGACTGTCATCTTGGCGTTGATTTTGATGACTTTCCACAAGCACCTGCCTCACATCGTGAAGAATCTGAGCCCTCAGTTCCTGCAAGTCTTGTCGGGACGCCATATGCCGTATCGGTGACGGAAATTGGTCGTTTGACTGCGCAAGCTCTTCCTGGCACAGCGGCTGTGGTTGCTGCTGTGGCGGCTGAATCGAAGGCTGCTGCTGCTGCTGCTGCTCCGAATCCGCCTGTGGCTGACCACATCTCTGATGATACTCCTAGAGTTAGACATTTCATAGAGTGACGCCATTGAGTAGCCACTAGGGGGATGACTCACCGACGTGTCGTTCTCAACTGAGCTTTCGTTTTCCTCAGTAGGAACAATACCTGAGAGTCGTGTAGGTTTCACGGGCCGTTTGTCGGCCGCGTTGATAGCTTGCATGGTATTTTCTCCAAGAATTCCCCAGTCGTCCACCTGATTCGGTTATCAAGTCAGTAAGAAGTCAGTCTCTTGATCCCCTTAATGCCTTACCGTCTCTCCCTCAAAGCGTCTTCTAGTGGCATCCTGAAATTCTCGGCCGAACGCAACAGCGTTTGGTGGAAGCTAACCATCAAGTTAGCCAGCGGCTTAAAAGGGTCGCTATCCAGACATACCTCGTTGCAATTCTTGCTCCTGGACGAGCATTGAAAGCACTTTATAGCCCTGCGGCCTGCGGCTATACATTAATTACCAGAGACGAGCTGACACTGGGAGAGCCCTAGTACATGTATGTGTACGTAGGACTGGAAGGCCAGTAGACTCACCAAGGTGCTCGAAACAAGGCTGGTGCTGGCTCGGTGGGTTGGACGTAAGACGACGGACGCACGTAGCACAGGGAATCTGGCGTGCCGCGCCGGCTTTTCCACCGGGGTGGTTGGTTGCAGTGATCGAGGGCTCTGCAGACTCCATTCTTTGCCTGGCCTCGTTCATCACGACGAACCTCGACATGGTCGCCACTTGAGTCTCACCATGCAGACTCAAGCCTGAAGTTTTGCCTGAGAAAGTCAATGAATCTCTAGGCTTTGAAGGGAGGAGAGTATGAGAAGAATGAGGGCGGCGAACCTGGATGATGCCTTGAACAGCTGTGAGAGAAGGTTCAAGCGGACGGTTGCAGAGGCAGGTGTGTTCTGTATCTAAAGTTGTTTCGCTCGAAGATCCTCCACTGAACTGCAGAGAAGAAAGTTCATGCGCGCCGAGTGAATTCACCGCTGTCTTTGGCGTTTACCGTCGATCAGATAAGGGCAGGATGTGATCCCACGAGTGACTGGGCCACGGCCTGCCGAGTAACTCTCGCGGCAGGAGACGAGAGGAATCCTCAGAGGCAAATCCAGGCTCTCAAGCTCCATGAGATAGAAGGTGCCACATTAGCAACCATTATCCAAAGTCCTTGATAAGACTTGTAGTGCATTGGGAGAGTCTGGACAGAGCATGAAATCTTGTACGCTCAGTGGACCTCATGCCGTTCCGGGTGGACGTAGGTATGGTGAGAACGGGTGTCATAAGGGGTGCTTCAACGATAATTCTGACTGAGACTCGGAAGCTGTCTTGTAGATAAATCTCCACCTGAATGGAATATTTACATCATATTCAGTTACATCACCCTGCTGGTGTCGTCGAGGCTCAGCCTTGCCGTGGCTGGAGACCCTGAGATGGCTTCCAAGTCCTAGATTTCCCAATTGGGGACTCTGGACCAATGGCGAGGCACGATGCGCGATGTTGGGTGAGGGACAGCTGCTAATGCCTGCCGCGACGAGGCCCGGAGCCGTGATAGGTTGCCCTGTGAAGGGGTTTGCTGTATGAAAGATTTAGCACTACAAGCTGTCAGTCCCCTAGACTACATGCACATGTATCTTTGCAGCAGCTGTTGGTTCATGACACTTTCAGCATGCCTCTGACTATAGTATCATTGGATCGAATTCTCTCGAGAAAGTCACCATTTACGAGAGCATTTGCGCCCAGAAACTCTAAATGCTTCCGACGTCATTTGATGGCCCGATAAGCTCGCCCTTGCGAAAGCATCCGCCCCACCCCACTAAAATTCAGTTCCGCCCTTGGGAAAGAGCCCGGAATATGTAATAGCGTACCTAAAGTACCTAAGGGTAGGTGATTAATTCTTTTCCCCAACATGCTGCTTCGATCGCAACTTTTGCCGCCGCCCTGGTTTCGTCTTGTCTTGTCTCCCATCGCAGCTTGAACAAACAGAGCCTTGCTTTTTGGTGCTCAGTCGCCCGTCCTTCATGTCGTAGCAACGCTTATGAGGGCTCTTTGTTCTGCCGCTGGCCAGCTCCAGCGAGCTCCCGTGGCGAGCTTCGTCCGGCTTGCTCGCCACCGAGGGCGCCGAATTGCTTGGGAAGCGCAGTCGCGATGCCTTGCGACGGTTGTCAATAGCGCTGATTCCAAAGACTCCAAGACGCTGGCCTGTAAGACGCCTTGCGATACTGTTTGCGCGTGTGATGTTGATAGCTGACGGTTGTCTCAAACAGTGCCTTCCACCGCGCGATACAACGAGGTTGGTGTGCAGCAGCTCAGCGAGCATATTTTCACCCAGATATTCCCCCAGGGCTCCAACCCGCCTCCTGAAGAACTGGTCAATCTCGCAAGGGACCACTTGACACGGCATGATCTCTATGGAAAGAACACAGACAATTCCGACCCTATAGCCTTCGAGCTGCCCGAGCTCAAGGGCGCCACTCTCGACGAACACTTCCACAAGCTTGGAACCGATTGCGCCGAACCGTATCTGCGGTTTGCCAAGGAATTTGCTTGCGCAAGTATTCCTCTCAAGCCGAAACGGTGGAAGCGACAGAGCGGATGGACCAAGTACTACCCTGATGGGCGGCCACCCGAGAAGGTCGCAGCACCGGATGAAGAAATGCTGTGCTTCGACGTCGAGACCATGTGGAAAGAGCATCCGTTCGCAGTTATGGCCTGCGCAGTTAGTCCCACGGCCTGGTACTCATGGTTGTCCCCATGGCTGTTGGGTGAGACGGAAAACAACCGACAGCTGATACCAATAGGCGACCCAGCCAAGGACCGAATTGTTGTGGGACACCACATTGGCTATGATAGGGCAAGAATCTTGGAAGAGTACGACCTCAAGCAGACCAGGACCGGGTTTCTCGATACCATGTCGATGCACGTTGCCGTCAACGGCATGTGCTCACGGCAGCGCCCGACCTGGATGAGATTCAAGAAGAATCGCGAGGAGAGAGAGAGGGTCGCCAGCCAGGATCCGGACCAAGGCATTGTCGAGCTCCTAAGCAACCGGAGCATGCACGAAGAGGAGGAGCTGTGGGTTGAAAAGAGCTCGATCAACTCACTGCGCGACGTCGCCAAGTTCCATCTCAATGCCACCATTGACAAGTCTGCGCGGGATGACTTCGGGGAGCTGAGCCGCGAGGAGATTCTAGAAAAGTTGGAAGAGCTCATCGAATACTGCGCCGCAGATGTGTCCACCACCCACAAAGTGTACCAGATCGTCCTCCCTAGCTTTCTAAATGTTTGCCCGCATCCAGTCAGCTTCGCCGCCCTTCGACATCTGTCATCTGTTATTCTACCCGTCAACGAGTCTTGGAATGCATACATCGCCAACGCGGAAGCCACATACCATAAGCTCTCTGCATCGGTCGAGGAGAGACTGAAGGGATTGGCAGAAAAGGCCGCGGAGTTGAACGATGACCCGGAGGAGAGTTGGAAAAATGATCCCTGGCTGAGGCAGCTGGACTGGACAACCAAGCCAATCAGAATTGTCAAAGCCAAGCGCAAAGGTGAGGTTGACAGGCCAGCTGCAAACCAGAAGATGCCGGGTAAACCGCAGTGGTATAAAGATCTCTTTACCAAAAACGTCATTAACCTGACGGTGCGAAACCGCATTGCGCCTTTGCTGCTAAAGCTTGCCTGGGACGGGCATCCGTTGATCTGGTCCAACAAGCACGGTTGGGTATTTCAAGTCAAACCAGCCGATGTGGACGCTTACAGGGCGAAGCAAATGACGGAGGTCGTTTTCGATGACTCTGAGCCTACCCTGCGTGACGATTGGGGGCACTCATACTTCAAGCTTCCTCATAAGGACGGCCCTTCTGCTCGCTGCGCGAATCCTTTGGCAAAGGGATACCTGAATTATTTCGAAAACGGCACTCTATCGTCAGAGTATGAGTATGCGAAAGAAGCGCTGGAAATGAATGCCTCGTGCTCATACTGGATCAGTGCACGCGGTCGAATTACGTCGCAGATGGTCGTCACGGAACACGACGTCTCTGCCGCCACTGGAGGAGTCACGGAGACGAGGGAAGCCGGAGAAAAGTTCCAAGGCTTCATCCTACCTCAAGTTATTCCCATGGGCACAATCACCCGGAGAGCCGTTGAGAATACCTGGCTGACGGCCAGCAACGCCAAGAAGAACCGCGTGGGGTCTGAACTAAAGTCCATGGTCAAGGCACCGGATGGCTACTGCTTCGTAGGTGCTGATGTGGACTCGGAAGAGCTATGGATTGCCAGCCTTGTGGGCGATGCGACCTTCAAAATCCATGGCGGAAATGCCATCGGCTTCATGACGCTCGAGGGGACAAAAGCTGCAGGCACGGACCTGCATTCGCGAACGGCGGCTATCTTGGGCATCAGCAGAAACCAGGCAAAGGTGTTCAACTACGGGCGGATTTACGGAGCTGGATTGAAGTTTGCGGCCACACTCCTACGGCAATTCAACCCTAAGCTCTCTGACAGCGAGACGATGGAGATTGCCAAGAAGCTATATGCCAACACCAAAGGCACCAGGACCACTCGCAAGACCATCAACAAGCAACCGTTCTGGAGAGGAGGAACAGAGTCATTCGTGTTCAACAAGCTGGAGCAATTCGCTGAACAGGACTGGGCTCGAACGCCCGTGTTGGCAGCAGGCATCACACAGGCCCTCATGAGCCGCTTCGTGAGCAAGGGTAGCTACCTGCCTTCCCGTATCAACTGGGCTATTCAGTCCTCGGGCGTCGACTATCTCCATCTGCTGATCGTGTCGATGGACTACTTGATTCGCCGCTTCAATCTCAGCGCTCGACTGGCCATTACCGTCCACGATGAGATTCGGTACCTGGTTAAGGACGAGGATAAATACAAGACTGCGATGGCACTCCAGGTAGCAAATCTGTGGACTCGCGCCATGTTCGCACAGCAAGTCGGCATCGACGACCTCCCCCAGTCTTGTGCCTTCTTCTCTGCCGTCGACATTGATCGCGTCCTTCGCAAGGAGGTGGACATGGACTGCATCACCCCCAGCCACCCGACTCCTATTCCTCATGGCGAGAGCTTGGATATCCAGACCCTCCTTTCCAAGGGCTCTGAGGCGCGTCTCGACCCGTCTACAGTCCCGGATCCCAAGCTTGCCCCCAAGCTGGACGATATACCCTACGAGCCACGCACTCCTGTGATGCAGACGCTGCAGGGGCACTCTGAGAACAATATTGCGTTTATCAAGGCCCAGATCGCCAATGACGACCAGGAGCTGCTGGATATTGCCAAAGATTTGCGCAAGCTTGATGCGCCGCCGAAGACACGGCGAGTGTCATTCACCAGTGCCCCTCGTTATTCGCATCCCTGGATGGTGCCGTTGGATGACCCAATACCGCTTGCGGAGGCGATAGGTCTCGGTTATGACGACAAGAGCCAGAAGAAGATTTCATGGCCGAAGCACTCTGTTGATGTCATTTCGAAGCCCAACGTCTCCACTGGCTCTTTATAAAAACACTTTGTAGGATACGGTTGTCGCGGCGATATGAACGCATGTACAATAGTCTGATGTTACAAGTTTTTTTTGTTTCTCTTCTTTCTGGAATAAAGCGGAAAAGGTATGGACGTTATGGCTTGGAGTTGAGTATGTGTACGGAGTACAAGCAGCGATTGGTCTCCTTCGGGCGCGGTCATGGATATATGGCGAAAAGGGTCATGTATTTACTCATGCGATTACTGTCACGACCTAGGTATGATGTACGAATAGGACGAATATTGAGGGAAGGTATATGCACGTCTATTGTCTGTCATCACTAACACTCGTTCCATTGCCCTCCTTGACTCCATCGCCAAATGGCTTGCGATAAGTCGGTGCTGAATACGAGTACATCTGGCGTTACATCTCAAAAATCATTTCCCAGGGCTGCAAGTCTGTCGTCCAGTCAGATCTCGAGTCGGAACCGGCGTGCATAACATCTTGTAATCAAGCCGTGAGGGGTTCATCCCTTGATCAAATGCAACGCATCGTTATACAAGACGGACTTACTATCACTAGGGACCAGGCAGAGGCATGGCTTCTCCATCTTCACTTCCATCGGCAACAATGCTGCAATACAGGGGCAACATGTTTTCTCAACTCAGTAGCGAGCAGCAGTCCGCCCTTCACGCACAACTCCCTCTCCAATGCCATTCCCTTGAGACTCTGCAGCGCTCAGGCGTAATCCTTGATACCGAACCCCTCCCGCAAGACACCGTCAACAAGAAGCAGAGGCCCAAAAACATCAAAGATTTCCGACGAACATCCGCCAGAAACCCTAGGATCACACCACGAAAAGCCATAGCCATAGCCTGCCACGCAGCCGAGACTCCCGACGGCGGAGCGGAGCCCGTGAGCATCTGCGTGATTGACTTCTTGACCGGCCAGACGCTGATTGATTCGTTCATCGCTCCGCCGTGCGAGATATCGGATTGGAAGACGGACGTCCATGGGGTTTCTGCGAGGACGATTGAGAATGCCGTCAAGGGGAACAACTGTCTGCAGGGATGGCGAGAGGCGAGGACGAGGTTGTGCGAGTACGTCGGTGCGCGGACGATTTTTGTAGGATGTGCGATTTGGAGGGACTTGGCGCTGTTGAGGGTGTTTCACAGGGGGGTTGTTGATGCGAAGATTTTGGCTATGGAGGCTTTGTTTACGGAGGCTGAGAGGGCGAATGGGGATGGATTGGAGGCGAAGAAGTGGGAGGTTGATGGGCTTTGCATGGGGCTTCTTGGGATGGAGATGAGAGCGGGTGGTGGTGCGATGAAGGGGAAGAGGGTGCGTGATCCTTATGAGGATGTGCTGGTGGCGAGGGAGATTGTGTTGCGGTTTCTGCAGAGGCCGGGGTTTGTGAGGAGCTGGGTGAAGAGGGAGAGGTTGGCGATGTTTGGGACTGCTTTCAAAGAGAGGGAGGAGGAGGAGGATGATGCTGTAGGGATGAGTGCCAAGAGAGCATGGCGACGTCCCAAGAAGAAGGCGGGTCAAAAAGGGACTCTGACTGATGCTGATCAGATGAATCAAAAGGCGAAGAGGAGCGGCAACAGGAAGCGGAAGCAAGCAGAGGGGACCAAAGGCCCAATGGTACAGTCACTGAAGGAGTTGAGCATCGGGGAAGCAAGACGGAAGGAATCTCCTCAGGATGGAAAGCAAAAGGCAGTGGAGGCTGAAGTAGGCACCGTGGCTCATGTCGAGAACGTGTCGAAGAACAACAAGGAGCAGAGCGGAAATGGCCAGCCCAGACGCAAGACGAGGAAGGAAAAGAAGCAGACGGAAACAGAGGCACGAGACAAGGCAAAGAGGGAGGCAAGTCTAAAGGCAATGGTCCGAGAAGAGGAGCGGAAGCTCTTGGCGTGTGAGGATGGCAAGCAGGGCGCGAGGAGAGACTGGGGGGCGAGGAACAGGGCGGAGAGGAGGGTGAAGTGGGTGCAGAGCCAGCGAGATGAGTGAAATCGAGCTTTGAAAATGCGAGTATTATTGAGATATTTATGTTACTCCGTATGTGCCGAAGAATTACTGGAGATGGGTTGGACACGGTGGGCTATGGTTGATATCTCTCTCAGTATAAGTGGTTTTCTTGTGGGACAGAACATCCGTCTATGCCGTGTCGATACAGGATCGGCTCATGACACAGTCCTTGGTCCAATGCTTTTTGACATTTTCTTCGGCAATCTTGAATCGTAAAAGGGAGAAATGAGTCGTGTGGTTGCTGATCTGGGTGGTGTTGATCTACCCTGCAATCCGGGCTTCAGAATCTTTGATTCTATTTCTAGCTGCCACTCGTAGTCGAGGGACCATTGACTGCCCTGTCCATTGCCGTTACGAAATCAATAATCCTAGATTATAATATTACAGTCTCGAATATCCTTCTTCACGAGCTTATTCATATGCATTATTTATTATCACGTAAGAGAACGGCTAGTAAGGATCCTAATAGTCTGTCCAGCACAAAGCGAATCTACCTAGTTCGTCTTATATATCTACCCTGTTTATGAAAAATCAAAGCAAATGACAAGACTACTTGAGAAGTATATAACAGAGTCATAATAGCAGAAAGTATATAATTTCTCTACTATCTAGATCAGCAGCCATATAGTCTACAGTAATACAGACATCTAGACTATATGTTTGCTGGTCTTCAATTATTACCTATTGACCCCTCAGGCACGGCTCGTTTGGCCTCCCCACTTTGGCTGTTGATCCCCCTGTTCCAGTGACGTCTACAGCGTTCGCCGGCCGAAGAGGGGCAGAAGCTGGGCAACATGAAACGAAGGTCACTCGGTAGCTTCGACGGAGGGCAGATCCTGTGATCCGGTTCCTCTTCTCCCATCCATCACTGCGGCTGCAAACCATCCATCCTTCGTTTTGTCCACCTGCTGCATCTGCCTGCTTCCTAACCGAGCAATCAGCAGTCCAGTCTCTCGCTACGGTACTCAGCCATCGCCCCAGAACTACATACCAGATATAAGGCAGTGCCGCGACAGACACCCGCCCTCCCACCATGGCGACGACCGACGAGATTGTCAAGCGGCTCCAAGAGTCTCGCCCGCCGGCAACCGACGCCGCCACCTATCTGACCATTGTCGAAAAGTCCCTGACCCCAGAGGTCCTGCCAGCGCTGCAGGAGATACTGGAGGACGTTGCGCTCACCACCGAGATTGGCTGGGACCTGGTCGACATGCTGATTGATGTCCCGGGCAGCGAGGAATGCCTCGAGAGCATTGCACGTCTAGGAAACCCGCGAGAGGTCATTCTCAAGGTGCTCGAGGTGATGGAGAAGACGACTGCGGCGGGAGAAGAAGAGGATGAAGAAGAACAAGCACGAGAGGAGCAAGAAGAGCAAGATGAGAGTGAAAAGAAGGGAAAAGAAAAGGAGAAGGAAGAAGACGGCAATTCTGCAGCCATAACCACCAAGGGCGAGACGAAAGCCACCAGGCACTTCGTCACCCTCTGTGGCATGCTGGGCATCCTGCTCAAGCGGCTGCAGGTCAAGGCTCCGTCACGATTCCTACACACCACGCTCGAGACGGTACAGAGGTGCTACGAAGCCACAAGCGCAGCCTCTACCGCTGCGGTCATCTCGCTGGTCCAGTCCCTCGCGCGCAAGACGCGGCCCCCGCTGCCCTCCCGAAAGTCGAGCGTCATGCTGGACACGCCGTTCCAGGACAGCGACCCGGCGAAACAGGCGCCGGACCCCGAGGCGGAGCGCTCAGATATTCTCAACGAGGACGAGCCGCAGCTCATCGCCAACCTGCTTCAATCTTTCATCACATGCATCATTGAAGCATATGTCAACTCCAACGGCTTGGAATGGGCTTCACGGATGCTCGAATACACGTATCCGGAGCGCATAGTGCCTGGGCGGAAGACGATGATTCAAACGTTCAAGGAGAGGGTGGAGCTTCAGGCAAGAGACGCCCTTGTAGGGCAGTTGGTGGTGAGTATTGCCCCCAGAATCTGGATGGATATAAAACGAAAGAGATCCTGTGGTCTCAGAGCTAACTGCTTCATAGGCTCTTGCCAGTGACCTCGGATTGTCGAAACTGCCCTCTTTCAAGTTAAAGGAGTACCTTGAAGGCCCCGTTCGGCGACAACCGCTCTCTATCGATTTTGACCCCCAGCAGCCAGAACAGCTTTACCTATCTACAGGCGGCTTGATATGCCTGCACGCCTACTGGATGTTTGCTGCCGACGTCTTCGATGCGGACCGCGGCTTTCCAGATGAGCATCTCATACCGCAATACATGCTCCCAGACCATCAGACCTTATTAACAAATTTCCTCGGCGATGAACCTCAGGCCCAGATCGTCGCCAACCCTGGAACGACCGAGGCTCTGATTGTAATGGCCATCTGGCTCGACGGCCGGAAAGCGATATCGAACCCGAAAGGCGCTGGTACCACTACCTCAGGCTTCATGCCCTACCACCATCTCTTGACCCTGATTTCGGCCTTTCATCCCAACCTTCGGGTTCGCAATGCGGCAACCGTTGTAGCAGGCTACATTCTACACGCGGATCCCGAAGAAGAGGACCGACTGGCTATTCTGGAAGACATGCTGGAAAGCTGCATCTTCCCAACTCTGCAAGCATGTGCGGTCACTTGGCTCCGGGAAGAGCTCATCGCCGCGAAGAGGTCCGGCTCCAAAGGTCGCTTTTCCAGCCCGGAATGCCTCGAGGCAGTCCAGTATACCTTGTTCCCGGATCTGTCACACCTCAAGCAAGCCGATGCCTCTACATTGCTCCAGTTCTGGGCGCAGAGCGCGCCGCTGCATCTGCAAGTTGCCAACTTCGCACTGTTTCTGTTCGGCGAAGACTACAAGGCTCTGGCACCCGTCGGTATGGCCGCGGCTATTGAGCATCGCTACGTTGAGCCGCTCCTGCACGCTGCGAGGACGTTGGAGAAGGCGGCTGCGCAGAAGGAGATCGAGGCTGATGAGGAGATTCTGATGCAGCTTAGTATTCTGGAGGACACGCTGAGTCGGATATCGCTGCAGTAGAGATGTGATTCCATACTCGACCAGGCATGAAGAGGATGGGACATGAGACGACGAGAGAAAGACGGGAGCGGCGGAAGAGAAAGCCTCGAGTCTGCCGGATCAGACGGCCATGCGACCATTCGTATCTCCACTGAAACAGTGCGTCATTGTTATTCTAATTTACAAATTTCGGAGCAAATCTCCATTGATCGTGCTTGTCTTGTCCAAGCTATATGTGTGCCGTGCCTCTATGTGAAATTAGAGCGTCTGTGTACCTGTCGCCTATTTTGGTAGAAAGGTCGTGATGAGTACAAGTATGTCAAAGAAAACGTCGTCGATAGCTTCCAATGTGGTGCTTTCAAACTGGGTGACGAATATTGGGCCCTTTTCATCGTCGATGATGCCGGTCAGAGTCGCGATTCCGGTCTCTGTGTCTATCTTGGTCCCGATCTTTGTCCCGATGTCTTTCCCTGTCCCGATCCCTATAATCGCGATCCCTATCTCGGTCTCGGTCCCTGTACTTGTCCCTCTCGCGATCCCGTTCGCGCTCTCTCTCTCGCTTATAGCTGTCCTCGTGGCCCCGGGCTTCCTTGCGCTTGCTCTCCTCTCTCCGGTAATCGGCCAGCCGCGGCCTCGACTTCTTCTTTCCGTTCTGGTTCCACCCGCCGAGGTCTTCCTCCTCCTTGAGCTCCTTGGCGCCTAGGCCGAGCCTGTTCTGCCGCCTCTTGACCTGCTTGACCGGAGGCCCTCTAGGTTCCCCGTTCCAGCCCATGCCGCGGAGGAGGGCGGCGCCAAACTCTTCGACGGGCATGTCTTCGTAGTCCTGGAGCGTGGAGACCGCGCCCGAGGCTTCGACGTCGCGCCGGTAGGCCTCGTCTTCTGTTGCGGGTGCTGAGATGACCTTTTGTTCCTTGTGTGTCTTGCCGAGGAGGGCGTCCATGGCTTCTTCGTCAGCCGTTCGCGCTGCTGCTGGGGGTGCGTCGTCTTTGTCATCCTGCTTTGGTGGTTGCCTTTCGTCGTCGTTCCCTGCGTCTGTATCCATCTTGTCTTCTAATACCGAGCTCTTCTTCTCCTTCACCGTCAGACCCCATTTGAGCGGTGTATCCTGATCGGCGGGCTCTGTCTCTGCCGTAACAACGGCGTTCTTCTGCTGCGCTCTGGCCTCGTCCGGAAGCAGGTTCTTGGATTGCCTCTGGCTCTTCACCTCGTCCTTCCAGTTCCTGTTCGGCTGCCGCGCAATGACATACTCCTTCTTCTCCTCCCTCGGTCGCTTCCGCTTCGTCTCGGCGCCATCTTCCCCGAAGCCCGTGATGGCCTCGTGCCGGCCCCGATGGTGGCCATCGTCCTCAGAGTCCGAGGCATCGGAGTCGCCTCCCCCCAGGGCGTGCGGGCGCGGCCGCTTGCCTAGGCTTGACGAAGGCTTTGTTGCTGTGCGAGACTTGTTTGCTGACGATGACGATGATGGGGTGCTGGCTGAGCCAAATTTGATGGCGATGCGACCTTGTTTCTGGTCAGACATAACGCGTGGGGGGGAGGAGGTGGTGCAGTGTCGTTGAGGGTTGGAAGGAAAAAAGGTGAGGCTGTATTACCCTTTGCGAGCCTGTGCTTGAAAATGACGGCTTTGGATCAAATGGTAAGGTACGTACCTACAGATATTGCATCGCGCAGACAACCACCAATTCCAAGTCGGGGCTAGCGTGTATTCTCGAAGTACTTGGCGCTTTGTATCTTTTTGGTTACCAGCACTCGAAGGGCTGGACTCAGTCGGGCAGAGAAATGGAAGCCGCTTCTGTCTGCAGTTGGTGGGCCCGGCTGCAAGCGGGAGAGGAGAGGGAAAACAGAGAGGAAAAGACAAGAGATCAGAGATTAGAGGGTTAAATGATAATGATATGTACCTTATTAAGTAGGCTGTGAAGATGGAGTGGGATGTTCTGCAAGTGAATCTAAGTGAAAGTAGCGCTCACTGTAGAGCTGGTGAGAGATACATCCATGTTGCTCTTCTTGTGATTGTTATGCTACCGCCGCTTGTATGTTCCACCGCGAACTGTATTGACGCCTAACTGAGGGCCTGCAGAAGAACAGGTTGCAGACAATGGAGATGCTAGGCATCGTTCAATCGATCCAGACAGCGGATATGCAAATGCACCGAATAAATCGCATCGAATAAGCATCAGAAGGTACAGCTAATAGATTCACGGCCCCAATTCAGTGACGCTCAATAACACCGCGAGTGACATTACCGTCTTTGGCGTGTTCGAATGATGCATCATTGACAGCACATCGAAGCGGTGATGTACCGTGCCTGAAAACCCCAACCTCACTGTGCACTAGGCGATCGGGGCGCTTCTCTCTCCAGTGCTTCCGCTAGCGGACGCCCCAGCGACCGCCCAGCCAACGCCCGCCAAGCAGCTGTTAGCGGCTAGCGCACCCCATACAGTGCGCAGTGGCTGCCAGCAGAGCACCTCCGCCGTCTTCCAGCGCTCTGCCCCCCTGCCAAACCTCCCGAATCGCTGGCGCCCGACAGATTTTGCGCCCTCGCATCGACCAGCGACACGTTCAGCGGCCACCAGACTTCCGTCAAAACAGCCACCACCACGACCCTTTCCATCGCCGTGCATCGCGAGCCTCATCTCAGACGACGTCCCCGGCCATCCTCCGACATCCGTTTCGCCCGCAAACGGATGTCGCTCCCGCCGATGCTATGACGGAGGTCGGCCACACCGATCTATCGAGGCTGCTTCACTCCAAGCGACACGAGTTCAAGTGAGTGCGCGCCCGTTCGAAAGAGCGGATTTTTCCGATTCCAACGAGGTGCTTTTTGCCGTGCTGACCCCCGACAGTGCAATCGTGACATCGCGCAAGAGGAAGCTTCGCGAGTTCTTCGCCGTCACCAACCAGGTCGATCCCCTACCGCAGGATGCCTTCGCCAACCCCGACGCGCCCGCAACCACCGCTGCGGAGTGGCAGTTCCTGCAGACCAGCGAGATATTGCAGTTCGTATTCCACCCTCCAGAAGAGCCGTAGTGCAAGCGGGAGGCAAATGCAGAAACCTTCTAAATGGACAATCGCGTTCTTCGCGTTGTTTGCATCTCTGCCATGTGCCAATTTACCCCCCCGAGGCTAACCTTTGTGCAGAGGCAAGACGTTAAATGAGCAAGCCATTCCGCCACGGCCCTTGCTCTCGGTCGATACGCTGAAGCGGCTCATCTCCAAATCATTGCATGAACTCTCCGCTCACTCTGCTGCACCCTCTACTCCGACCATCGCCTCTTCTCGACCAAAGGAAGCTCTGCCTGGCCCGACGAACGAAGCACGGCAACCTCTTGGTGCTCTGTCGAATGAGTCTAACCATGTGCCCCCCGGGGAAAGCACCAAGCCATCATCCAAACCCACGAAGCCCACGCCGACGCCTCCAGCCCATTATACGAATAGTGTAGAAGCCCCCACGGCAGGCGTCACTACAGCCTTTGCGCCAGCCAAACCCATCTCTACGCCTCCAACCGCCGCTCCGGTCGCGAAAGATGAGACGAAACAAGCTGACAAACTCACCAATGGAGCGACCAGCGAGGATGTGCCGCCAGAACGAAGGTCGACGCAGGTTTCTTTCCCGCCAGGAACCAAGGGTTCGCCATCAGAGGAGCGACACGGCTTCGTGGCTACGGATGGGGCAGTGAAAGGCCTGGGTGCTGTGGACGATGACGGCGTGGTTGACAAATCCCGACTGCCCCAGGCTGGACGCAACCAGGAGCTTTCTATCAAAGTGCCGCACGCTCTCTCCAAAGTCCCGGATGCGCTTTCCTCGCCAGGTTCAACGGCACCGAGTGCGACGACCCCTGGGAATCACGACGTTTCAGCGGATACGAGCCCTGAACACGATGCTCCCCAGTATGACGAGAGGGTAGAGCAGGATGACGAGGAAAAGGAAGAGCAAGGTCATGGAGCAGATGATGTCGTTGGACGGGGAGCAGAGGCGGAGCAAGCGAAGCCTGGGCACGATGGAGTCGACTCAAGAACCGCTACGGTGGACGAAGACCAGCTTCTTCAAGACTCCATTCGATCAACGGCTGCGGCTGCAAGCCCCGAACCCAAGCTGCATACTGAAGTCCATGTCAAGACTGGTGCCACGGACGCCATGCGGGAGGCCGAGCTTGGTAGTAAGCCAAGTATGGATGGGCAAGCCGCTCAAACAGACGCTAAATCTTCGCAACCTGCCACAAAAGAGGTCCCTGACAGCCAAGAAGAGACCCCAGAACGAATGGATATTGATCCAGTTCAACAAGCTACCGCATCGGAAAAGGTCGATGGGCCTGCATCTCAACGGTCCTCTGGGGCTCCAGCTTCTACTAACAAATCCCCGGGCGCCACCAAGCTATCAATACCGAGGGAACCGGCTCCAGAGAGACCGGTGACTAGGGTGTCGTCTGGAGCCATGAGACTGAAGTCCGTATCCGAGATAGTCGGGGAGACGCCGCGACCTACCAGCACGACGGAGCGAAACACGACGAAGACGCCACAGAACCAGCTAACTCCCATGACATCAACGCCCCAATCCCCCCCTCCGAGGCCGAAGAGCACGGCCAAGAGAGATAAAACCAAAGGTCATGCTTCTACTGTCTTGTTCGGCAAACAACCCAAGCAGATGGAGGAGAAGACGCTAGTCCCTGGCCAAAAGGAAACAATCCAGCCATCCGACGACTACTACACACCTCTCTTTATCCAGAACTTCACAGGCGCCACCAATTGGATGCAGCCGATCGAAAAGATCCTCTTCCACGCGAACAAGACCATCGCTACCCCTGACGCTTATCTCGCCATCCAGGATCATCAAGCATGCAAAGTACTTCGCAGGGTATACCATCTGCAGCAGCACGACAAGTGGTCGCTGAGGCAGCCCAAGCGGTGTCCTGAGCCAACCCGTCCGCCATCCCATCTGGATGTTTTGTTCCAGGAGATGAAATGGATGCGGACTGATTTCCGAGAAGAGAGAAAATGGAAGATGGCCGTCGCCAAGAATATCGCCTACGCTTGTGCCGAATGGGTCGAGTCGACTCCCGAGGAGCGCAAGGCACTGCAAGTTGCTGCGTATATCCCGCCGCCGAAGACGGCTGATGTGACGATGGGCGATGCCGATGCAGACGGTGCCGAGAACCATCCGACTCCCGACCTCGTTGCGGAAGACGCAGATTCGCCTCAGATTCTGGACCATCTCAGCGACGACTTCCTGGAAACGGTTGCGCCATCAGCCATTTTTGCTCTACAGGAGGACGATGTAGTGTTTGCCCTACGTCGGACGCCCGCTTCAGATAAGCTGCTGGAGGAGCTACCGCTATACGGCGCGCCTCTCAAGGTCCCGCGGTCCGACCTCACGGGGCCCGAGTACGATCCGGACGCCCACTGGAGACGGCCGGCTCTTCCTCTGAGCAAATACGTGGAGGGAGAGATGAAGCTGTTGTCCGATGGCCCTCCACGCAAGCGCAGCCGCTACGATTACCTTAGCGAGGAATCTGACGACGAGAAGGAGAGTGCCTTTGACGCAGACACGCTCGCGCACAATGCCCGGCTCCCGCCAAAAAGCACCGAGGTGGCTCTCTTCGCCCCGGAGTCGAAGCACATTCGCGATCGGCTGCACGCCGGCCACCAGTTCAGGCCACCCTCCGAGCATCCCATGCCGCTACAGAGCTTTTACGAATGTCGCAGCCCGTCGCAGTGGACCATGGCTGAAGACGACGAGCTTCGCAACCTGGTACGAGATTACTCGTACAACTGGTCCCTCATCTCCAACCTACTGTCTACAAGATCTCTGTTTGCGTCGGGAGCGGAGAGGAGAACACCGTGGGAATGTTTCGAACGGTGGATCAACCTGGAAGGCCTGCCAGCGGATATGCAAAAGACACAATATTTCAAAGCCTACAACAGTAGAATTGAGGCTGCCCAGCGTGTTATTGCTCAGCAGAATCAGCTGGCGGCGCAGAGGGCTTCTCAGGAGGGAGGTGCAGTAACCCCAATACGGCGAAGGCAGTCCACGCCCTTGAGGGTCGAGAGGCGGCGAAACCAGAAGCATTTGACGCTCATCGATGCCATGAGGAAGCTTGCCAAGAAACGAGAGACGACGATGCAAAAGCAACAGCACTCTGCCGCCCAGAACGCGGCGAAGAAGGTTGGTGACGCGATGGCTCAGCGACCGGGGAAGACTCCGAGGGATTACAGTCTGCTGCGATGGGAACGCGACCAGGCTCTTGCCAACAAGATGACGCAGTTCGCCCAGCGGCAGGAAGCTCAGCGACGGGTACGTGAATGATCAGTTGCTGGTAATCGTTTGTCCCGACATACCATAGCTAACGTGTCCTCATCTAGGCCGCTCTTCAAGCCAGAGCCCAAGCTCAATCCGCCCAGATGGCGGCAGCACCAGGTGCAGCGGTCCCGGCTGTTCAAACCCCCGGGCTTCCTGCGGCTGTCGCCAACGGCGTGAATGGCGTCAACAGAGCCGGTGTTCCCAACCAACTTGCTGTTGCAGCAGCGGCGGCGGCGGCGGCGGCACAGGGCCGCGCGCGCATGCCCATGCAGGCTCCTGCCAACGGCATGGACGCCCTCGGTGTGCAAGCTCAGATGGGCGGTAATCTCGCTCCCCCGGCGCAAATGAACGGCATCCCGCAGGCTCAGCTGCAGGCTCTGCAGGCCATGCAGGCCCAGCACAGGATGCAGATGCCCGGCCAGCAGCCTGATGCCAGCATGCTGATGCGCGTCCAGCGCATCTCGGAGCAGCAGCGAGCAGTTCAGATGCAGCACGCGCAGCAACAGGGTGCCGTTGTAGGAACGCCTGTTCCTCAAGCACAGCAAGGCTCATCGCCGGCCATGCGGAATGGAGTGCCCGCCATTAGCCAGCAGACTTTTATGAATAATGCTCAGGCCATGATGGCTTCCTTCAATGCAACGAACGGCCACACTTCGGCTGCTGCGAACGGTCTACACATGCCCACTCTTGCCAACGGCACGTCGCCTGGCCCGCCTCGACTGCCGGCCCAGATTCCTCCCACCATTGCTGTACAGATCAACTCGTTGGAAGCACAGTTCAGGAGCAAGAATCCCAACCTTTCACCGGAGCAGCTTCGACACCTTGCTACCGAACATCTGACTAGAGCGATGATGCAGCAGCGTCAGAATGCCATGAGCGCTGCTGCTGGTGGACAGACGGGTATTGCTACCAGCATTACCGCTACCGCCAGCCCGCACCAATATGCCGCTCTACTTAGACAGCAGCAGCAGGCCCAAGCACAGGCGCAGGCTCAAGCCCAGGCCCAAGCTCAAGCTCAGGCGGCTCAGCAGCACCAGGTACAGCATCAACAGCATACGCCTACGCCTACCCCAACGCCCACTCCGCAGCAGCAACAGCAGCAGCAGCAGCACCCCCAACAGCGACCCCAGCAGGTGCCTCAAGCACAGCAGGCTCAACAACAACAAGCCCAGGCACCGCAACAGTCTCCGGCCCAAGTGCAGCAGCACCTCCAACAGCAGCATCAGCAGCAGCAAAAGCCTCAGCCGCAACCGCCACAGCAAGCTCAACCCCAACCCCAGCTTCAGGCTCAGGCACAAGCTCAGGCACAAGCTCAGGCACAAGCTCAGGCACAGGCCCAGGCACAGCAAGTCCAGTCGCAGTCGCAAGCTCAAGCCTCGCCTCAGATACCGTCGCATCCCCCTGCTGCAAGTCCCGCACCCGTTCAGCGCCAGGCCAGCGGAAGCGCAACGCCTTCTGCAGGAAAATGACGACTTGGTGTTCCTGGGTCGTGATGTATACACCTTTTCCTTATTTCAGTGCTATTCATGGCTTTTCCGCCGTCTTTTCCGTCTATTGCGTTTCAGACGGTTCTTGTCAAGGAAAAAACGGGAGGTGTTCAGCGGGAAAGGGGGGTAAAGGGGATTTCGGCCGGTGCAATTTACATTTACGTTAGATGCTCTCTTGATTTCCTATTCGCGTCTCTAACTACCCTTCTATCTCTTCTAATGTTGGCTTTGGCAAAAGAGTTTTGCTCTTTCCACGGAGCTCTTTTTCGTTCCGTCTCCTCTCTTATTGCTAGAACAGGGGGAAAAGGGATCGCTGCCGGGAATCTGTCTTCCCCTGCCCTCTTATTACCGACTCTATTTTGCGATTGACAGGCAGGCAGGCAGGTGAGGGGGAAAAGGAGCGAAAACAAGAAAAAAAGGGGATACCGATTCGGTGTGCTTTTGCTTTTTAAAAGGTACTCTACTACTACTACTACCTACTACTACTTGGTAAAGCGGGACACGGGCAAAGGGGGCGGCGGGAATCGTTGAATTGTAAAGAAATTACTGTACATAGCATATTCGCCATTCTCTCAAAAAGAAGACAGCATGGCAACCGTGGATCGGAGGAGGGAGGGGTTGGAGGGCTGGTGGGATGTTTGGTATGTACGAATGAAATGAAGAAGAACCGAGATCTGGGGGTTTTGACCTGAGGGTGCCCTGATCATGTTTGTCAAACATAGGATGTGCCTCATTTCCTGTGACGATATGTTGATCATTTATGCAATCGTGAACCATGAGCGATGAAGAAATAAAGGGCAAGAATCAAATCTCGTCCATTCTATTGTCACCTTACGTTTGAAAAGCCAAAACGCCAAGGGGGGTATGATATGCATAGGTAGGTAACATCATATACTTCCCATAACCAAACATACAGGAACACAGATAAGTAATACACAACAAACTGGAAATCTCGAGAAATGTTGTAATGATAAAAAGATGAAAAGTTTCCGTCTAGAAATATAGTTTTACCAATTTTCTTCTTTTACACAGCCCCTGATCCCCCTCCTCTCCCTCCATCCCCATGAAGTAATAGATGCGGCTTGATAAAGTCCTCGTCCAGCTGCTTGAACAAGCTCGCTGGGTCCTCTGTAGAGAGCAGCTGCCGTATGGCCCCCGTCGCCGACGTGATCGGTGTCGACGACGTCGACGGCTCGGCCGGGCTCATGAAGGCGCTTCCCTCCGCCGCCGGTGGGTTCGGACTGACGGGCGCCCGGGGCGAGCGGCGGTTCGCAGGGGGCGGCAAGTCTGAGATGTCAATGTCGCTGCCAATGTCGGAGTCCTCATTGGCGCCGCGCAGCAGATCGGCGCGCTCCGTCTCGGTAGGGTTGCGGAGGGAGTTCTTGCGGCTGACGCTGCTCGGCCTAACGCCCGTGTGGGGAGACGAGGTGCCGGACACGTAGGCTGCGGAACCGTCTCTGGGAGCGCTGAGGTTGTTGAGGGCGACGGTGCCGTTGCGGCGAGGGTTGTAGCCAATGGCAGAGCCGGAGCGCTTAACATGAAGGCCGGTGCCGAAGGACTCAATGTCAAACTCGTCGTCACTATCGATTTCTTCCACCACCCCGGTGCGGATACCGAGGATCTCCAGCATACGGGCAGTCGTCCCGCCAAAGATGATGACTGTCAAGACCACAACAACCAAGACGGTAGCCCTAAGCGCGTACGAGTTTTCGCCCGTGAGAAGGGCTGCCAGGGCCACACCGACGGCACCGCGAAGACCAGCCCAGAACAGCATGGCTTGGTAGTTGTAGGGGAGCTCGTCGCCAACCTCCAGTCCTCTCCTCCTCGCGCGGTAGCGGATAAACCAGTTGATGGCCCTGGAAAGGGGAAAGACGGCGACCCATCGAGCAGCGCACACGGCGCAGATGGTGACAATGATGAGGGGCGGCTCAAACTGCAGAGCATTGTCTGTGAAGAGCGCCAGGCCCAGGTAGATGAAGATGAAGTTTTCAGAGAGCTGCGACATGACTTGGAAGATGTACTTGGTGGTGAGCTGGGTACGTCTCGACATGTTGAAATAGGCATAATGCTTGAGTGTGATGCCGCAGAACAAGAGCGACACGATACCTAGACGGACAGATGGTCAGGATGTTTACTGGTAACACGCAGCTGGGCAATCTTACCAGACATGTGAAGACCATGGGAAAAGAAGTAAGTAGCGTAGGCAATCAAAATAATCAGACAGCTTTCAATTTTGGGGAATCTTCGCACATAGGTAAACTTGAGCAGAAGAGCGGTGCCGACGCCGACGATGACACCGATGAGCAAACTGCCAAAGAAGACGAGCAAGAAGATGCCGGTACCCTCGAAGAAGCTGATGATGCCGTAGTTGGCCTCGCCCTTGTTGTACTTTTGCGCGGTTTCGAAAATGACAATGGCGATGGCGTCGTTGAGGATCGATTCGCCAAAGATGATGGTGTACAGCTTGGGGTCGACCTTGTACGTGTTGAAGATGGCCAGGATGGTGACGGGATCGGTGGCGGAGAGCGTTGCGCCAACGGAGATGGCATCAACCAGCGTCAATTCCAGGGATCCAGGGACCAGGTTGAAGATCCACAGGATCAGCCCTATGACGACGGCGGAGAGAAAGGTGCCGGCGAAGGCAAACGTCAGGATCGTGCCGATGTTGCGGAAGAAGTTGGCCTGGTGCAGCTCGTATCCGGATGACAGGATGATGGGGGGGAGCAGCAGGTTGAAGAAGATCTGGTAGTCGAAGCTGATGAGGTTTCGGATGGAGTCGCCCGAGGTGATGAGCAGGATGAGGCCGACAACCATGCCTGTAGCGCGGGCAATGTTAGCGCACGTCTCGGGCGTGAAATGAGGCGCGGTTGAGGTATACCTGCAAAGATGGAGATGACTGTCTCGTGGATCGCAGTCACCTTCTTCTGCTGGAGCATGTAGCTGGTGAAGAAGGCGATGATGAGCAGCATGATGGAGATGAAGAGCGCCCATGCTGCGAAGAATTCCTTTTCCGCAGAGTCGCCCTCTGAGCATTTTCATTCGTCAGCATTTCTGTTCCTTGTGACTTGGTATTGACCCCCCCGGCTGTGGTCTTGTTCGTATAGCTCCTCGCCGTCATCGTCGCGGGCAATCGTTACCTTCGGGATCCTCCTCATCGTTCGCTCGCCCTAAGCGTCGAGGTTAGCACAACGGTCCACTGCGCGGGATTGCTGTCGCAAACATACGTAACAGGCTGAAGCCCAGCTTGGCCAGCTCTGCGGCGGCCGTGGAGGCCATGATATGCGATCTCGAGGCTGGATGTGGACACGATCGAGGGAGTTGAGGTTGGTCGGACGGTGGAGCATGCGCGAGGCTTGCGGCGCAAGCGAGACGATGCGGGCATGGAACCGCGGATCAGGTGTATAGAAGTCGCGACAGCTGGTCGGGTTGATGCGAACTGCGGGAGAGGGTTGGAGTTGTGTGTCCTGCTCGGGGTGGCCGTTGGGTTTGGCCGAGGACTGTGTGAAGAGTGAAGAGTGAAGCGCAGTATGTTGCAGGTTCGACGTTGGCGGTTGGCTGTTGCAGTACTGAGTAGATGTTGTGCAGGTGCCTGCCTTTCAGGTTAGGTTGTCCTCCACTGTCTGCTAGGAGTACCTTGGCGATGCGACAGCGCTCTAAGCCCTGTAATTGGCGCGGGCCAGTGGATCGCTGCAGAGGCCCGTGATGACGACGCCGATGGAATTGAAGGAGGTCCTTGGTGTGTACTTGGGGAATGGCCGGCAATAATACTAACGGGTTCAAGCTCATGTTTCCGGACGCAATCGCAAGGAATTGGACACGTCGGAAATGCGATGCAGGCGGAATAGAGCTCTGAACAGCAAATCATGCCCTCTACTAGTAGCATCAACAAAGGGATGGTGGTACCAGCCTGCAGCATTGAATCCCGTCGACTTTGGGTGTTGCAGCCATCAGGGCCAAGACGGAGGGCGGAACTTGCAGTGGAATCGGCATTGAATACGAGGTATACTTACTTGCCTACTGTGGACGTGTGCTGAACGAATTCCAGTAAGAGAGCATACCTTATACAGGCAGAGACGTGGTGAAGACGTGAATCCCGAAGGACGTTGGTACATGTACTTCTGATCAACCAAGAGCAAGGTTTATAGGGGTTGCTTGATCAAATTCGGCGAGCATCAGGTACGCAATGCCAAGACATACGACGTTATGAGAAAGAAAGTAGTCTACTTGTACGGTATCCATGCGTGTGCGAGATCATATATATCTTTATCTATATTCCTGCAGTATCATCTAGACTACGGAGTATCTCGTTGCTCTCTCAGCGTTGGCGGGGCTGTTCGGGGTTCGACGCGGGGCGGAGACGCTCTCCGGCGCGGCTCGCAATCACGGGCGTTGAACTGCTGACGGACCATGATCTGCATCTCCATCTTGTCCAAACTCAACCTCAACTTAATGTCTACACAGCCTTACCGCTTCTCGGTACTTCGACTCACGACTCCTTGCTTGACGTCTACATAATCGAAACAACACCAATGGTATGATCGCGATATACCTGTAGATCTTCCACCCCCAACAATGTACCACCTTGCCAAGGGCCTCTATCTCCTCGCAACAAGCAAAGAAGGTGAGAGCTGCCCTTGATCCCGTCCTCTCCCCTCATCCCTCCCCTATCGTCATCGCGGCATCCCAGCTTACACAAGTCCGACAACGCAGAGTATTCCGTCATCCTCCTCGGCCTCGACAATGCCGGCAAGACAACCTTCCACGAGCAGGTCAAGTCCATGTACCTCCCCAACGCCCCCGAGCCCAAGCTCAAGACGGTGCCGACCGTCGGCCAGAACGTGTCGACGATAACCCTGCCCGACATGTACCTCAAGCTGTGGGACGTGGGCGGCCAGCACTCGCTGCGCAAGCTGTGGCAGAGCTACTACGCCAGCTGCCACGCCATCGTCTTCATCATCGACAGCACCGACATTGGCGACGGCGACCTCTCCCACGACAACACCGGCCGCCTCGACGAGTGCCGCCTCGTCCTCGAGGACGTGCTGCAGCACTCCGAGACCGAGGGCGTGCCGCTGCTCATCCTCGCCAACAAGCAGGACCGGGAGGACTGCGTCGAGACCATCCGCATCAAGGAGGGGCTCGTCAAGCGCGTCATGGAGGGCGAGAAGGGCGCCGCCATCCGCGACTCGCGCGTGCTCGCCATGAGCGCGCTGACGGGCGAGGGCGTGCGCGAGGCCATCGACTGGGTGCGCTCGAGGGTCCAGTGGAACAAGGAGTCGCGGCCGCCCGTCATGAGGTAGCAGAGGATCCCTTTGCATTGGGAAGAATAATGTGGGAAGATTTACGGGGAGCAAAGGAGTGTCTCTAGGGGTGTTCTGAGGCGTTTTTGGTAGATATCTGGTCGTCGTGCTTTTCATTATCTGGTAGCCATCACGGCTTCACGTTTCAAGCGACGAAAAAGCTGAGTGTAATCTATCAGCGTAACCGTTCTTTCTGGTCATTTAGCTCATCGGGGGAGCTCCATGCTGGGGTATCATGCAAGCATTGTGCTTTTTCTATTTTGCTGTGTTTTTAATATGCACCTGTCTTCTTCTTCTTCATGAACATAGATCTATTCACCCTTCTTGGGGGTATCTCTCCTTCATCTCTCATTCTCCGCAGACAGCTCAGCCATCAAACCGCCTTTATCTCTCCTCTTCGCATCCTCCGCCAGCTTCGCATCCAGCAGATCCGTAAACTCCTTGACCTTGGCCAGCGCCATCTGCGCGCACTGTATCACCAGCGTAGCCTCTATGGGCCTGCCGCCGAGCTTGGAGATTTGGCAAATCTCGCCGTGCTTGTTGAGGCTGAACGTGCAGCTGGCCACCCGCAGCTGCTCCTCCAACCAGGTCGTGTCCACAACGACGATGTCGCCCTCGTCGCCGAAAAAGTCAAACGTCGCGCAGAACGGCGAGTGCAGCCAGCTCAGCGGCACGGGCTCGCGCTCCGCGGGCGTGTAGACGGTCAGCGTCTCGCCCTCGATGCTCGTGTCCGGCTTGCGGAAGTGCCGCAGCGCGGCGACGACGGCGAAGCACGCGCTGTCGATGAGGTTGCCGTCGGCGGAGAGCACGTGCAGGTCGACCCGGACGGACCAGCACTTTTGGCCGGCCACCAGGCAGAGCGACTCCGTGTCCAGGGCGCCCGATCTCCGGATCGTCTTCTCGAGCAGCCTGGCCAGGAGGACCTCGGTCTCGGTTGGCCGGTTGACTTCGTATGAGGGGGCGACCATGGGGCCGAGCTCTGAGGTGATTTGGAAGATGCCGTCAAAGGGCCGGTCTGGGAACGGGACTGTGACCTCTGCTGATACCTTGGCCAGTACCCTGAAGCATCATCGTGTTAGCGATTGTGATTCCATCACCACGAATCTGATCCAATTGAACTTGCCTTGTTTTCCCCAGCTTGACATCTGCCACGCCATACTCATCCCCGAAACTCAGCTCCAGGCGTCTAAACTCATCGAGTTTTCGACCATCTAATCGCAGTCCCTCGCTGATTGCCTGGAGGGTAAATGTCCGCTCGCTTAATGACGGCTCTGCTTCGCGAGGCATGACGATTGGTTATCGTGTAAATGAATTATTATAAAAAAAAAAAAAATGAAGCAGTTTGTTTTGTTTTGATACCTTCAAAAGTTATTCGTGATGATACCTTTGAAGCTCTCACTGAGATGCGGGAGCGCCAACTGAAAAATTCTGCCGGGCGGTGTGCCTAAAGTTGCCTGTTTTCGGGCTTGCTGCCGCGACTTTGACTGAAGTGACGAAACGCGACCAGCTTTTGGATTCTCTTCCCCAATCTACTACTACTACAATCAATCGCTTTTTCCATCTTGCCTGTTCACAGCGTCCTTTAATGCTAATTACCCACCAAGATGACCACCGCCCATAGACCTACCTTTGATCCTGTACGAAACCCCTGAAGGGAATCGATCTTATTCATTGCTAACCGCGATGCTCAGGCCCGTGGCAAAGAGGCCCTGCGCGGCCCAGCCTACCACCAACGCCTCCTCCCAGCCCACACCCAGCTCAAGTACCGAAAAGCCGGCCAGGGCGGCGACGCCGACGACGAGCCTGCGCGCGACCTCGCCGCGGAGCTTCTCGCCGCCGAGGCAGCCCACTTCAAGAAGAAGAGGCACAACAGCGGCGTCTTGGCCCCCGAGGACGACGAGGATGACGATGACGACGCGGAGGTGACGGCCGTTCGTCGAGGGGAGAAGAGGTCGCAGTCTGCGAACAATGGCGAGGAGGAGGGAGAAGAAGATCAGGAGGCGAAACGGAGGAGGATACTGGAGGAGAGTAGGGATATCGATGCGGATGATGATAGTGAGGAGGAGGAAGATAGTGATGAGGACGATGATAGCGAGGATGATGAGGATGCGGAGCTGCAGCGAGAATTGGAAAGAGTGCGGAGAGAGCGTGAAGAGAAGAAGAAGAAAGAGGTATGCTTGCTGCGTGTTTCTCTTGATCCTACCTATGCCTTGGGAACGTTGGGGCTGACTAATTCATTATAGGAAGAAGAGCGAGCGAGAGAAGAGCAGGAAGCCCGAGAACGAGACATTGCACTCGGTAACCCCCTCCTGAACAAGCAGGATTTCACAATGAAGCGCCGATGGGACGATGACGTTGTGTTCAAGAACCAGGCCAGGGGGACGGAGGACAAGAATAAGAAGAAGGAGTTTGTGAATGTGAGTTCCCCTTTATGTCTCTCGGTTTCGTTTTCATCAAGGGGGATGAGTTACTGACGGCTTTTTCTCTTCTTAGGACATGTTACGGTCTGATTTCCATAGACGGTTCATGAGCAAGTATGTTCGATAAAAAGGGGGGAACCATCGGGGTCCCGGGCAGTACTCAGGATTATTAGCGACTTGCATGGTGTTTTTTTTTTTTTTTTTTTTCTCTATATTTCTATATTCTTTCTACTAGAAGACATTAGACGCCATCATCATGATGAATCTCACAGATCACTCCGTCTATCCAGAGTGCATAACAGCCCTGTCAGTGCTCCTCCTCGGCAAGCAACCTCCTCTCCATCTCCTCAAACGCCCCCAGCACCTTTCCATACCGCTCGTACGTCCCCTCGCGATACCCAACGTCCACCTTCTCAATGGACCCCTCCTCCTTCCACCGCTTCCCAATCAGCTCGTCAAACGTCTCGCCGTCGCCGCGCTCCAGCGCCCACAGCGCCTTGTACGCGCCGCCCAGGGCGCACGCGTTGCCGCCCACGTCGAGCTTGTACACGCCGTCGGCGCCGCCGAGCCCCTCGCCGAGCACGCGCGTGATGGCCAGGTTCAGCGACCCGCCGCCGACGAGGTAGATGCGCCGCGGCTGCGCGGGGAGCCCGTCGCGCGGGCTGTGGACGAGCTTCTGCGAGCGCAGGCGCATGGAGAGGGCCTGCGACTCGACGATGGCGCGGGCGTCGGCCTCCTTGGGCCAGGCCTCGCGCGCCTCCTGCAGGTCGCTGCCGTCCTGCTTGCACGTGAAGCGCCACGTTCCCGCGCGGATGTTGGGCACCGTCTCCCGGAGGTAAAAGTACAGCCCGAGCTTGGCGCGGTCGTTGCCGTCGCCGTCGTCGTTGATGCCCAGCGGCTTCGAGTCCAGGAGGGCCTGGTTGAACGTCTCCCAGCCCGTGGCGCCGCCCTCGGGCTTGGGGAGGGTGTCGCGGACCTTTTCGCGCGCGAGGCCTCCGTTCTTGTAGCAGAGCATGAACATGTAGTTGCCGGGCGTGGTGGGATGGTTGAAGAAGTGGTACGAGCCGTCCGGCTTGTAGGCAGGCGTGTTCATGAGGAACGTCGTCGACGTGCCCAGCGAAACAATGGCGTCGAGCGGTCTCAGGGGCAGCGCAAGGATCGTCGCAGGGTTGTCGCCCGTGAAGGGAGTGATCTGGCACTCCGGGCTGAAGCCGTACTTGGACACGTAGTACGCCGAGATGCCGCCCATGGAGCCGCCGCCGTCCATGCGCGGCTCGCCGAGCTTCCGCCGCAGGTCGGCCGCGCCGTCGGGGCCTCCCGCGGAGAGGGCGAGGAGCCGCTCGCTCCAGGCCTGGCGGGGGATGTCCCAGAGGTTCATGCCGCAGACGTCGCTGACGTCGAGGGGCGCGATGGAGCCCATGAGGACGGAGGCGAGCCAGGAGGAGACGAGGGAGATGCGCTTTGCGCTTGCGTAGACTTGGGGCAGGACGCGCCTGATGCGCATGATTTGGAGGCCGGTGAATCTCTGCGAATGAAGAACAAGCTCACGTTAGTATATCATGATATCAAGAAAGGGGGAAGGGGGAAGGGGAACTTGCATGATGGGCACCGCTGCCCGTGACCTCGGCCAGCTTCTCCCTGTCGCCCAGCTCGGCATCAAAAGCGACCAACTCCTCCTGCGTGCTGTGATCCTGCCAGTTGGGCGCAAACTCATGCGCCAGCGCCCCCCTCAGCTGCTCGACCAGCGACCCCTTGGCGGCGTCCAGCCCGCGCAGCAGCTCCTCGGCGCTCGCGTTCCAGAAGACGGCGCCGTGCTGCTGGCCGGAGCCGCTGATGCCGCGGATGCTGCTCATGGGCAGCGGGTGCATGGCCTTGGCGAGCCGCTCCAGGACGAGGTCGAGGGACTCGAGCCATAGGGCGACGGGGGCGAAGACCTCGCCGGTGGCCTCGCGCACGTGGACGCCCTTTTGGATGCCGTATTGGCGGCCAAAGTCCTGGTCGAAGTCGACCTTGGCTTCGGCTATGGATTTGAGGTTTGTGTTGACCACGATGGCTTGCGGATTTTGTGTTAGTTGGGAGGCTTCATACTGCGGGCTATATTGCATGGATTATGGTGATTTAGATGTCAGGGTACAGGTTCCATATGGTTTGACGCACCTTTGAGTTGCTGGGTTGAGAGGTCAAAGCCCAGGTAAAGGGGCCCCTTTTCCTCACTCATGATGGCAGAGTTGATGCGTGTTCGAGCCCGGTACTGTACTTTGTCCAAGCTGCTCTCGAGATGCGTCTGCAAGCCGTTTCTAAAGGTAGATGCAACAAGTACAGATCTTGGTCACCGAAAGAGAGCTTCTTCTATCAGTCTCAACAAATACATGCCAATCAAAGCCCAGATCCTCGGGAAGGAAACCTCAACTCACATGCAAATCAAGACTTGGGAATCAGCCGTGTCAGAATGAAGGTGAATGACGATGCCGCGTATAAAAGGGCCATCGACGTAATCGTTACACCACCCGGAAAGCGACCCTTATTGGCACGCATATGGCCATCACGGCGCCTCATGTGGAGAATTCAGGTAGTAGCTTGTACGCTTAAGAAAAGGGCTCCAGTTCCTCCTCCTCATCATCCCGTCAGTATGGGTTTCTCACTATCAGAGAAGCATGGATTAGGCTAAAGTACAAGGAGTAAGGATTTGCACGAGGGCCATGTGGGAATTTAGCCACACCTCGTGCCTTGAGCTTGAGCCACGTTTTCGTCTACATTCCCCAAAGTCAAGAGTGAATATTGTTTGCCGGTCAAAGAGGTCCATCTTCTCGAGGCTTGAGCGTCATGCGAGCGGAAGTGGATAGAGGGGTTCGCTCTCTTCAACTGCATTTAGGCTAAATAGGGCCGGTGTCCCTGTTACTTCTCGAGACGGCCAACAATGCCATGTTTTGGCTGTGGCCCAAAGGTATGCAGTACATGTACTGAGGCAGATACTAGTATCCTGAGCTTGATGATTTGCGATTGATTTAGTCAAACATTGAGGCTCCCATGTCGCATCACAGATAAAAAGACGGCCGCGACCCTGCGGATCCGGAACGTCGCCCGGAAGACCGGAACAAGACAGCAAACGGACGGAGCCGGGGCTTTCGGGCCTTGGCGGCAATGCTTGTATATCATGACAGATGGAGTAGTCGTACAGAGGAATACAGATGCCGTGTATAAATGTTAAATGTCTAGTGCTACCTATCCAGTACCCCAGTCTAGGATTTTTTAAACACAAATGGAAATGGTAGCGGCCATCTCTAATGCTTGTGTCCGTGGTCATGGTGATGCTCCTCTTCCTCCTGCTCAGATGCTTCCGACACACTTGACCGCGCGCTGCCCGGGATGAACTCGTCGAACCTCTTGTTGACCTCTGCATCTCGCGATACGAAGCGCACCCGGACTCGCTTCACTCCACGCACTTTGCCTCCCACAAGCGTGCGCACCGCATCCTCCAGGTCTTTCACGTCATCCACCGTCCATGCGCCGGGCACCGCCATCTCCAGGTCTACCAGAAAGTTGGGTCCCGACTTGGTCCCCGTGATGTCGCGCAGCTCCGCCTGGTGGCCTTCGCTCACGTTGGCGATTGCCCGGTGCGCTTGCTTGCGAATCGCTGCCTTGACCTCGTCGTCCAGACTCTGGTCTATCAGCTCGAGGAAGGCAGACTTGGTGTTGCCCAGGCCGGCGTGGAGGACCATGGCGGAGATGAAGAGGCCGCCGACGGGATCCAGCCACGCGGCGTTTTCAATGACGTTGGCGCCGACAATAGCAATGAGCGTCACAATGCCCGTCAGGCTGTCGATGCGGTGGTGGACGGCGTTGGAGGCGAGGACGGACGACTTGCGCTCGCGCGCAATCTTCATGGCTGTGAAAACACATGTCAGCAAAACAAAGATGCATCAGAAGGAGCAGCAGCGAGAACAAGTCAAGACGTACTGGCTTGGTAGAGCCATTCTTTGACCAGAATGGTGCCTCCCGCCAGCCAAGCTGCGTGTAAGCTGGGGATGCCCAGATCTGCGTGACTGTGCGAGTGGCTGTGGCTGTGGCCATGCGCAACGTGCTCCAACATCTCGTGCGCGGCCTCGGGGTTCCAATGGCCGTACAGCGACACGGCACTCTCAAAGCCCATGTAGAAACCGCCGACAAGCAGCATGCTCGACACGCCCAGCGCGCCCAGGCTCTCGACCTTGCCGAAGCCCAGCGGGAAGCGCTCGGTCGGGCCCTTGAGGCTCCACGAGACCGTCGCCAGCGTCAGGATGTCCGAGGCCAGGTCGGCGATGCTGTGCCAGCCGTCGGCAATCATGGCCTTGGAGTTGAAGGCCCAGCCGCCGATGAATTTGGCAATGGCCATGGCGAGGTTGCTGATCAGACCGATGCGGGTGATGCGCACGCCGGGGTCGTTTTTGTCGCCCGACGTCAGAAACGTGTTGTCGTGGTGGTGGTGATGGCCAAAGAGCCCGTGGCTGTGGCCGTGGCCGTGATCATGGCCATGATCGTCATCGTGCTCGAGATGATGCTCGTGGCTCGAATCGGAGTCGTGGTCGGAGTCGTGTTCGTGCTTGTGCTG